AACTTGCCATTAATAGGATGGACAAATCGATTATAATATTCTGTATTTAAGTTAGTTTCAGGATTATCCTCAACGAGGTACACAGTATAGGTTTGGGTTTTCTGTGGTTACTTCTTTGCTTGTTGTTGAATCAATAACAGGGCAATGAAATATTGACATATCCTTTCCTTATTTACTTTTTTTCAGAGAACATGAACTTGATCCCAAATCGAACGATAAGTGCAGCAGCACTTTTCGAAGTTTTCTGATGATGAATTAACTAAAAGAAGATGCCTGTAGTTTGTCTTTGAAGTACCTGTATCAGAGTGACAATAATATGAATAAAGATCTTCCTCATGGGAAGATCTGAGTTTTTTACTCCCTTGTAATTTAGCGTGTACAATAATCACTTCAGCCCCCACGACAAATGTAAAATCCGTACATAATTATTCCAAACATTATGTTCTCTTCCTCTTCATATAGGGTGTTATTTCAAAGTTTTTTCTCTCAAAATATTAGTTTACTACCTAAGATTGTGAATGAAGCTCATGCTAATTTAAGAAAAAGAAAACTAGCTGCAACACTACTTTAAGCATTATGCAGTCATTGTCAAGTACACCCCTTTGGTAGGTTCGAGACTTTCCAGTCTGATTTGCTAGCCGGTAGTATTTTTTTCCATTTATTCATCATCAATTCATCCTCAAAGTTCATATGGGTTGTAGTGTATTATTACATAGTGCACATTTCCCCCCGGCGCTCTATCATTTTATGAACTAAAAGAAGGTCGGGTTCACGCACTCGTGCGTCTTGTTATACACAGTAAGGAGGGGTGGTGTGTTTGTGGGGTCGGGGAGCTTAAAAGGGGGCGCCGACTTGAAGGGGTGACGTTTATTTGAGGTCGGCTAATAATACGAGCATTTACGGTATAAAATAACTATCACTAAAAAAATTTCTTGATTTTATTACCGTCGGTTGGTTTTTCAGTTTCCAACTGTGCTTCCGGCACCACTGTAACCCTCTGGATGGTAGCGCCGAGAGCTTTACCAATACTCTCTTTTGATTCACTGACCATTTCAACGAGTTCACCAGGTTCCGCAATCTCAGGGGTTTGTCCGTCCACGGAGGGAAAAAGCACAGCAAGTTCAATTTTCCAACTGTTTTTCGCTCCAAGAGGGATTCCAAGTATATAAATGTCAGTGGGCTTACAGTATTTTGGCGACTCGGAACGCTTTACTCTTCTGAAAGAGATGAAAAACTGTTTTGAAATATTCATGTTGATTACTCATTTCTTTTGATGGAATTAGAAGTCCTTGAAAAAGTCTTTCATTGAAACACATGCCACAGAAACGAATACAGCCAGGCAATTACCGTAAAATTCCGAAAATAAGCCCCTCCATGTATAAGCCCCTCCAAATATAAGCCCCCAAAGATCGTAACGCAAAAACCCTCCCTTAAATCGCCCCTTCGAATATAAGCCCCCCAGGGGGCTTGTACTTAGAATTTTCCCTCGAATACAGAGTAAAACAAAGCAAAAATCGTAAATTTCCTTGCCACTACAAGCTAGCTCAATCGATTTTGAAAGGCAAATTTCCCTCAAAAAGGGCCTTTGAAAAATATAAGCCCCGGGGCTTATTTTCGGAATTTTACGGCATATTAAATCTACAGCTAATAACTTTGCATTGAAAAGAGAACAGTCAAGAATTAAGGTAAAGTATTGAGATTTCGGCTCAGAAAAATCGGCTGTCTCGTGTGTATCCTGTAAGAACTCGTTTAAATATGACCGTGCGTTCCAGATTCGAATTTGAATTTGGAAGTGTTGGGTTTTGAGGCGAGGGGAAAACTGGAGTACGCAGAGAAAAAGCTCTCGGATCAGGGGAGAGAACCAACGACAAACTTAGGCCACATGTGCCGTCGATACCGGTGTTTGAAACCAGGCCGCATTGGTGCGGAAGACGAGTGTTCTGACCACTGCACCACCCTTAATTGTTTCCCTTGCGCAGAGGGCGCTTTTATATGTACGAGATGGGTGTAAAATGTGTCAAAAGGGATCCTTTACTCTTTAAACAGTTGCCTATTGATCCGACCTTCCAGTTATTCATTTGTATCTTAAAGTTATTGGCTAAAAATACCGAGAAAAACAGCAAGTAACAACCTAGATCTTAAGACTCCTCGTTACTAAAACCTTTAAAGTCTAAAATTTGAAAAATCTCCTTTTTGGCTAAATTATCAGTTCCTTTTTACATTAATATGTGCGCCACATTTGGGATCAGTACTTCTAATTTTCTTATTTTAGTCATTTTGCTTTAAAGCTTCTTTTGTATGCATATTTTGTGAAATGAATAGACTGAATGGCACTACATTCAATTGGCTACAAATGATGTATTTAAGGGTCTAAATAGCTGTAATTTCTGCTAATCACCATTACATAAGAATCTGATCATGTAGATTCTTACTTGCGGGTTTTCACTATATTTCTATCAACTAAAAACTATATTCAGGACCACGAAATTGCCGTAACGAAAAGAGACATACTTAAGGAACAAGAGGTTTTCTACTTTTCCGACAATAGACCGGCTCTCCTTTAGTAAATTGAGAGGTAAAGATTATTACAACTTTTTTTAGGAATATAAAACAACAGAGCCTACTGCTGTTAAACGCTGGTCTAGCCTCTATCCTGGGAACAGACAATCAGTACTGTTTATAAATCGACGAATTTTAGCAATCAACAAATAACTCAAGAAATTCAAAATCAGAAATGATGATCTTTGTGCTCAGGGTAAGAATCCTGATTTACTGGAACATACCTTCTTACTATGTCCTACAAATGTTAAGTTTTATCATAAAATCTTATCATGGTTTAATGTGTCCCATAATACTTCCATAAATCTTTCCCCTGAGTAAATTCTGTTGCAGAAAAGTATCCCTGGTCCTATCAATGATAGTCTCAGACGCCGACTAGATCTACTCCTCCTGTTTATTAAAAAGTATGTATATAGTTTGCAAATTAATAAGATGCCCATCACCTGTAGGCAATTTATAAATAATTTAAAAATACAACGGAAAATGGAAAGTTTAACTCTTATAGCCTTATCACGTGTAATTAGGCTAATGATGTATATGTATAAATTGTAATCATTTTTTTTTGTAAAAATTAGTGTAAGTATTGTGATGTAAATATTTTCCATACATTTGTTACTTTTCTTCTTTCTCTTTTAGTGTGTTGTTCTATATTCTTGTACTTTGATGTCATTATTGTACATAAATAAATAAATAAATAAATAAATAAATAAATAAATAAATAAAATATTCAGGATCACATTAATCCAGACGATCATATCCAAGGTACTTAAGAAATGATTCCTGGGTTCAAATAATTTATAACAATTCTAAATCAATAAAGCAAGAAACTTTGTCGACTGTTCTGACAAATAACGATAGCCTCATTTAAGCAACTTTAAATCTCGATATATTACCTTTTACATTGGCCGTTTTCACAGAAGTACTTAGTGCAGGCTTCTGCAAGGGCTATTTTTAATAATGAATCAATCGGGCCACTCTGTAAGCAAAGAATATAGATATGCTTGTGTTAATGTACTTAATAATGATTTCGTTCTTGAGCGGAATAAAGCCATTACAATTACACGCCAGTTTACACTCAGTATTCATAATGTTCAATTTAAAGATTGAACGACATAAATAGTCTTGAGCTCACTAGTGACACTTTAGGAGTTTCACCATCATGGGGTAATGCAAAACGGATTTTCCAACACTTAAATTTTCTGTTTGAAAATGTTTTAAAAGATTCAAACTGACGTCGTGAAAAAAGTGCCACGAGTGGTGCTACTAAAGCACTTATTATAATAAAAAATGAATAAACAAAAATGAAAGAAATGTAAGGAACGAGGGAAAAGATAAGACGTTGAACAGACTATTTTGCGATTGGTACATATTCGAGACAAATGATCGCCTTACGCTGTCCTTTCAAACCCCAGGCCTCAAACGCAATAAAAAGATATTTCAGTTTGGATCGCTGTTAATTTTTTTATTTTAACGATTCTAACGGATATTTTGTTTAGCCCAACGGTACCTCTATCTGAAAAGATAACTCTATTTCCACAGCTTTTGCCCCTAAATTGCAAAAGAAACAAACAAAAAAACAAACGTTGTTAAAAAGCGGTAAAGATGTAAAACAGTTTAGTATTATTGCAACTCAAATTAACTATACTGTCTATGGACAATAAATATTTATGCGTTGGATTGTTTGAAATGTTAAAGAGACCTTACTATTTATAGAAGTAACAATAACATCTTAATGTGATTCATGCTCTGTATGATAGAAATCACGAAGTGTCTCCTAACCCTTATCCTTACTTAAAGGCAAGCAATAGGTCTCCGAGTTACCCTAACGATCTGTTTCAATGGGAGGCTAAGTGCGAAGCTACTGAAATGAAAATGATTTTTAATTCTCATGCAAATAAACTCATTTTTACCAGAAAGGTTTTGCGCTTAGCCTCGTTGTGACAGGAGGGAGAGTTTTTGGAACTCGGAACTGAATCGCCTATTCTGTCAACAAGAAAAGTCTGTGTCTAATATGATGCACCCACATTCCGAGGTTTCTTGAATTTCTGGACGTAAGTGTCATAGAAAACGACTAAAGTGGGACAACTTGACAACGAATTTTTCTGTAAGTAGAACTAAAATTGTTATTATTCGTCTTGCAAGAGTAAATAATGGGACAGAGAGGGAATCTTAGGGCGTTAGCCAGGATATGGGAATTTTAGTAAAGTTATTTTTAGAGGTTGTAATTAAACGAGTGTGTAATTCCTGAGACGTATGCACATTTTTATCGATTGTTTGAAACGCCATTGAGTCAAAGCACGTCTGCCTCATCAAACAATGTAAAATATTGAAATGTCAACCGCTGAATTTTTTTTCAACACTGAATAAAACGAACTTGAGTTTAATTTCTAGCGTCTAATGGGTCTAAAAATAACTTTTGCGAAATTCACACATCCCAAGGGCTAGTCAAGGCGTTTCCCTGTCTGTCTGTTTATTCTCTCTTGGTCGTTGCTAACACACTTACCAACGTAGACAGAACAGCGGTGCCACACATAATACTTAAGACATCTGCAGTAATAGCCTGGCACAATGCAAGTTCCATTATTCTCACAGTCTCCAGGACGACACTCAGAAGGAGCGAGGGTGGGTGGAAGTTGACTAGTGCTCGCAACCGTGGTCTTCCGCTTACTTGGAAATGCTGATGTTAATCCGTTTGATGAAATCATTGGAAGCAGACTTGTGCTCGGAGCAGTCAGTGATGACGTCCTCAGTCTGGACTGTGACATGATTGTAGACGGACTGGTGATACGGGATGTTGATGTAACAGATGTGGTGGGCCTCTGGGACGAGACTGAGGAACTGCTTGGTTTTACAGAGGAAAATGAAATGACAGTGCTACTAAATTTTGCGGTCGACGTTTGGTATTGGGGATATGTTGCTGAAGTCATCTGAGTTATGCCTGCAATCGTGGTCTGCCGCTCACTTGCAAATGCTGATGTTAATCCGTGTGATGAAATCATTGGAAGCAGACTTGTGCTCGGAGTAGTCACTGATGACTTCCTCAGTCTGGACTGTGGCATGACTGTAGACGAACTGGTGATACGGGATGTTGATGCAACAGATGTAGTGGGCCACTGGAACGAGACTGAGGAACTGCTTGGTTTGACAGAGGAAAATGAAATGACAGTGCTACCAACTTTTACGCTCGACTTTTGGTATTGGGAGTATGTTGCTGTACCCATCTGAGTTGATTTAAACGGTAGCGGAATAGCTAATAAACAAAAATAGTTGTACTAGAATGGCCAGTGTATCTAACAGACCTAACAAAATATATAGAGCAACGTGACTGCAATTTGGGAAAATAATTATAGCACGAAAGTTGTGAAAATGTTTTAAAAAATTAGAATAACCAGTGTTAAGAGCAAATTAAAATAATGCTGTTTTATAACAACGATGTGTTTCAGGAAAACGAATGCCCTCTGTTGAAATCTTTTAATCGCACGAGAGATTAAAAAATGCTAACTTTAAGCTTCATTAAATTACATCCTCGCCAATGAAACCACCAACCAAAGAATTAGAGATTTTTCTAAACCCGTGAACAATACGTCACAATTAGTGCCAAATAGTTACAAATAAACAAAATAAAACAATAAAAGAGTGTAATACTGTGTATAAGTCTGCTATCTATTTCACGGGTTCAGTAAAATCACTCTACTTCTCCAAACTGATACGAAGAATTTTTCTACAATTGATTCTGAACAATCTTGGGTTGCAACCACGTGACATGACGACCACGGTGGTCAACGAAATAAAAGTTATTTCAAAGAATTTACATGAAAATGGAGTTTAGTTGCCAGGGTATAGAAATGTTTTCGTTCTTGACCACTAACATGGCTGTCACCACGTCACATGCAAACCAGCAATTGTTGTTAACAATAGTTATATTGAATTCTGCGAGATTTTGTGGCGTACCACCGAAGAAGTCAAAAGACGAAACTAATTTTGTAAAAACGCTTAGATAAAATAGTGTGTTGAAAGTGGATCTCCACAGTTCTATTTTCCCGGCTTTTCTATGTTGACGTATAGTTACATTGAGCGTACAATAACCGAATACTGAACATCACAATAGAAAGACTTCACTGATTATATGATTCCAAATTAAAAAAACTACATTTTTGCTTTTGTTGTCTTTGAGTTTAAAATATTACTTACAGCCATTGACGCAAACATCGCCAGGTGCAAGTTGATCTGGACACGAGCAAAGATAACCGTTTTGTCTTAACAGACACAAATGAGAACAACCACCAGAAGACGACGAACAGGGATTTTCTGAGGATAAGACAGTAATAATCATTACTGAAGGGAACGTCATTTTTCTTTTAATCATAATAATTACAATTTCCTAAAATTTTATTGGTGCATTAACTGCTTTATTTTTCACACAAATATTGTGTAGGGTTGTGATGGGACAGTGTAATTAGACAGTTGGCTGTAATCGGACACTTCCATCAGCCAATCATGTTAAGTGCACTCAGCTAAATCCACCAATCACGGTATTTATCACAATAATCATAGCAACAACCACTTACTCTACCAAACGGGAGATTTTCCAAAATGGAGGAATTTGTAACATTAGAAAATGTCTCTGCCAGTGTTATTTTCCCTTATTTTGGATAGTTGGTATTATTAGCTCTTTCCGAGTAAAGAATCCATTTGTTTTCTCGGAAATTGTGATGGTTATGATTAATTGGTAACAGCACTTCTTGTCGTCCAATTCGGTCTGTAATCATACTCGTGATTAAACAAATCCCTTTCTGTCCTGGTGTCGCGTGGCATAGAGAGAGGGGCCAGAACTGGACTTGAACATACGGTTAACTACGGTTACAATTTTCGCTTCCGTCAGTCACAGTAACGACGAAACGAGACAAACAAAATTGATCGAAATCAATTAATCATGGTGGAGCGGACACTAAGTCACGTGAATCTGAATATAAATTGTTACACAGATATCTGGCCACCAATGATTTCTTAAACAAAATTGGTATTTCTTCATCACCACGATTTTCTCGGTGCGATGGGGCGGATGAATCCCTTGAACACCTTTTTGTCTCTTGCTTGATTACTCAGAGAGTTTTTGGACAGAAGTTATTAAATAGTGTAGCAATCGGGGGGTGGTTATTAACCATCTCTCTGCTAAAGATATATTATTTGGGATAAAGGTACATAAAGACAATTTATTGATTAATCATATTTTGCTAGTTGGTAAGCAGTATATATATAATTGCAGATGCACGAAAACAAACCCTTGTTTACGGGTTTTCTTGGCAAGACTTAATAACGTTTATCAATTAGAAACTATCATTGCCCAATCGAAGAGTAAAATGTCTTTTCATTTATCGAAATGGCAAGCACTCTTGACAGGTAGTACAAAATTGCCGACAAATACTTGTTAAAGTTTAGTGGTATTGATACTGTTGTTGTGTGTCGTGTGTGCTGTGCGTGCGTGTTTGAGTTATTTGTGTATTATTTTTTAAAAATTGTAATGTCGGTAATGTATGTAAAAATTAATGTTATTATTGTAGGGCAAGAAATTGAAATAAACAGTGATTAAATTACAAAAAAAAAAATGGTGGAGCGGTAGGGTGACGAGAAACATAAACGTTAGACATTACGTTTAATTTGTGACTTAAGAGTTTGCATGTAAAAAACGCAGTAAGTGAATATGGCAAAGCAATTTGAATTGCCATTGGCTACGACAAAAATAAAATAACCCACAAGCTGCAGATTATAGCCCAAGCAAGGCTGCCCCAAGTGACAGCCTCAGCAAGGAAATTGCCAGTAGGCAAGCAATTAAATCTTGCCTTGACAAAACAACGGCTTTTGCTGGAGCATAGGAGTCAAGCTTTTCTTCAACCCTTAGCACACTTCACAATTCTTTTTAACCGTGACATTCACAGAAAGTGATGTACACAAGACGAAGGAAAATAAACTGGCACTAGAAAAATTTAGTCCATTTATCAAGAATTCAGTCCTCCAAGTAGTTTAAAAAAAATATATGTGTATATAACATCTGACTTCTCCTTTACACATGATTCTCTGGTCAAAATTCATTGTTTTTCAAATCTTCCAAGGCATGACACATGGCAATAAAAATGCAGTCTTCGCTGTTGACGTTTTGGCGCTAAAACGCTAACGAACCACCAACGGTAATCGGTAATTCACAAAAAATTCAGTTGGATGTATTCCTCTAATTGCATGATCCTTATTTCCCCTTACATCCGTCTCCTCTCGGGCTAATTGTTCTGAGAGGGTAAGAAAAACTTTTAAGCGCAATGGAGAGGTTTAACTTCAATTCGAAATTTCAAAGATAAAGAACACCAACAATGGGCTATACCGCTCTTTCACAGATTTTGGACCAAAAGAGAGACTGTCATACGGTTAACTAAGGTTACAATTTTCGCTTCCGTCAGTCACAGTAACGACGAAACGAGACAAACAAAATTGATCGAAATCAATTAATCATGGTGGAGCGGTAAGGTGACGAGAAACATAAACGTTAGACGTAGACATTATGTTTAATTTGTGACTTAAGAGTTTGCATGTAAAAAACGCAGTAAGTGGATATGGCAAAGCAATTTGAATTGCCATTGGCCACGACAAAAATAAAATAACCGACGACGAAAACATAATATTATGATTACAATTACATTTTTCGACATTTCACCAGAGCAAAAATCAAGGTTTGTCAAAAAAAAAGGAATAAAAGGGCTTGTAAATTCAATTGGTTGAAAAATTTTCATCTTCAACATATACATAAATTTTTTTAAAATTTATTCAGAGAGATTCCTTGATTTATGATTGTTTTTGCCCAGTATATTTACCATTTGACTTTCATTGGTAAGAAAAGGTCCGCACTTTGTACTGCATTGCGACCTAAACTTTGGATGTCTTTTTCCTATACTTGACAAATTTCATCCCCTTCAGTTCATCAATAACAAAAAATATTAAGGAGTGCCTTCGTATTACAAAAATTGCTCTCTCACCTGGTACTGTTTTTTCACTGAGGTTATATCCATGTATGTCCATAGGCTGCCCAATACCTGTGACAAATACGGTGAAATCAGCAGCACTGTCTTTGTTGGCTCGATAAACAGTGTAGTCAATCCAGTCAGTCCAGTACAAGAAGTTTCCAAGAAGTGTTAACCCGAAAGGATGAGGCAGGGTGGCGTAAGAATGAATTAAAGTCACCCTGATATTAGTACCCAGGTGCAAGTATTCGAGTTTGCTGTAGCTAGCGTCCACCCAATACAAGCGGTTTCTTTCCTGGTCAAGCGTCAGACCATTTGGCCACGACAGGCTTGTGTTTACGAGAACAACCCGCTGCTGTCCTGACATGTCAGCCCTTTCAATCTTTGCGTGATAACCCCAATCTGTCCAATACATGATTCTATCAAATACAAAGCAAGTAAGATGGTAAGTTTCTTCTCATTTTTTTCTTCAGAGACCACTTCTTAATTGTTGAGGGTGTTTTTGAAAAACATCGACGTTCGGTTTCATCTCAGCCAGGTTAAGCTGAGTTTCACTTCAAAGCTGGTGGAGTTGTTACATCCCGTGAGTGTACACATACGCTGAAGGTTTTTCGGAGGAAAAGATCAAGATCAAATAATGAATATATAGGGATCCAAAAACACAAGAATTTCTGCCTCTCTTTTTAGCAAGCCACTTAAACATTTTGCTTGCCTGGGGCCTCTTCTGGCGGCTCCTCTTAAACAATGATTTTATTGGGGGATGACTTGCTTGACCCTTGCCCATTAGACAAGTGAGCATTAAAAGTTACTTGCCCAACAAGAAAATCTATTATAGTCCGGGACTACCGAACGGGCCTTTGGTCGTGCGCTGATATATAAATTTTATGCATTGGAAGCGGGCAATGAAGAAATAAATGCAAAGAAGAAAATTGCAGTTAAGACGCAAAATGACAGTGACCAACGCCTATGACTGCTGGTGGTATTTGGTTGTCCGTAATAAACAATCCAAACACTGATTAACTGTATTTGCCACGACAGTAACAATTTTTGCCCATTGCTAGAGCTACGAACAACCGTTTACAGAAGAGAAAATTAGGTACACTGGCAATCTCTCTTTGCCTCTTTTCATTAAACGGCTATACATCTGACAATTAAATAAGGGGTTTTGTTGCCTTCCATATCCATTTCAACTACTGACCCTTTACTAATATCCAATATGATATCTCTCGGTTCGTCTAGGCCACTTGTTATGAGAGCTTTCCGATGGGAACCGTCCAGTTTGGAAACTTCCAGCTTGTTGGTTCCCGTATCAGTCCAGTAGAGGTTCCTTCCGACAATGTCCACGGCCAATCCATCTGGTGACTGCACGTTTTGGTAAAACAAGACCTCAAACATAGAACCATTCAAGAATGAACGAGAAATGGTGTTCCTTGTCACATCTGTCCAGTACACTCTGTCCTCTAAAACGTCGTAGCCAATGGCAACCGGTCGACTGATAATGCTTGACAAGGGTAAAGAGATGAGTGATCCAGGGGCATGAGGAGAAACTTTCATAATCTTTCCGTATGAAGCATCGGCAAACAGAAGAAACTCGTGCTCAGGAGGAGCTGCAAAAACGATAGAATTAAGGTGCCGGCAATAATAAGATTATTTATAAATGTAATGCACGATAGCAGAAGGAAAACACGCACTGGTCTTTATACTCGTGGACGAGTCTCTGTTTGTCGTGCATTGCACTTTGAGTGACGTTTAATAGTTAACACCCGCATTGAGAAGATTGAATGCGAGTTTGGGCGTATAAAACTCTCCAGTCATTGATGACTGGCTCTGTTTCCTAAAAGAAAAAAACAGGGTAAGGAGGCGGTACTTAAGTGTCTTCTAGTGAAAAAGCTTTAGAGAAGAAAATTGACCCCCCTTTTGGTGGTAATAGGCCATACCTTTACAGTTTCTTCCGTCGTCATCTAGAATGAGGCCTCCCGAACAAGCACAAACTCTTCCAGATTGTGTAAGCAAGCAAAGTTGACTGCATCCGCCATTGTTGTTATTGCATTGGTCAGTGACTGTAATTGGATATAGCAAGGCACATAATCATTACTTAGAGGAGACCGTAAAAAGACTACCGCATGTGATCAGCAAAAATTAGAGGGGAACATATTGCAGATGAGACGTTTTTGTTTTCGAGCTGTATGGTCGACTTTTTATTTAGAGCATTTATAACTAGAATATGCCAGGAAACAGCACACTTGTTATGTGATTGCTGCCGATTTGATTTCGCGATGTGTTTAAAATACTCTATATTGCAGGGTCGCTTTTAACAAAGGCGACATGGTTATTTTTCGTCAGGATATTACGCTTTTGGTGGAAATTAAAGGCTTGAAAGGGGTCACACTTCTAAAAGATCATCGATCTGCAACTGATTTTTCATTTCTTCAAAACTATTGGTTTATGCTTCCTAAACAGTGTTTGTGGAAGGACTGAGCCATCATCGATGTATATTAATTTTCCTGACAAATATGCTAAAAGGATATTTGATATAACAATAATTTGTTCTCGTAGCGAACTCCTTGTACTTACTTGGTATTGTTGTTTCACTGAGGTTGTAACCATGTATGTCCATAGGCTGCCCAATACCTGTGACAAAAACCGTGACATCAGCAGCACTTTCTTTGTTGGCTCTTTTAACAGTGTAGTCATTCCAGTCAGTCCAGTATAAGTAGTCTCCAAGAAGTGTTAACCCGAAAGGATGAGGCAGGGTGGCTGAAGAATCTATTAAGGTCACCCTGGTGTTCGTGCTCAGGTGCAAGTATTCGAGCTTGTCGTAGCTGGCATCCACCCAATACAAGCGGTTTCTTTCCTGGTCAAGCGTCAGACCATTTGGCCACGACAGGCTTGTGTTTACGAGAACAACCCGCTGCTGTCCTGACATGTCAGCCCTTTCAATCTTTGCGTGATAACCCCAATCTGTCCAATACATGGTTCTATCAAATAAAAAACAAGTAAGAGGGTAAGGGTCTTCTCATTTTTTCTTCAGAGTCCACTTCTTAATTGTTGAGGGTGTTTTTGAAAAACATCGACCTTCGTTTTTATCTCAGCCAGGTTGAGTTGAGTTTCACTTTAAAGCTGGTGGAGTAGTTTCATCCCGTGAGTGTAGACATACGCCAAAGTTTTTTCGGAGGAAAAGATCAAGATGAAATAATGAATGTGTAGGGATCCAAAAACACATGAATTTCTGCGTCTCTTTTTAGCAAGCAGCTTAAACATTTTTCTTGCCTAGGGCCTCTTCTGGTAGCTCCTTTTAAACAATGATTTTATTGGGGGATGACTTGCTGGACCCTTGCCCATTAGACAAGTGAGCATTAAAAGTTACTTGCCCAACAATAAAATCTATTATAGTGCGGGACTACCGAACGGGTCTTTGGTCATGCCCTGATATATAAATTTAAATGCATTGGAAGCGGGCAATAAAGAAATAAATGCAAAGAAGAAAATTGCAGTTAAGACGCAAAATGACAGTGACCAACGCCTATGACTGCTGGTGGTATTTGGTTGTCCGTAATAAACAATCCAAACACTGATTAACTGTATTTGCCACGACAGTAACAATTTTTGCCCATTGCTAGAGCTACGAACAACCGTTTACAGAAGAGAAAATTAGGTACACTGGCAATCTCTCTTTGCCTCTTTTCATTAAACGGCTATACATCTGACAATTAAATAAGGGGTTTTGTTGCCTTCCATATCCATTTCAACTACTGACCCTTTACTAATATCCAATATGATATCTCTCGGTTCGTCTAGGCCACTTGTTATGAGAGCTTTCCGATGGGAACCGTCCAGTTTGGAAACTTCCAGCTTGTTGGTTCCCGTATCAGTCCAGTAGAGGTTCCTTCCGACAATGTCTACGGCCAATCCATCTGGTGACTGCACGTTTTGGTAAAACAAGACCTCAAACATAGAACCATTCAAGAATGAACGAGAAATGGTGTTCCTTGTCACATCTGTCCAGTACACTCTGTCCTCTAAAACGTCGTAGCCAATGGCAACCGGTCGACTGATAATGCTTGACAAGGGTAAAGAGATGAGTGATCCAGGGGCATGAGGAGAAACTTTCATAATCTTTCCGTATGAAGCATCGGCAAACAGAAGAAACTCGTGCTCAGGAGGAGCTGCAAAAACGATAGAATTAAGGTGCCGGCAATAATAAGATTATTTATAAATGTAATGCACGATAGCAGAAGGAAAACACGCACTGGTCTTTATACTCGTGGACGAGTCTCTGTTTGTCGTGCATTGCACTTTGAGTGACGTTTAATAGTTAACACCCGCATTCAGAAGATTGAATGCGAGTTTGGGCGTATAAAACTCTCCAGTCATTGATGACTGGCTCTGTTTCCTAAAAGAAAAAAAAAGGGTACGGAGGCGGTACTTAAGTCTCTTCTAGTGAAAAAGCTTTAGAGAAGAAAATTGACCCCCCTTTTGGTGGTAATAAGCCATACCTTTACAGTTTCTTCCGTCGTCATCTAGAATGAGGCCTCCCGAACAAGCACAAACTCTTCCAGATTGTGTAAGCAAGCAAAGTTGACTGCATCCGCCATTGTTGTTATTGCATTGGTCAGTGACTGTAATTGGATATAGCAAGGCACATAATCATTACTTAGAGGAGACCGTAAAAAGACTACCGCATGTGATCAGCAAAAATTAGAGGGGAACATATTGCAGATGAGACGTTTTTGTTTTCGAGCTGTATGGTCGACTTTTTATTTAGAGCATTTATAACTAGAATATGCCAGGAAACAGCACACTTGTTATGTGATTGCTGCCGATTTGATTTCGCGATGTGTTTAAAATACTCTATATTGCAGGGTCGCTTTTAACAAAGGCGACATGGTTATTTTTCGTCAGGATATTACGCTTTTGGTGGAAATTAAAGGCTTGAAAGGGGTCACACTTCTAAAAGATCATCGATCTGCAAGTGATTTTTCATTTCTTCAAAACTATTGGTTTATGCTTCCTAAACAGTGTTTGTGGAAGGACTGAGCCATCATCGATGTATATTAATTTTCCTGACAAATATGCTAAAAGGATATTTGATATAACAATAATTTTTTCTCGTAGCGAACTCCTTGTACTTACTTGGTATTGTTGTTTCACTGAGGTTGTAACCATGTATGTCCATAGGCTGCCCAATACCTGTGACAAAAACCGTGACATCAGCAGCACTTTCTTTGTTGGCTCTTTTAACAGTGTAGTCATTCCAGTCAGTCCAGTATAAGTAGTCTCCAAGAAGTGTTAACCCGAAAGGATGAGGCAGGGTGGCTGAAGAATCTATTAAGGTCACCCTGGTGTTCGTGCTCAGGTGCAAGTATTCGAGCTTGTCGTAGCTGGCATCCACCCAATACAAGCGGTTTCTTTCCTGGTCAAGCGTCAGACCATTTGGCCACGACAGGCTAGTGTTTACGAGAACAACCCGCTGCTTTCCTGACATGTCAGCCCTTTCAATCTTTGCGTGATAACCCCAATCTGTCCAATACATGATTCTATCAAATACAAAACAAGTAAGAGGGTAAGGGTCTTCTCATTTTTTCTTCAGAGTCCACTTCTTAATTGTTGAGGGTGTTTTTGAAAAACATCGACGTTCGTTTTTATCTCAGCCAGGTTGAGTTGAGTTCCACTTTAAAGCTGGTGGAGTAGTTTCATCCCGTGAGTGTAGACATACGCCAAAGTTTTTTGGGAGGAAAAGATCAAGATGAAATAATGAATATGTAGGGATCCAAAAACACATGAATTTCTGCTTCTCTTTTTAGCAAGCAGCTTAAACATTTTTCTTGCCTAGGGCCTCTTCTGGTAGCTCCTTTTAAACAATGATTTTATTGGCGGATGACTTGCTGGACCCTTGCCCATTAGACAAGTGAGCATTAAAAGTTACTTGCCCAACAATAAAATCTATTATAGTGCGGGACTACCGAACGGGTCTTTGGTCATGCCATGATATATAAATTTAAATGCATTGGAAGCGGGCAATAAAGAAATAAATGCAAAGAAGAAAATTGCAGTTAAGACGCAAAATGACAGTGACCAACGCCTATGACTGCTGGTGGTATTTGGTTGTCCGTAATAAACAATCCAAACACTGATTAACTGTATTTGCCACGACAGTAACAATTTTTGCCCATTGCTAGAGCTACGAACAACCGTTTACAGAAGAGAAAATTAGGTACACTGGCAATCTCTCTTTGCCTCTTTTCATTAAACGGCTATACATCTGACAATTAAATAAGGGGTTTTGTTGCCTTCCATATCCATTTCAACTACTGACCCTTTACTAATATCCAATATGATATCTCTCGGTTCGTCTAGGCCACTTGTTATGAGAGCTTTCCGATGGGAACCGTCCAGTTTGGAAACTTCCAGCTTGTTGGTTCCCGTATCAGTCCAGTAGAGGTTCCTTCCGACAATGTCCACGGCCAATCCATCTGGTGACTGCACGTTTTGGTAAAACAAGACCTCAAACATAGAACCATTCAAGAATGAACGAGAAATGGTGTTCCTTGTCACATCTGTCCAGTACACTCTGTCCTCTAAAACGTCGTAGCCAATGGCAACCGGTCGACTGATAATGCTTGACAAGGGTAAAGAGATGAGTGATCCAGGGGCATGAGGAGAAACTTTCATAATCTTTCCGTATGAAGCATCGGCAAACAGAAGAAACTCGTGCTCAGGAGGAGCTGCAAAAACGATAGAATTAAGGTGCCGGCAATAATAAGATTATTTATAAATGTAATGCACGATAGCAGAAGGAAAACACGCACTGGTCTTTATACTCGTGGACTAGTCTCTGTTTGTCGTGCATTGCACTTTGAGTGACGTTTAATAGTTAACACCCGCATTGAGAAGATTGAATGCGAGTTTGGGCGTATAAAACTCTCCAGTCATTGATGACTGGCTCTGTTTCCTAAAAAGAAAAAAAGGGTACGGAGGCGGCGGTACTTAAGTGTCTTCTAGTGAAAAAGCTTTAGAGAAGAAAATTGACCCCCCTTTTGGTGGTAATAAGCCATACCTTTACAGTTTCTTCCGTCGTCATCTAGAATGAGGCCTCCCGAACAAGCACAAACTCTTCCAGATTGTGTAAGCAAGCAAAGTTGACTGCATCCGCCATTGTTGTTATTGCATTGGTCAGTGACTGTAATTGGATATAGCAAGGCACATAATCATTACTTAGAGGAAACCGTAAAAAGACTACCGCATGTGATCAGCAAAAATTAGAGGGGAACATATTGCAGATGAGACGTTTTTGTTTTCGAGCTGTATGGTCGACTTTTTATTTAGAGCATTTATAACTAGAATATGCCAGGAAACAGCACACTTGTTATGTGATTGCTGCCGATTTGATTTCGCGATGTGTTTAAAATACTCTATATTGGAGGGTCGCTTTTAACAAAGGCGACATGGTTATTTTTCGTCAGGATATTACGCTTTTGGTGGAAATTAAAGGCTTGAAAGGGGTCACACTTCTAAAAGATCATCGATCTGCAAGTGATTTTTCATTTCTTCAAAACTATTGGTTTATGCTTCCTAAACAGTGTTTGTGGAAGGACTGAGCCATCATCGATGTATATTAATTTTCCTGACAAATATGCTAAAAGGATATTTGATATAACAATAATTTTTTCTCGTAGCGAACTCCTTGTACTTACTTGGTATTGTTGTTTCACTGAGGTTGTAACCATGTATGTCCATAGGCTGCCCAATACCTGTGACAAAAACCGTGACATCAGCAGCACTTTCTTTGTTGGCTCTTTTAACAGTGTAGTCATTCCAGTCAGTCCAGTATAAGTAGTCTCCAAGAAGTGTTAACCCGAAAGGATGAGGCAGGGTGGCTGAAGAATCTATTAAGGTCACCCTGGTGTTCGTGCTAAGGTACAAGTATTCGAGCTTGTCGTAGCTGGCATCCACCCAATACAAGCGGTTTCTTTCCTGGTCAAGCGTCAGACCATTTGGCCACGACAGGCTAGTGTTTACGAGAACAACCCGCTGCTGTCCTGACATGTCAGCCCTTTCAATCTTTGCGTGATAACCCCAATCTGTCCAATACATGATTCTATCAAATACAAAACAAGTAAGAGGGTAAGGGTCTTCTCATTTTTTCTTCAGAGTCCACTTCTTAATTGTTGAGGGTGTTTTTGAAAAACATCGACCTTCGTTTTTATCTCAGCCAGGTTGAGTTGAGTTTCACTTTAAAGCTGGTGGAGTAGTTTCATCCCGTGAGTGTAGACATACGCCAAAGTTTTTTCGGAGGAAAAGATCAAGATGAAATAATGAATATGTAGGGATCCAAAAACACATGAATTTCTGCTTGTGTTTTTAGGAAACAGCTTAAACATTTTTCTTGCCTAGGGCCTCTTCTGGTAGCTCCTTTTAAACAATGATTTTATTGGGGGATGACTTGCTGGACCCTTGCCCATTAGACAAGTGAGCATTAAAAGTTACTTGCCCAACAATAAAATCTATTATAGTGCGGGACTACCGAACGGGTCTTTGGTCATGCCCTGATATATAAATTTAAATGCATTGGAAGCGGGCAATAAAGAAATAAATGCAAAGAAGAAAATTGCAGTTAAGACGCAAAATGACAGTGACCAACGCCTATGACTGCTGGTGGTATTTGGTTGTCCGTAATAAACAATCCAAACACTGATTAACTGTATTTGCCACGACAGTAACAATTTTTGCCCATTGCTAGAGCTACGAACAACCGTTTAGAGAAGAGAAAATTAGGTACACTGGCAATCTCTCTTTGCCTCTTTTCATTAAAAGGCTATACATCTGACAATTAAATAAGGGGTTTTGTTGCCTTCCATATCCATTTCAACTACTGACCCTTTACTAATATCCAATATAATATCTCTCGGTTCGTCTAGGCCACTTGTTATGAGAGCTTTCCGATGGGAACCGTCCAGTTTGGAAACTTCCAGCTTGTTGGTTCCCGTATCAGTCCAGTAGAGGTTTCTTCCGACAATGTCTACGGCCAATCCATCTGGTGACTGCACGTTTTGGTAAAACAAGACCTCAAACATAGAACCATTCAAGAATGAACGAGAAATGGTGTTCCTTGTCACATCTGTCCAGTACACTCTGTCCTCTAAAACGTCGTAGCCAATGGCAACCGATCGACTGATAATGCTTGACAAGGGTAAAGAGATGAGTGATCCAGGGGCATGAGGAGAAACTTTCATAATCTTTCCGTATGAAGCATCGGTAAACAGAAGAAACTCGTGTTCAGGAGGAGCTGCAAAAACGATAGAATTAAGGTGCCGGCAATAATAAGATTATTTACAAATGTAATGCACGATAGCAGAAGGAAAACACGCGCTGGTCTTTATAGTCGTGGACGAGTCTCTGTTTGTCGTGCATTGCACTTTGAGTGACGTTTAATAGTTAACACCCGCATTCAGAAGATTGAATGCGAGTTTGGGCGTATAAAACTCTCCAGTCATTGATGACTGGCTCTGTTTCCTAAAAGAAAAAAGGGGTACGGAGGCGGTACTTAAGTTTCTTCTAGTGAAAAAGCTTTAGAGAAGAAAATTGACCCCCCTTTTGGTGGTAATAAGCCATACCTTTACAGTTTCTTCCGTCGTCATCTAGAATGAGGCCTCCCGAACAAGCACAAACTCTTCCAGATTGTATAAGCAAGCAAAGTTGACTGCATCCGCCATTGTTGTTATTGCATTGGTCAGTGACTGTAATTGGATATAGCAAGGCACATAATCATTACTTAGAGGAGACCGTAAAAAGACTACCGCATGTGATCAGCAAAAATTAGAGGGGAACATATTGCAGATGAGACGTTTTTGTTTTCGAGCTGTATGGTCGACTTTTTATTTAGAGCATTTATAACTAGAATATGCCAGGAAACAGCACACTTGTTATGTGATTGCTGCCGATTTGATTTCGCGATGTGTTTAAAATACTCTATATTGGAGGGTCGCTTTTAACAAAGGCGACATGGTTATTTTTCGTCAGGATATTACGCTTTTGGTGGAAATTAAAGGCTTGAAAGGGGTCACACTTCTAAAAGATCATCGATCTGCAACTGATTTTTCATTTCTTCAAAACTATTGGTTTATGCTTCCTAAACAGTGTTTGTGGAAGGACTGAGCCATCATCGATGTATATTAATTTTCCTAACAAATATGCTAAAAGGATATTTGATATACCAATAATTTGTTCTCATAGCGAACTCCTTGTACTTACTTGGTATTGTTGTTTCACTGAGGTTGTAACCATGTATGTCCATAGGCTGCCCAATACCTGTGACAAAAACCGTGACATCAGCAGCACTTTCTTTGTTGGCTCTTTTAACAGTGTAGTCATTCCAGTCAGTCCAGTATAAGTAGTCTCCAAGAAGTGTTAACCCGAAAGGATGAGGCAGGGTGACTGAAGAATCTATTAAGGTCACCCTGGTGTTCGTGCTCAGGTGCAAGTATTCGAGCTTGTCGTAGCTGGCATCCACCCAATACAAGCGGTTTCTTTCCTGGTCAAGCGTCAGACCATTTGGCCACGACAGGCTTGTGTTTACGAGAACAACCCGCTGCTGTCCTGACATGTCAGCCCTTTCAATCTTTGCGTGATAACCCCAATCTGTCCAATACATGATCCTATCAAATACAAAACAAGTAAGAGGGTAAGGGTCTTCTCATTTTTTCTTCAGAGTCCACTTCTTAATTGTTGAGGGTGTTTTTGAAAAACATCGACGTTCGTTTTTATCTCAGCCAGGTTGAGTGGAGTTTCACTTTAAAGCTGGTGGAGTTGTTACATCCTGTGAGTGTAGACATACGCCAAAGTTTTTTCGGAGGAAAAGGTCAAGATGAAATAATGAATATATAGGGATCCAAAAACACATGAATTTCTGTTTGTGTTTTTAGAAAGCAGCTTAAACATTTTGCTGGCCTGGGGTCCCTTCTGGCGGCTCCTCTTAAAGAATGATTTTATTGGGGAATGACTTTCTGGACCCTTGCCCATTAGACAAGTGAACATTAAAAGTTACTTGCCCAACAATAAAATCTATTATAGTGCGGGACTACCGAACGGGTCTTTGTTCATGCGCTGAAACATAAATTTTATGCATTGGAAGCGAGCAATGAAGAAATAGATGCAAAGAAGATTATTGCAATTAAGACGCAAAATGACAGTGATCAACGCCTATGACTGCTGGTGGTATTTAATTGTCTGTAATAAACAATCCAAACACTGATTAACTGTATTTGCCACGACAGTAACAATTTTTGCCCATTGCTAGAGCTACCACCGACCGTTTTCAGAAGATAAAATTAGGTACACTGCAAATCTCTCGTTGCCTCTATTCAGTAAACGGCTATACATCTGACAATTAAATAAGGGGTTTTGTTGCCTTCCATATCCATTTCAACTACTGACCCTTTACTAATATCCAATATGATATCTCTCGGTTCGTCTAGGCCACTTGTTATGAGAGCTTTCCGATGGGAACCGTCCAGTTTGGAAACTTCCAGCTTGTTGGTTCCCGTATCAGTCCAGTAGAGGTTCCTTCCGATAATGTCTACGGCCAATCCATCTGGTGACTGCACGTTTTGGTAAAACAAGACCTCAAACATAGAACCATTCAAGAATGAACGAGAAATGGTGCTCCTTGTCACATCTGTCCAGTACACTCTGTCCTCTAAAACGTCGTAGCCAATGGCAACCGGTCGATCGATGTTGCTTGAGAAGGGTAAAGAGATGAGTGATCCGGGGGCATGAGGAAAAACTTTCATAATCTTTCCGTATGATGCATCGGCAAATAGCAGAAACTCATGCTGAGGAGGATCTTTACGGAAAGGAAATTGAACAAAATTAAATGGATTAGTAAATTTTGAGGGAGAGAACTCTATCTCTTTTACAGGTAAACTAATTAGTAGGCTAGTGTAAGAAAACGCCTGTTATTTCGCGATGCCATCACTTGTTGCCCTGCCAAATGACGTTTGAGAAACGAGTGCAAGGATTCCATACTGATATGATGTGTTACTACCCACAACTGGGTGGTGCTTCTGATTGCTCGTACCGTTTAGGAAATTCGTTTCAACCAATCAGAAGCAGTACCTGGATGTTGTTAGTGATGCGTCATAAGTATGGAATTTGTGCGCTCGTTTCTTAGACGTCATTTCGTGGGGAAACTAGGCTAATTATAATTAGGAATATGTTTATATACCTTGACACGTTTTTCCATCGTCATTGAGAACTGATTCGCCTGAGCATGCGCAGTCTCCTCCAGATGGTGTAAGCAGACAAAGTTGATCACATCCACCATTGTTATTATTACACTCTTCAGTAACTGAAAAATTTCACTGATAATGATTATGGCGTTGTGGTTTGCAATGGTGATATTAACAATATCTAAATATAAAGAGATTTTAGCCTTGAAATTTTGAGTGTTTGGTTAGTGGAGAATATAAGTTTTGTCTAAAAATACATTGATGCGCCCAAAAATATTATTACCAAATGTGATTCATCTGCCTAATCATTGATGTAGGTTATTGTGTCTAGAGTAAAAAAAAGAAAAAGAAAGAAAAAAAAAACAGTGACAGGTTTTCTTATAATAAAGTTGTCCTCATTACCTGGTACTATGGGTGCACTAACGTTATATCCATGTATCTCCATGGGCTGTCCTATGCCAGTGATAAAAGCTGAGATAATGCCAACGCTCTCTTTATTCGCTCGATAAACAGCGTTTGTGCTCCAATCAGTCCAATAAACATGATCTCCCAGCAGTGTAAGACCAAAGGGGTGTGGCAACACACTTGATGAAATCAGCAAGGTTACCCTGTTGTTATTATCGAGATCCAAGTATTCAAGTTTGTGATAACTTCCGTCCACCCAGTACAATCTATTGGTGTCCTTATCAAGTGTTAGGCCGTTGGGCCAATGCAATACGGAATCTACCAATACACTGCGCTCTTTACCAGCCATATTAGCTTTCTCTATTTTCGGACTGGAACCCCAGTCTGTCCAGTACATGATTCTATGAAAATACCAACAAAAACATTTTCCTATAGATAAATGCAAAAAATAATTATCGCAGTTAAAGACGTAACTATGCAGCTTCAAAAAACATCGCGCTTGCGATCAGTGAACCCTGACCTCAGCGATACTTCGCAGCGCTCTAACCAGTTGAGTAACTGAGCCAACTGGGAGCTGGTCTTTAAATCTAGCTCATAATATGCCCCAGGAAAATAAAGAAGAAATGATGAATATATTACTGTCATATAGTGGACTGGCCAAAGAAGACCATCTCAATTAAATACATACGCAAACGACTGCGATGAACCTATTTGCATTTAATTAATTAATTTAATTATTTGCGTTTCTATTTTATAAAATTCATATAATATTCATCATTTCAACAATCGTATACTTGTCACGGCGGAATACTTAAAGTTCTCAATGGCATCCCTTATACCAACTCCAAGCTATACCGAATAGTCTACGGAACAAGCAAACTCTGTTCCTTCTGTGCTCTAGTAGTGAACTCTTGACTGCTAGCGGAGGCCTCTTTCCCCTGGAACTCGACGGGCAGCCGGACACCAGGGAGGATATATTTATGCGTACGTATGCTAGTTCTCGAGTGAAAAGAAAGAGCTTCTATAGAAAAAGTGAACTCCAGAGGTTTTTGTTGATTTCCGGCGGTCATATTGGTGCACCAAAACGGTGAACCAATATGGCGTCTCCATACAAAGCTATACAAAGGTGCGTGAAACCTTTCGGCAAATAACTCAGAAACTGTGGGCCACAAAGACCTGAGACTTGGACGAATTGTTTATATATTAGTCTTTTATAACATTTCATTTTCTTGGCTTCTTCCACGGGAGGGTTTCCAATTTAATTTTTTGTTGCGTGACAGTAAAAACGATCTATAGGACCTGTAGCAGGTCATGCTGAAAATCCGATATTACCTTTCGGTCTAAGCTGTGTGCTAATCACTGGTAAAGTTTATCTGGGGAAACAATACATGCATGCACCTGCAAGCATACATGGATTTTTGAAAAACGATTGTGGCGAAATATGAAAATGAATGACTTTTTTTTTCATTGAAAAGACTAACCGAAAATGGTTTATAAATCCTGAAAATGTTTTTTTTTTAAAATCAGATCATTATTTTTTTCCGTTGCTTGTATAAATTGTAACTTGTGTTAATTACTTAGTTTAAGTTAGAGTTAGATGTACATTTAATATATTGTGTTGTTATTGTTTACTTAGTGTTTTGTAGGAACTGTTGTAATAACTCTGTTTTCGTATCTTTGTGGACATAAGTCATTGTCACAAGTTCTTTTTTGTTAGTTATCAAGTTAGTTAGTAATGGTTAGAAGTATAACCAAGGGAAATGAATTTTAGTTCTTAAAAACTCCTTTTACTGAGAAAAAAACTGGATTGGAAGGTGAATTTAGGGTACCAAGATACATTTCTTTTTCGAAGAAATACGTTAGTCTGGATTAGTTATTAGTCTAGTTATAGATTAGTCTAGTCATCAAGTTAGTTAGTAATGGTTAGAAGTATAACCAAGGGAAATGAATTTTAGTTCTTAAAAACTCCTTTTACTGAGAAAAAAACTGGATTGGAAGGTGAATTTAGGGTACCAAGATACATTTCTTTTTCGAAGAAATACGTTAGTCTGGATTAGTTATTAGTCTAGTTATAGATTAGTCTAGTCATCAAGTTAGTTAGTAATGGTTATAACCAAGGAAATGAATTTTAGTTCTTAAAAACTCCTTTTACTGAAAAAAACTGGATTGGAAGGTAACCAAGAATTATAACCAAGAAGTATAACCAAGAATGAATTTTAGTTCTTAAAAACTCCTTTTACTGAGAACAAAACTGGATTGGAAGGTGAATTTAGGGTTATTAGTCTAGTTATAGATTAGTCTAGTCATCAAGTTAGTTAGTAATGGTTAGAAGTATAACAAGATACATTTTTACTTTTTTTTAGGGTACCAAGAAACATTTCTTTTTTTGAAGAAATACGTCAGTCTGGATTACTTTATGTTTATGTTCACCTTATCAGGCAATTGGGCATAGAAGGAGTATAAATGCGAGGATTATCCTTAAGGAAGGATTGAAGGATTTGAAAACGCATTCTCCGCTCGCGCCTGCAGGCAAAGCTCAGAGCTAAGTCGTATCTATGCAATTAGCCAGACGTTAAAACTGTCATTATCTTTGTGTCGCATTTAAGAGAGCTTTAGCATCGACGACAACGACGGCAAAAGTCACTAAAAATGACTTCGCGTTTTCTTTCAAACTTTGTCGAGTAAATTCCAATTTGCTGAAAATATCAAATGTAGGCGAATTCCAATGGAATTGATTTCTTACGCACCCCACTCAAGTTTAGAAAGAGAAAAAAAATTGTCTTAGCTTGTTTACTCCATAAAACGTCAAATTAGGCATTTTCCCGTCGTAGCAGCGACGGCAAAGAAATGTACAAAAAAAGTGTGTTGCGCGTGTTTGTTTGACGTTCTTGTTGCAGTCGCCGTCGCTGTTGCTAAAGCTCCCTATTATACATGCGTACGGACGTCATTTAATTCTTACCCTTTACTAATATCCAATATGATGTCTCTAGGTTCATCTAACCCGGTTGTTATGAGGGCTTTACGGTAGGACCCATCCAGTTTAGAAACTTCCAGCTTATTGGTGCCCGTATCAGTCCAGTACAGGTTCCTTCCCACGACGTCTACTGCCAGTCCATCTGGTGTTTGCACGTTTTGGTCAAAAAGGACTTCCTGCATAGAACCATTCAGAAATGAACGAGAGATCGTATTCCTTGTGACATCTGTCCAGTACACTCTGTCCTGTACGAGATCGTAACCAAGGGCAACGGGTCGGGTAATTATGCTTGCTGATAAAGGCAGTTGTACACGCTGTTGGGGATCATAAGGAAGTACTTTCACTATTCTACCATATGTGGCATCGGCAAACAACAGAAACTGCTGAGGAGCTAAAAGTAATAACGAAGGTTGTAATCAATAAAAGAAATGACTATTGGCAACTTCATCTTAATATAATTCTCTTTGTAAGTAAGCTTAACATGCAAAGACCCAGAAATATGCATTATTTATCAAACGCGAGGATACAAAGGCTGGATAGTTTTTGTTTTTTTAGTTCTTTTTTTTGCGTTTTTATAGACCGAAAAGAAGTCCACGTCCATGTAAAGGCGCAAAAAAAATACGAGGTCACTATCCAGCTACCTCGACCGAACAAACTTCAGCAATAAAGGATCTTTACATTTGCCAAAACAAACTCTCTTTTTGCGGGACATAGCGAAAGCTAGCGGATAACCTTGTCTGCTCGGGTAGATAATCAGAACTCAGGATTCTCCTTATTGTAAGTGAATCACTCCAATTTAAACGTTTCGATTAATTTTCCTCTTTGATTTAATCTGTTCATGGTGAGTCTAAAGCAAAGGGAAAAATTGGCCAACGAACAAAATAGATGGACACCGTTGTGCTTTTCCATACAAATTTTTTGTGTGACATTTTCCATGATCTCTTCTTATAATGTCTTACTATGGTATGCAATAAACGTATCATTTCTGCAATACAGCATTAAGTACCTTCACAAGACTTCCCGTCGACGGCGAGATTAAGCCCATCTGAACATGAACACTTTGCCCCAAGTGGTGTTAGCAAGCAAAGTTGGCTACATCCTCCATTGTTGTTACTACATTCATTAGTAACTGAAAAGAAAAAAAAGCTTCTTTGTTTCTCATAGTTTGTGACTTGATATAGAAGATATGCTACAGCCCGCCATCCGTACGGATGATGACAAGAGACAAAAAATAACCTATCCTTCAGATGCAAATCAAGAACATCTTGTGTCTTTACAACTAAGAGTTTAAGATGATATGCCAAGATTTACAACCCAGCTCATGCTTGAATCTTCCCAAGGCCGTCCGAGGCAACACAGATAAATTGAACGTTTAAAATCATATCGAAGACAAGATTTCCCATGGATGCAGGCACTGGAAGAACTTCTCTCGTCGAATTCCAGACAGGTGTATTTGAATTCTTTTTTAGGTTAAGTGATAATCAGTGACGTTTTGTGTAACTCCAACAAAGAGTTGCTCTTTTTCAATGCAATGCAACTGTGACTGAGATTTTTCGTTTAAATACCTGGTAAAAACGTATTATTCACATCATAGGCATGAATAAGCAGCGGTTGAGATTCGGTGGGCAGTATTTTAACGACGTTTCCCCCATTTTGTCGATCTGCGCGGTATATTCCATTATAATACTGGCTTGTCCAGTAGAGATGATTCTGATGTAGCGCCAGTCCAAACGGGTAACTCAGGTAGACATGACTTGAGATAACTTGTCTTCGAGTGTTAGTTGGAAACTCGTACACTTCGAGCCTCTCATAACTTGCATCTATCCAGTAAAGCCAGTTTCTTTCAATGTCAAGAGCAAGCCCATTGGGATAGTACAGTCCTGAGTCGATAACAGTGACTCTGTTTTGACCGTCCATATCGGCTTTCTCTATTCTTTCGTCAATTCCCCAGTCAGTCCAATACATGAATCTGCCGAGCAAAAAGAGAAGCTAACTAAGAATTTTGTAAAAATGAAAATGGAACGAAGTAGGTATCGAGTGCGGAAAAATGGTAGTAAGCTGCCGAATGAAAGATGAAGCCGCTGTGTGGTTAGCTTGTGGTTATTTTGTTGAATGTGCAAGAACGGAATTTGTTTGAGAGTTTCATTGTTTAAAAAGTATAACGGCAGCACTGTAATTTGCACTATGTACATTTAGTGATGGCTATCTTACACAAATACTAAGAGCTGATTGACTCTTCACTTTTCTCGGTAGATGTTGTAACGAATAAGGCGTGAATTTTCAATCGTGATTGTATTACTAGTAATCACGAGTCGCACGTAGAGAAACCAAAAAACAGAGAAAAAATCATTGGTTGCTTGAACTTATTTAGAAACAAAATCTTGATGAGGGGAGAGCTTGGAGCGAAGGGAGGAAAAGGGACGTACGCGTAGATTTTATCGTATTTTGCATTATCGCTGAAACAGAAAGTCCTGATTGGGCTGATTTACTCGAGGAAATTAACGATTAAGTATAAACGCCAGGAGATTCAGGCTACCCCATAGTTGATTACAGCTAAATTATGAGTTTATGCGCAACTAAAAGGTTAAATTATACTAGGAAAGCAATCGGAGAAGAAACTTCGCGAACATACGCCTATATCAATCATACCCTCTAGTGACATCCAAGGCAATATCCGTTGGACTTTGCAAATCCTTATTAATGATTATGCGTCTGTACAAGCCGTTCAACGTTGCAGCCTCAATAGTAACTTCTGCACTGTCTGTCCAATATATATTCTGACCAAACGGGTCAACAGCAAGTCCATAAGGGTTCTCAATGCGAGAGGACACAACAATTTCCTGAGCGGATCCGTTCAAAAACGATCTGGATATTGTGTTGAGTGACACATCAGTCCAGTAGACTTTTTCGTCCTGAAAATTATAGTCTAGAGCTACAGGTGTTAAAGGAGGTGTTTTCAGTGGAATTCTATATGTTGTACTGGAATTAAAATGCAGTTGCATTTGTCTGATGTTATGTACCTCAACAAAAAGAAGAAAACTTGAGAATTCTGAAAAGAAGAAAACACGTACAAACGTTTGTTACAAGGTAGATCAGAACAATTATGGAAAAAGCTAAGACACAAAGGACATTTATTATTCCATTTGGGTTAGTTATTGATCTGTTTATTACCTGTCAAACACTTCTTCTCATCTGGTTGCAGAGGCAAGCCATCAGGACAAGCACACTGATATCCGTCAGGCGTCAAAAGGCATAGATGACTGCAGCCACCGTTGTTCACTTTGCATAACTGGTTACCTGACATATATGATAGAAAAGTTTCAGATAAAATACATATTTGACCCTCGCTGTCATGATCATGATCAATATGATGCAGTGAGTGGTGAAAAGTTCGCAATAAATAACGAAGGGACATGTTTAAGACAAACTATAAACAAAGACATAAAGAGTAAATTCGGTAATGATATCAGTAATAAATTAAAGCCACTCTTGAAACAATTAATTGATATGTTGTGATTGTTATAGTTGCAACATAATTGTTTTGTAGTTGATACTATAACCACTTATAAATTAGAGTTCATTATTACGATGCTTCTACGATATATTTATCTCACCAATTTTTTGAACACCAACCTAATAAAATTTGCAGTTATTTGAGTGAAAAGGCGTCAAAAAGTTTCTTAAGCCCGAGAAGCTCCAAAATCACAGTAACGAAGGAGAAGGAAAGGAAAAAAAGAGAGAGTGAGGAGAAGGAAAGGAGGAGAAGAGAAAAGAGCAATGGTTGCACTCTTAGTTTTTATAATAGCTACTTTTTCTTGCCAAAAAAAACTGCTGTTATGCATATATAAAATATAGATTTAGCCAGGGCTAAAAGTGAAGCTTCCATTAGTAAATTTATAATTTAAATCAAACAATAAACTTGTAATCCACAAATCAGTTAACTTAAGGGCACTTTCATGTGATTTTTGTGGGAAAGGCTAAGTGGTTTTAGGGTGAAACATCTTACAGCGCGTTGATAGCCTTATATGTACACTTAAAAAATCTTAATCATCTTCGATCACATTCAAGAGCCATAATGGCTCTTGATCACAGTAAATTAGGCCTGTAAAACAAGTTCTTGGAAAATAAATCAGGTCGAATTTTTTGCGTTCCACAAGTTTACTTTACAAAATCTTGCCAACAAACCTGGGGGTGTGTAAACCAACCTTTTATACTTTTTATACATCTAATTTGAGGTGAAACAGTACTATATATCATACAGACCTCGGATAGAATGCAGTATTTCACAATTTTTCAAGACAAATTGCACTTAGTCAATATTGAGGACGATTAGTCGTGGGCTTTTAGCGAAACCGTTCAAAAAATTTTCGAAATCACCTATAGAAAAAAAAAAAAAAAAAAAAAAAAAAAACACGCCCAGTCGGTTCTCACTTTTGATTGCTGTGTTTGAATGAACATTACTGGAGTTACACTTCAACATACTAAAAAAATATTTTGTTTACTTTTTTATTTAATGGTTTTATAATAATGTGTAATCCTAAAAAGCGTTTGATACGGCGGTATTTTGAGTGCTCCTGCAAGCGATGTTTATGAACGACTGAAAACAAACGGCACAGCGATTAAAATTGCAAGAGAGATCACTAACAATCAATAAAAAAAATTCAATTCGGTGAAACATTTACAGAGACAACAATTTTCATTCACGAACACAAGTATTAAAGTATCTCTAATTAAGCTTAAAGCTTAAGAGCGAATCCGTGCAAAAATCGACCAAAATAGCCGATTCGTGGCAAGGCTCAAAAAATCAAAATCGCTCTTCTTTTGCAGACTGGTAGACATTAGTAAGTATACAAACGCTATGTAGTTTTTTCTTCGAAAGATCTGTTTGTTTCTGAGAAAAACGAAAAAAACCGTTTCAAGCCCCACCGTCGATTTCGCAAGCCAAAAACGGGTTGAAATTCATCATGATTCGCTGGACTCGCGTTCTAATACAGCCGCGCTAGGAAAAAAACTTATTGCTAAAATTTTAAGTTTAACTCGTCGTTGATCAAAATATATAATATTTTTAGCATTACAACAGTCTAAGTAATTTTTAAAAAGCTAAAGCGTACGACTTCCTGATGTTTAGCCACGAAAGGTCGTTGAAAACAGCGACGATTTTCATCATGTGCCTTTGATCAGAATTTTTTCAGATTGAAGGCAAATACACTAAAGGCATCAAACTATTATGTTATGCAACAATTATTTTGGGGAAATCATTTTGAGCCTCTCAGAAATTATTTGAAAATCGTTTTACAGACAACATAAAGTAACGCCATCTTTAACATATGCGTGACCATCGTCAGTCGACCAGGCAAAGGTCATGAAACGTCTCTCGGAAAAAGTCTTGGTAATATTCACGCACAAAGTTGTAAATGTTAAAGTACTCACCCTATTCTTTGTTTCAGGTCTAGTTTTAGGGCAAAATGTAAAATGTTTCCCGTTGCCATCTGTTCAAGTTTGCCATTCTATATTAAACTCTGTTTGAGACTCATAACCAACACGCATGCTTTCTAACGAAGTTCGCTTAGTAAACACGTAGTAAACCCTCTCTTCCTTATCTGTCAACAACTTTTGTTTTAAAATGCTGCTGGACACCGCAGAAGGAAGCGCCAATCTGAAGGATAAAGCGCCCATGCGAACGTTTTTGTGACTCAGTATGCAAATTACTGTCAACAGTAATATCAGATTACAGCTGTCAAGATCCCGGGGCCCGGGGTCCGGATCCGCTAAAAGCAGGCGAAAAGCAAACGTACAACCCGGTATAATATAAAATTTTTGACAATGAAGAATTTAATTGGTAGCCTCAATGAGGATTTTCTTTTCTTCGAGACGTCGGCATTATCAAATCAACAGATGTCTTAACAAAAAATTGTGTACATGTTTTCTTCCCATCTTCACAGATGGAACTTCCAGTTGTTGGCTACACGTGGGTAATCCTGGCCTGCCCGTGCGGTATTTCAGAGTGCCTTCTTAATAAATGACAAATGTAATTTCTGCTGTGCTAAATGCCACTTTTCGTGAATTGAAACAAACATTATGGGGGCGGCGGGCGAAGTACAAATAAAAAATATTCGCGCAAGGGAAAATTAAATGAAAAAAAATCATGCACGCCAATTAACCCTAAAAAATATTCATGCTACGGCCTAAAACTGAAATTCATGAAGGAATTTGGTAAAGAAAAAAATTTCAGCGGCACAAAAATCCCCCCCTCCCCCATGACTCTTCTGTTGGTCCGTCCCTAATAGATAAGGTTTCTCTTCGTGATCCCAAATCTCCTCCGTTCTTGTAACATTCTGCAAGCGCATCTGCTACTGAGCTTGAAATCAATGGCTTCGTCATTCGCCATTTCCCCCCACGTTGGCTTGAATGGTCGGCATTAGATTCTACCCACCAAAACCACATCGATCGAGAGGGACTGAGATTAAATTTTGAATAACTTAAAAGTCGTAAACGAAGATTCTCGGAAAATGTACGGATGATATGCACGAACAACCGAACATCCGAATACTAGATCGGACGTTCTAACCACTGAACCATTAGGGCTCTAGCGTTAGTGAAGTCGGAATTCTACTATACCTGCAGAGTGTACTACACTTCTGTACTGGGAGCTGAAAGAAAGAGAAAGGCTCGAGAAAGGCTGCGTTCATTTCACGTGGGGGTGCAGAAAATATATCATGGGATACAGTTTCATACATAATGACTGAGATGTTAGTAAGATGTTGGAAACGAGCAACGAGCGGCGAGAACGAATCGCGAAGCTCGCTGGTAAGTGCTCGTTCTTTCTCACGCGGAGAAAAATCAGGAACAACCTCTGGAACCAGGATATATAGCTAGGTGTAAATACCGCGAGCTTTATACTCCCCCCACCCCCTGCAAGAAGAAGTTTCTTTCCGGCATGGATTTTAGCATTCCAGTCTACATATATTAACCTCCAAAATTCTAAATTTCTGAGATTTATGAATGTACATAATACAGCTTTACTGTGCTTTTCACAAACATGCGAACTCTAAAGTTCAAAAGCCGCCTTCGCAATTGCGTTTTTCGCTGCCGTCAATCATAATTACGACCACAAGCGACGAACCTTGAAACACAGAAAAACACAAAACGGATCGAAATCCACCAATCACAAATCAGAAAACTTGACCTTTTGAACCCATTAAAGTAAAGTCTTGTTTCCTAAGAGGTCCGTTAAGATGATTGACGGCAGCGAAAAACGCAATCGTCAGTTGGCTTTTGAACTTCAGAAACATATCCAAAATTCGCAGCAATTTTCCTATCGAACGCGGGTTCGTAACTTAAAATTCCCGCCATGATGTTCCTGTTTGTTTCCCGGGACTGATGATGGGATTTGGAAGGTCGCGAGTTCGACTCTCGCCCGGGGCACGAAAATTTTCGTTGCCCCGGGCAAGCATGGTTTCTCCTTCTCCCAAGTGAAACTGTTCACTGGAAGTGTAAGTGTGCTGCTCACAAGTGCACATTAAAAAAATAATAAATAATAATAAGAAAATAAAATAGTTTGTATGTGTAAATAATAACAACTTATATAAAAACCATGATTAAAATTTTGTTTGTGTCAATAATTATTATGCTTTATGAGTATGGTCTTAAAAAGGTCCGTCAGTACTTTGCAGAAGCGTAACTATGCGCCTAAAAAAATTAAAACCCTGAGTGGTTTTGGTGGATGTAGACTTCAACATCCACCAAAACCACCGACAGTGTTCGGTGCTAGATGTGTATCACGTAGACCCATGAAATCTGAAACATATTTTAAAACTTCACGTACAATATTTGCCAAAATACAGTTATACTCGTTATATTCACCCTTTGTTGGCGAGAACTCGATCTCCCAAAGCAAAAGAAAGGCGAATCCCCGGGAGGCGAATACGTCAAAACATCGTAGGCATCTTTCGTTGGTATAACATGTCACAAGGTGTCCAAAAGTCAATCTCAGTCCCTCTCGATCGATGTGGTTTTGGTGGGTAGAATCTAATGCCGACCGGCTTGAATGAGGAACAAGTCAGTCGTTTGAAGTAAATGTAAAAATAAAATAAAATAAAATAAAACGACGACAACAAATGCCATCAGAAGTGGACTATGATCTTTAAATTTTAAAAAATATATATATATATAATTACTCTGGGGGAAATCGGGTTTAATTTCAAACTAAGAGAAAAAGTGAAAGGTTTATTTTATCGGACAGTTTAGGTGGATTGGTACCGTACCCGGGAGACTCTGGGTTACCTAAGAGAGTTGACAACTATGATAAACGTTATACAGTATTCGTGGATTGAATCTAAGTGACTTGTTAGAATATAATACAGTGAATAAACCAAGAGTACCTGAACCTACAGGAGTGAGGATACCGGTTTGCTGATAGATATATTCTGAAATGTTCTTGTTTTTGCAAAGATCTTATTCTTTTTCAAGTGGGAATGAACGGTTGAATCAAAATAAACTAAATTTAATTCGATAATGTTAATCAAATGCCTAAAATGTCAAAATATTAAAGATAATTCTCAGGTAAAATAATGTCAACTGCAGTATTTTTGATGAAGGAGGAGTATAAAAGATGAATCTTCTTCAGTGTACTGGAAGTAACGGGTGAAAGTCGGTGAAGCTCGTCACGTGTATACTCGCCACCGGAAGTAGACCCTTGGCACACTCCTACGCAAATCAGATTACCTTGAAGTGAACGGATCCACGAGCAAGCAACTTTGCTTTGTTGACAGTTAAACTACCGAGCTTTGTTTTATAGACGGCTTTTTTAAGGTCCAGGTCCAGGGATGTTAACTTGAAAACATTAGAGAAAACAGAGGGATGAAGAAATTACCAGAAAGCTGTCACGCACCTTCAACGCACACATTCCAGCGGACTTCACGACTACGGTAAGATAGGTGATAAGGCGGCAAAATCAAACAACTTGGAGCTTGAAGTACAACAGATATAGGTTAAGGTGAGCTTTTTTAAAAAGTTGTTCTATATATCAAGGCTACCAGCGTTGTAAAAGGAAACCTAAAGTCAACTTGTTGGTGGTGGTTGTGTGACTCGTGTGTTGGATGCCGTTATTTTATGTTGTCTGTAACACGAATTTCAAATTATTTCTGAGAAGCTCAAAATGATTTCCTCAAAATAATTTTAACATAACATAATAGTTTGATGCTTGTAGTGTTTTCCCCTTCAATCTTGAAAAATTCTGATCAAAGGCACATGAGGAAAATCGTCGCTTTTGTCAACTACATTCCGTTGTTGAACAATAGGTAGACATACGCTTTAGCTTTTTTATAATTACTGAGACTGTTGTAATGCTAAAAATATTATATATTTTGGTCAACGACTAATTATACTTACAATTTTAGCAACAAGCTTTTTTTCTAGCGCGGTTGTTTTGAAATGCAAGTCGAGCGAATCATAGTGAATTTCAACCCTGTTTTCGGCTTGCGAAATCGACCGCGGGGCTTGAAACGGTTTTCTTGTTTTTTCTCGGAAACGAACAGATCTTTCGAAGAAAAAACTACATGGCGTTTGTACACTTACTAAAGTCTATCAGTATGCCAAAGAAGAGCGATTTTTATTTTTTGAGCTTTGCCGCACTTTGGTCGATATTTGCATGGAGTTGCTCTTAAGTTTATGCTTTAAGACGGGCCTCCCGGTGTTTGATTTTTTTCAAAGAGGAACTCGAGGCAAGAAAATGGCTCAAAGTTTTCTTTCTATAGCCAAATTTATAACTAAATATTCTTCGGAATGTTTTCTTTCTATTTGCGGTGAGAAAATATATCTTAAGCCTTTTTGGAGTTCTGTAACCTTATATCGAATCTGATACTAGATCAGATCATTGTCTCAAATCTTTCAAACGTGCATAAACTTGCCACATACACTAAACTGTGCTCGGCTTCATAAAATTATATATATATTAAATTGCTGAATTACGAAGGTAACGCGCGAGCATCACAACTGAAATGACTGTTATTTTAAACGTCTAACGGAAAATGTCATAGATGACACTATCATCTCCTGCGCGCGCCCGCGCGCGTCTTTCGGTTCTGGGCGTAAAAACCATCATCCTCATTAAGTTTATATATATATATATGTACGTGAACGGCTAGTTAGTCACCCTGAAGAAGATCACTGAATGTGATCGAAATATAGGTGGATTGAAATGAAACTGTTTTCTGTCTTCATATATATATATATACATACATCACACAAATGAACTGAAACCAGTGAAAGAAATAAATAAATGAACACAAGTGAAACTCTAAAAATTGCCTTGAACGGGATTTGAACCCGCGTCCTCGACTTTCTAGTGCCGATGTGTTAACCACTACACCACCAAGACAACCACGCTAACGCGCAGTCGAATTGAAGGCTTTATGGCTCATATATATTAAAACCCTCTCGGATTCAAGCGACGCATTTCACAACCAAAAACCCAATAACAAACCATGAATGACAAAAGACTCTTGATAGCAGCTGTATTTCATTTTGTACATCCAGTGGAAAAAGACAGTTAAAAACATCACAAGTTGACATAAAACTCTGTCAGCTTCAGCTGTCAAAGTAAACAAGTTTCAAGATGCTGCATAAATCTTCATCATGAACTCACCTGTCTAATTTTGAGCAATCAGAGCATAAAAATTGGACGTAGAACATGACCAACGCGTGACCATCGTGAGAAGAGGTCTTCCTCGCCTGCATTTTTAATAACTGCCTGAATTTTCGCGTCCGAGGTCAGTTTGAAATCAAAATCTTAATAGTGCGGGGCCAAAGTGACATATTTCAAACACAACATATGAATTTGTGAAAATATGAACTTGAGCCTTCGATCATTTCAAAACTAGTAACTTGTCAGCGGATAACTTCAAATAATACTCGACCTCGATGGGTCGATACCGGAGCCCGCGATGCGGGAGATGATACTGGTCAGATACCCTGTTTTTACAGCTGTCAATTGATCACAACATGGATGTGAAACGATGTGCAGTGATATGCAACATCAGGTTGCACCTAGGCCTTTCCCGATTGCGCTAAGCATCTTTTGAGCACTTTTTTGAGTTTGGAGCACTATTTTGCATTTTGAGCACCCTTAAGCCCTTTTTCGCACTTTGGGCAAAATTTGAGCAATATTTCACATTTCGAGCAAATTTCGAGCAACATATGTCTTCTAAAACAATTTAAAGCAAAAACTCGCCGCAACGAGAATCGTGTTCCAGGTCATGAATTTGATAACTAATGATGTTGTCAAGAATAAAAGACCGTTGTCATGGAAAGGCACGTGGACTTATCCTTACTGAGCGTGAGAACAAAAGTTTCTGATTGGCTGATGTATCATGCGTGTGTCATCTCAAATTTCTAAATCATCTGATGTCTAGGCTTTGCACTAGTACAGCTGAATTTATTTACAATTCGTAAGCGGCTTTAGGTTTTTTAAAAATATTATTGTTCTATATTCTATCAACCTTTTGTAACAACCTGTCGAATAACACTACGCAAAATAGACTGTTAATTACTTCAGTAAAAATTGACATATTTACGAAAAGCTTAGAGGTAACTGTTTACAACTTTTAGCACTTTTTGAGCACTATTTAGAGATTTTGAGCACTTTTTAGCCATTTTTGCCAGCACTTTTTTAGGATTTTACGAGCGCAATCGGGAAAGGCCTAGTTGCACCAGAGCTCCCAAACTTGCTAGAAAGTGCGAGATAAAATATTGGTTTCCCTGTGGTGCGGACGGACGGTAGGTGTACGGTCACGTGATTACCAAATTTTCTGGGATAGGTAGATTTACTTAGCTATGGGGACCCGCCCACGCGCGCACGTGGAGCTCCGTTATAAAAGCAACAAGGCTGTCCGGCACTACGTAGAAGAGGTGACCTTGCAAGACAACAAAATGACAGCGATAAAACTCCCACAGAGGTTGCTGCAACCATGGGTAAACATTTCGTTATTAGGATTCATCCGTCAGGCATATAGCAAGTTGAATATGAGAATAAGATTCAGTCTCTCACACAATCTTTTAAATGGCCTAAAATTGGATACACACCAACCGAAACACGTCATATCACGCATTTCGATTAAAAAGGGTAAAAAACGAAGTGTCACCTTAACGCCTCGTGAAGTCAGTAGGATGGCCATGATAGTAACCAAACTTGGGGACAAACGTAGACAAATCCACGTCAAAATAATTATACTGCATATTGGCAAAAATATGAGTCTTGACTTTTATCATGACACGTGATAAGGTGCAATCGCTGAGCGTCTGTTCAACAATTTTTATGTAATTTTACGGTACTCTTGCCATTTTTCCTTACCATACTGAAAAGTTCTAACGAGAATAAAAAGAACTTAGGGCTGTTGCAGAAATATTTTTCTACGATATAATTCACCTTGCTGGTTGTTTCGTAGATTTGGTATACTTTCGGCTCATTAGGAATCTTGTAAGCGATCATTTCGTTGGTCAGGAGATACTTTGTTGTACTGCTGTAATGCAAGTCAACTTGAGAATGAAAAAGTTATAGTTACATGCCGAGTCTGGTTGTCGCGAGGAGTGTAATAATGCTAACCCAAAAACTCGGTCTGATGTTAAAATACCAAACCCTCCAAGATAAGCCGCAGTTGTCCAGTTAAGTCTCTCAATAGAGTCAGTATTCCAGTCGCTCCAATACAAGACATCATCATAGACAGTGAAGTCAAAGGGATGCATATTTCGAGAGGGATGTACCGGACTTGATATTGCTCGTCTGTTGTTGCCATCCAAATCAGCAGAATCAATGGCATCAACCCATGCGTCAATCCAGTAGATACGGTCTTCCAAATAATCCAAAATTATTGCATTTGGCCAGTTTTGAACGGATCTTGTTAAGTTAATAAGGAGTGTTCGATTCGTGCCAGCAAGAGTCGCTCTCTCAATTTTGGGTGTAAACCCCCAGTCTGTCCAAAACATCAACCTGAAAGCGAGTAACTTGACAGTTATATCCCACTTTTTCAATTTCTATTTTATGGCAAGTGTACCCGATATGGGGACTCTCATTTGAGAGACATGGGGATGCTTTTCATAGGGGAAAAATTAGCTACAGGAAACTAATCTGAAGGTTACGCCTCAGGCTTCATTAGATCTCTACATTAAACATACTCCAACACAGTATGGCGAAGTTTGTCTGTTAAATAAATACTTCTATACGAAAAACCCTCAGTGATATAGACAAAAATATTGCTGTTTCCTTTTTGAACACCCAGAAAGAGACCATGTCTACCACCAAGAGAGACGACCGGGCATCCCCGTTCATTTTGTAAGGGCGTTATCCCCATGGGCTGCTTTCTTAGTGAAGTTTACATTTATATTACTTACTCGCAAAACGCACCCGTTAAAAAGGTTGTAAGTGTACGATGCTTATCATTTCGTCCATACTCAGGCTTCGTTTGCACTCTAATTGTTCCAGTGTAACGTTAATGTCTAAGCAAGGCGTATCATTATGTAATACCTTACTCAAAACAATACCTGATGACTATTTGAACAAAGAAGGATTAAAATGTCATAAAGTTTTCGGTTTGTTCATAAGTAATGGAGTTAAAATATTTACTACATTTTGCAACGCCATCTGGTCTCCCTGCAAAATGACCTTTGAGGAGCGAGCGGAGAAATTTCCCACTGATGATCGTCAGTACCCAGGGTAAAGCTTCTGATTCGTCGTGCCGCTAGGAAAATTCGCTTCAACCAATAACAAGCACTACCTAGATCTGGGTAGTGACACGTCATCAGTGTATAATTTCTGCAGTCGTTCCTCTGACGTCATTTTTAGGAGTAACTGTTGTTGGCGTCGCGAAATGTGGTCTGTTTTCGATGGGCTCAAGCAGGTGAAACGTGAAGAGGTACTAAACATCGATCCACATTGCAACTAGATTTGTGTGTCACATAACTAAATTAAATTGCTTCCCTTTCTTTGGATACAATGCTATTCCTCGTGGATACTCGACTTCCTCTGTAAACAGCACTTTTCTTCGAGAACCATCCAACGAGGCTACTTCCACTCTGTGTTTGCTGTAGTCTGTCCAGAATATCAAATCGCTTTCCCATTCCACAGCAAGACCGTCAACTACACCGAGGTCGTCTGTAATGATATTGTCAGTTTCTCCAGTTTCAAGGTCCATCCGTTGGATGACAAGTCGGTTAATGTCGCTCCAGTAGATGGTTTTCTCCTTAACGTGTACATCGAGAGCGACTGCTCGACTGACGTTTGACACTAGATGAACAATTCTGGAAGTACTCGGCTCGAGGGCGTTAATTTCAGAAGTCGCACTGTAAATTAAGCAAGGATCTGTGCAATTGGTTACTCCTGGGTAGAAAAGGAATATAAAATGTTACTGGAAAGGGTTACAGAACTTAAGCAGATGTAATAAGCAACCTTTTTATAGTCATAGTCATCATTCCCCGGTAACAGGCAGCTATTACAGCTCCTGAAGGGAAATCAAGAGGTAAGCCCAATTCCTAAGATCTCTTACACAATTTTATGCGCCAAAAACCAAGGAAGAACCGTCTTTGTGTGAAACGTTATACGTATTTATATGTTGATTCGTTACCGTTCTTTCGGACTTACTCCTAACCTAATGAGTGTCTTCGTCTATGTCACTTATAATGTATTTCCTATTTAGATTGTCCGGTTCCTTCTGCAAGACTGTGTATGCAAGGGAACATTGATTTCTACTTTCCTAACAAATGATGAAAGAACCACTTTTGGATGTAAAATTGAGCAGGACCATTTTAATGTCTACCGAGAAAAATTGTGTTTCTGACCGTTCACGAGCTATTGTTTTTTCAAAAAACAATCTATTTTATTGACGACAAAATAACAACATTAATATACAGCACATAGTAAAAAATAAATAAATAAATAACAAAACTAATTACAGCCTTTACACAAAAAATAAACCAAAAAAATAAACAATAACTTACAATTATAACGAAAAATATTGGAGGATAAAAGCCTGTCAGTTGCCACACCAGTATTTGATATTGTTTGCCACAATTTTCAATGCGATATTGTTCAAAAAGCTTAGCACGTAAAATTCATCTAAAGTACGTTTCTTTGTGATGCTTTTGCAAGTATACAAGCATTTATTTTGCAAAGTAGAGTTAAATTTGGCATTTGCAATGGAAAGGAGTCTTCGAACGTGTTAAATAAAATTTGTTTGTTTGAAGGTTGTGCGTTCTCTTTATGGTATTCGTTAAACCACCCTAAAGTTTTGGAAAAGAATTCCTTTGACTCTTGATAATATATAGACGTGTCTTTAATTGAATCTGGATTGAGGCAGAAAGGACACTTGTCATCAGAGGCTAATTTATATTTCAGTGATTCTTTCTTGGTCGTAATTATTCTGTGCATAACCTTAAAAGAGAATTGTCTAAGCTTATTATCTTTCGAAGACATATATATCCGCGAAACAATCACTCCAATCAGGAAGTGCTGAAAAGCTTTTCTTCCAAGCCCTTATTTCGCAGGGTTCAGGAGCAAGTTTCTCGATGAACAGATTGCAATAATTTTTACAGCGCAATTTAGTGAAGACTATTGTTCGATCTTCCATCTGACAGTACTATGATGTGGCACTAATCAGATTAGGAAGCGGGGAATCACTCTCTCCTCCGAAGAGGCCTCTTTGTGTCATAGGGAGGCTGATGAGAAAGAAAAAGAAAGCGCGCTGGGCACGATGGGCGTAAACCCTCTTCCCATCGTCCCCCGCGCGCTTTCTATTTTTCGATTACGGAGCTTCTGCAGAGGAGAGAGGGGGAATCAAATGCCTTCCGCTTCAAATCCGGAGGAATGGCAGCAATAAAATTGAAAATAATGCAAATTTCAAATGTATTTTGAAATTCTTCTAAGGTCAGAAATTTGCCATTTGAGTGCATTAAATCACTTATAAAAGTATTAGTATAGGACATGGCAGTTTTCTCTGTTATGGACCGATCCACAGAATTTGTCATTGACTATCTTCTTCCTTTCCTCTGCCCTCTCAGTTTCCATTGTTGATAGTATTTTCTTTACTGTCTCAATACTACTAGCCTGAGCTGTTGGCGCGTCGAAGACTTTCGATTGTTCCTTGGATTGCTCCGTGATTCGACAAAGCTTGGTCGACTTCTCAAGTTATAAGTCCGATTCACTGAGTAGTCGCTCGCGCAGTTTAGGATCGTTAATGCCTACCACGATTTGATTCGATGACTAGGGAATCTTTTAACTCTCCAAATTCGCAATATTCAGCTCTTCGTCTGAGATCCGTAACAAATACATCGACTGTGCGATCTTCCTGTGACGTTGTTCGGAAAAAGTATCGTTCCTAGATTGTGCTTTTACGCGTGACGCAGTACGTCTCAAGAGCTGTCAAAAAACCTGCCACAGTTCTCTCCTTGAAATCAACTGGAACATTCGGTAATTTTTTCAGGACTCGCCCAGCCTTCTTTCTCAGTATACTCTGAATGGTGGTTATTTGCCCTGAGTTTTTTTATGGAGTCCGCTCGATATTCGATACAACTCCCATGCTTCTGACCATTCTTGCTACTCGTCTGCGAGGTTGGGACTCTCAATATCCAATTCTGGAGGATGTTTGATTCTTTCCATTCCTGATTTTATTTTGACTTTTTCTTCGGAGTAAGGGATCGAACCTATTGGTGAAGGACTCCTGGTACCATGTAATGAGCAAGAGATCGAGAACACATACCTACTTCGCACAAGTGCAAGTTTTATTCTGATACAACACAACACGTGTTGATCCACATCAAGTTATCTAATTTGCAGAGTATAACCAATCACATAACAATCAAATCATATTTTGGAGTCTTTTGGCGGCCGGCGGCAGTCCTGCGTCCTGTAAAATGCCCCCTGCCGTTGAAAATAAGTTTTTATATGCGTTAAAGGTTAAAGGGAACCTCCACTTCAACAAAAAGATAACTTTAAATCACAGGAAATAACTGTTACAGTCAAGTCAATCTAAATATTTTTAAAGAAAGCGTTTGTATCCGAAAGAAATAACTTTTAGATTCGCCTATTTTTGTTTTCAAATTTTGCGGGCGTCGCCATCTTGAATAATTGTGACGTGTAATGGTTGCCCTATTGTTATTAAACAAAAGCTCTTTGTGTCAGAACAATAGAGCAACCGTAACACGTCACAATTATTCAAGATGGCGGCGCCCGCGAAATTTGAAAGTGAAAATAAGCGATTTTAAAATTCACTTTTCCTGATATAAACACTTTCTTTAAGACAAATTTCGAACAAATCTGTTTATCAACATAATTTTATTCGATTTAAACTTATTCTGTAGTAAGAGTGGAGGTTCCCTTTAAGCGAAAAGTTTCCAACGAAGAGAGCTTCAATTACTTGTGGTTACTTGAGGTGTAAGACCTCTCTCACTCAGGGCTGGATCATAAAAAGAAGGCCAAACGTTATGACAAGGTTATTTTCAAAAATTTTAGGAACGCTTCTTAGATTAAACCGTTTGTATCATTTTTTAACATTTGGAACTCCTTATACTGAAATGTAAATGATCTGAATCACAGTGCTTAGAGAGCAATGATTATTCAATAATTTTATGAAATGTCAAATATAATTATACCAAACAGCATAATTTAGCCAATATCACGCCGAAAATTCGTTTCATCCAAAAGTGTTACTACACCCAAACCTAAAGAAAACGTGATATACCACGCTCTAAATCATGTGTGTTCCGGTGAAACATGTCATACTTATATCTAATTAAAAAAATTCCTGTATTTTTTTATACGCCCCCAACCCCGACTGTACAAGATGAACTGTAACTGCATATTTTAGCCTGCGTTCTCTCTACTACCGAAGCACCAACGATTCTATGTATTTATATAATTAGATGAAGAGTTTCGGAACCCACTTAAGGGAACAATTAAAAAATACTGTTCACAAAATACAAACTCGGTAACATTGTCCCTGACGGTCTGATTTACAGACTGCGGTACTGAATGAAGTACAATGTAACAGTCCAGACGGTTAAAAGCCTGAAGAAACTGGGCTGTAAAATGGCTACTAGATAGGAGAGCCATATTGGCTTGCTCATCGTGGACATGTAATTGGACATGTAGTGAACAGCCATTAGATTTTTGCTTAGTCATTTAAAAACATGTCTGTGCACGTCTGGAATCATAGCAGGTCAATTAAGGCTATCCAATATTTCAGTCAAGGCAGGCCAAGTACCCCTCAAGATTGATTATTTAAAAAATGAATCCGGCCTTAGTCGTTCCTGTTATTAGTGTCAAATTCAAATCGGCACTTCGTTGAACTTCTCGGTATTTGGTCTACTTAGAAGACGTTTACATCAAATTCAGAGAAAGTGAGCTGGTAGAAATTTCGTAACTGCCACGCGTGTGAATTCACGGCTCAGTGCGCGGGCAAGAATGCAGAGATGATTCTGAAATCTACAACTACCAACGGGTGTAAAACGAGACTACGGACTATGGACTGCAGACTGCGGACCTGGGGTAAAATGCATGCTGGGGGTAAAATACAGAAAGAACCATATTAGGGGGGAAATAAGAGAAATTTCAAGCAGAAAACAATGTAGAAATCTGTTTTATTCCCGGAACCCACAGACTTCGTTAACCACGTTACGTTGTCCAGCGGAACGGGGAACGAGATTGACGAGACCTGACAAGAAACACATGTGAGAGGCATGTTGTGTGTAAACCATTTATTTTACCAACTCGACTTATTTTGGGCATTCGGCGTGGAAGATACAAACAAGGAGGACGACGAGTTGCAGGTATATTTGAAGTGAACCTTGCATTCTATTGATTTAATTATTGTACACAGGTACACAGTGTACGGACACTTTTGTTGTTCAGTGAGATGCACATTCGCCGGACGTTTCAATAAACTCCGAACAGCTTTTAAAAGTCTGCGTACCTTGATTTGCAATACTTTCGATAGAAGGTCATACAAATTTCCTGCAGAACATCTTTCTTTGTTGTTGAAATGATTTACTCCCTTTTTAACGCTATTATTCCTTCTGTACAGTATTTTGGTCAGCAGCTTTTATTTGAGCGTAAATATCTTCGTGTTGTACCCTGATTCATGGTCACGTGTAATAAAATTTGAAGCGTGAGGTCTCTCGGTCGGATAAAGAGTTCAAGATCGACGACGTTCGAGAGAAGATAGCCTGTTTCAGGCCTTTTACTATCTGAACGCCTGGAACAGGCTACAGAGAAGAAAGGAATAGATTTTTGAAAGCAGATGTCAAGTAAGTGATCGTTTACATTTTTTTGCGGAATATTTTGACTTAAACCCGTACCCTTCCGCGACTAAAGATTATGCTCAACCTGCATTTTGCACGAGGCCTGCGTTTTACTCTCAGTCTGCATTTTACACTCAGTCTGCATTTTACTCCTGGTCCGCAGTCTGCGTTTTACACAGACCGAATAATCAATTCATTAATGGAATCTTGGGGGGTACGCCTGACCTGGCTTGATTGTAAACACTGAGCTCACTGATCCGAGATTACCGGCGGGGAACAAGTTAAATACGTTCTTGATAAATCAATATTGCAAACAAGCTAATAAGGTTCCAAATTATACATCGGCGCAATCGCTGAGCGGTTTCCAGTGCTGTGATGGCTGAAAAAAGTCACTTTCAATTCGAAAGAAATGACGAGCATATTGAAATAAGATCGGATCCAATAAATCAGACAATCAAACAGAAAAAAGAGGATTTATGGAATTGTATATGCCAAAGATTACTGAATAAAGTTCAGCGATCTCTAAAGTGAAAAAGTTAAATCTCATGACAAATTTCTCTTTTAAGATTAAGAATTAACGCTGCCAATTCACATTGCTGAAATAGGGTGATTTTACTTGACCCGTGAAACAGTTGATAACGACTTGTGCACTGAAATAGCTACATGCAAACAAAGAAGACAATGGAATAACTGCATAATAGTGCGTAATATTCTACTACCTATTTCACGGGCAAAGTAAAATCAGTCTACAGTACTTTTACATTCAGCCCGTCAATATTTATGACGACCTTCAGTTAAGGGTAAGAAATTGGTATAACACTGCGTATCATTATGAATAGTCTTAATTACTTTGAGGTTTTTGATCCTTCATAAAACATACCTTCCGCGCACACGAACAAGAGACATAACAAAATGGTCTCATATACACTATGTTTTATCATCTCCACAGTCTTGGTCACTGCCCCAGGGCAGATGAGATGTGAAAATCAGTTCTGGTGCAGAGCAGAAGCCGAACGAAAGATATCTAAATAGAAAAGAGAAAGAGAGAGGAAAAAGAGTAGTTAAATTCCTGTGCATCACTCTATTAGTTTATTGGCAAGCAATAACGGCGATAAAGTTAACTTGTAACAACTTTAAGCAGTGATGCCGTGACAAATTTTGCCACGTAATGCTGTGGTTAATTACTTCAAAAAGTGACCCGTTATTTGCTATCTGTAGGAGACTGTTGTATGAACAATACAGATATTATTGACAACCACTTTTTTCAGCTTTAACGATCTTTCATTTTTGCTGCTAGGTAAAATATGACTGTTCAATGAAAAACGTGCGTCATGTTCGATGAGCACCCCGATACCCAGCAATCAGGGTGCAAGTTAAAATAAATGTGCATAACGGTCAGGGTAATTTCTGTGCTTTTTTCTCAGTGCGAAAAATAGCGGAACAAAACAGAGCATCGAGAAGAGGACTTTGAGTCGCTTGAAAAATAGCTCTACTCTCCAAAGAAAATTTTAGTCTTCTTGTTGTTTGTTTTCGAAACAACATCCAAAATGAAAAGCCCTGAGCTCACCGCTCGCGGAATGACCCTTCTAAACGGTTTGGCACGCATAAGTTTATAAAGGGTGTATCTTAGCAACGCAGGACCATTTGAACGCCTTACAAACTCGACTTAATTTGCTACCGAAAGGGGTCAAGCAAAGTAGACGCTGGACATTTGCATTTGAGAAAAACAATATCATTATCTTTTAAGTAAGCTCTGAGCATTTCTGTGAGCGAATAGCGAACCCTAATTGATTCATTTTCAAAGTTTTTTCGCAAAACTGCATCGGCCTTTTTGAATACTGCCAGCACCTAAAGAGAAATTGATTCCCTTGTTGTCAAGTCGACTAATTAGGTTTTGAATACAAATAAAAGAATCACTGGAACAGATACTATCTCTTTGATATTGCATTGTTAATGTGAACTGCGAGAAAAATGAAGTGTTGCAAATATTATATTCCATCGGCGTCTTTCATAGGTCCGAACAGCTGAAGAAAACTGACTCCCAATAATAATAGTGTGGTGTAGCATTATTTGAACTGCCAAAACTGATACATTGCATATAGTCTATTTTGGATTTTCTTAATTACCACAGATTACGAAGAGATGCATTTAAGAAAAAAAGAACCCCTTAAGCCCATACAACAGCCTCCTTGGCTTAAGAGATTGGTCAGTTCTATTGTGATGTATTAGGTTAAGAGGAGAAGCCGTGCAATACAGTTAAGGATGTTTAAGGAAGATCAGAATAATTAGTGTACTCCAGAAGCTTGCAGAGGTCAGTGCAAGTTTTTAGCACTACGCAAGGGTGGACGCACTGTCTTACTTCATTAATACAAAAACAGAAAAATCCAACCTGTATTCCTCTTTTGGAGATTAAATAGCCAACTATCAATGGCAGGTAAAGCAGGTACAGTGTGGTTTGTTTCTCCTAACTTGACCTGACAGTCCTATGAGGAATAAAAGTGCGTAAGACCTTTTCTTTAAGTAAAAGGTTTTGATTGATGTTTCAAATAGCCAATGAAATTTAAAGTTTGACAGTGAAAGGAGGAAGCAACACTGAAGCAATTTGTCACTCAGAATATATAACTCTTAGGTCGCGTTTGATAGCCTATAAGTTAAGCAAATATATCAACAGCCTGTGTAAAGTTTTAATGTCCGTGATATCGAAGCGATTCGGTAGCTGGCACCAAGACGTTTATGTGAAGTGTAAGTATAAAACGTTGAAACCACCGTAAACCGGAAGTTTCAAAAGTCATTCAACTTGAACACCAGCAGGGGTAACGTGGAGCCAAGAGGGGAATAATGGGACAATTATTCTTTCTTGGTCTCTCGTAAGGAGACTAATGTAAGCAGACGGACTTTAAATCAAAACAGGAACTTAATAACTGGCATGATAGCCCATGTGATGGTAATTTATCAACTAAGCTTGTCACTGCGTTCACTAGACCTATTAAACTGCAGCGGCCAGCTTCTCAATAATTCCAAATCAATTTGCTGTCAGTAAGTAGACTAGTGCACAGTATCGTCAAGTCATTAGACTCTGTGTGCGCTTATCTTTGTCGGAAGTTTTTAGCAAACGAACGTAACAAGTAAATCTTGAGGGACGAGTAAGTAACTCCCTGAGCGAAGACAGGATATCTCCTGCAGAATGGAGGTACAATTTCACCAGGTGTCATTTGAAGGACAGCCTTGTTGCTACCGCTGCGCACGTATTTCGCGCATGCAATGAATTTCGTGTTTTTTAAATTTGACTGGTAATTTCGTCATTTTGGAAGTGTGCTCGTGGAACTCAAAACAGTCGGTAAGTTATTTCGACTTTTTCCTTACGAACCTTTGAACATTGAACTCATTGTAAGCTTGTATTTTGATTGTAGAAAACCTAACTCCTCGTGCGTAGGATATTCGAAATTATTTGGACCTACTCCATCCTGATCTTGAATTTTATCTTGAGATCAGGCCCAGTTTTAGCGGTTCTCATACATTCTCTCTAACGGCTACCGTTAAAAGTTGATACAAACTCAGACAAGTTTGTGCCCATGCACTGCGGCCAGATTTTGGCCGGAACACTGATTGGCTGTTAGAACAATGCCACAAGATCTGATTGGCTGATGGAACCAACGGAAGTTGAAAGCTTACTCCTCGCGAGATCTCCTTTGATCTCTCTGGAAGTTCAATGTGATTGTGCTAAAAAGTAAAAGCTATTTTTTTAAGTCAGCGAGTCTGCAGTTTTCCCACGTATAAAAGATTTGCATACCAAAAAAAACCAAGCAACGGAAGTAATTTTGGTTGGCTGATTCACCAAATGTCAATCATTCAAAAAAGTGGGCGGCAGACGTTTCCTAGAGGGTTTGTATCAGTGTCTCTGTTCGTTTCGCCTTGCCCGCCGGAATGTTGGGCGCGTTCGATTTAGTCAAAATTTCGGAAATTTCCGGTTCGGCGGTAAATGTAACACGTTTCGCCCGGTTCGTCCCACTTGAAAATTCCCAGAAAAAGTGGAAAATCTATAAAGGTGGGCCCATTTTCCCGGTTGGAATTTCCGAACGGAATTTCGTGTTCTATTTACACGTTTCTTGAATTAAGTACGTAAAAAGTTCGGCGCCTGAATCAGTTAGGATCGCCTGTTTCAATTTGGAACGGCTCTGCCGTTCTTCCCGCTTAGCCCAGCCCGGAATTTCGACTTTTGATCGACGTCAGGGGAGGGGCGGCTGTGATTCGGACGCCGAACGTTTCATGTACTGAGCCTAATGCATAAATTATTCTTAAACGAACATTTTCTCCTTTAGAATTTAGTTCAGCTGCAATTAAGATCGGCGTCTGAATCAATTCAGCCGGTCTAAATAATTTCGGTCGGCCTTAATAAGAATTATGTGCGGCTCACGAAATGTTCGGTGTCTGAACTGGGGTATAGCCATATCCTTTTAATTTGCTCTTCTCGTTTTTGTAGTCATGGTTTTACTCAATCTCCTTTTCGCAGCTGCTCGGGCTAGAGTCACGCAAGCTGCCCCTCCCCACGCGGCTGCTTCAAACTGACGTACATTCCTTTCCACCCAGAATACAGCCAATCAAAGTGTGGCTTTCATTTTCTTGCGAATGCTTACGTCCGAAATGCCCTCCATTCACTTTTCTCCTTTTATTTGACCAGATAAATTAGTCTCTTTCGCAGCCGCTATGGCCGGAGTCACTCAAGCTCCCCGCCCCCACGCGTGGCTTTTGTTTGTCTTTACGTCGCTAATATTGTCAACGGTAAAATAGACTCAGAAGCTGGCCTTACAGCGCTTCACGTATGATTAAAAGTCCTTATTCAACACTACATAAAATATCAGTAAATGGCATTTGTCCAATAAAAATCATACCACAGTCGTTTTTTTACAGTACTTGGGACAAAGCGGACGAACAAGTCTGTTCTAACATCAAAACTACTAAAAACTCTATAAAAGTTTAACTGTTACACCTTAAACATCTCACACTGAGGAGGGTTTAAAAAAACGCTCACTCTTTTTCTGCATCAGAGAGATGTCGCTCCCACGTCAATTTTTTACTGCAACCTTTATCTCACGGCACGGTTTGTTCTTTTCTAGCTCCTCGGTCGGCCTTGTAGAATGCAAGAGGGGAAGGAAGAAGATAATTTAGAAGAAGGCGACGAATCGTCGAATGTTTTTTATCAATCGCAACCATTCATATTGCGCTTTTGGGACTCTTATTGTGCTGGCCTGCGTTTGGAGGCTAGGACCACAGTTATCTGTGTTTCTCAAACAGTCTCAGCCTGCATTCTAGCTTATTTTGTTAATCGTCATTCAATCGTGATTGTTTCAGAATAGTTCCTAATTAAACATCTTTTGTTCAATAGTCCGCACAATATTGTTCTCGTCATACATTAAATTAATCATTCGCTCAAAGAACAAGAACGAAATGGGTAGTTATGTGCATAGTTTCTGAAGAGAAAGGAATATTTTAGCGTGCGTTCTAAGATTGGGAAAAATTCAAAATATGCAGAGTCTATGAGCTCCGGCGTTTCTGTAAGATTAGCAATGAAGATGTGCTTTGGTAGCCTCACATTAATTGAAGAAAAAATCTAAACTGCTCTAGCCGTTGGAGGAGGCCTAACCTCTTCCGTGACAGTATTTGAAGTACAAACGCCGAATAACGTTCTCTTGACGGCAAAGTGGAAGAAGAAATCATACCACAAAATGTGTTTCTTTTGTACCAAATTCTGAACATTTATTTTAACCACTCTTGGTGAGTACAACCCAAGTTATAGAAATGTCTATTCTTGGTTACATTACAAACTGACCATATTGTCATCGAGGCTACAATCCTATAACCAAATTTATTCAACTGTCAAAGAACTTAGAGAGAGGTATTAATCAAGGACACTACTATTGGTTACGCTGTTCCATCATAGATCCAACAAGTAATAGGCAATACCCTTTTTTCTCAGTATTTCATTGTAAGAACCTGAATATTAGTCCTGGTCCGGGCACTGAGAAATGAACCCGTTCCCCTTTACAGACTAACACTATATTGTATATGCGCTAGCACTGCCACTGTAAGATTAGTTGATCCATTGATAAGCTCATGACGAGCATCTCATTCTGGCGTTGCAACTTTATGTGTTTAAATAGCAATTGAAGGAGCTGCAGACTAATATAGCCATGTATACGTATAAATAGCATTACGGCAACAGATGGCTTGATGGAAAATGGCTTCCACCGCCGTTATGATGACAATGAAAAAACTTGTCTAAAGTAATCACTAGAACATGCATATGCTATAATTATAAGGACCATGAAGTTATGTATCGTCTCATGTAACATGACTACATGTATGAAAAAGCATTCTCGGATTCGGGATTCCAAGCTGTGAATTCCAGACTCCAGGTCCTGCGGGATTCCGGATTCCTTGTCAATTTAACTTAGATTTCAAACTTAATAGTCTGTGGGATTCCGGATTCCTTAAGCTGAATTCTGGATTTCAAAGCCCACGATTTCGGATTTTTCAAGCAAAATATCCCGGATTCCGGAATATGGATTATCTTACCTGGCACGAAATGTTATCTAGAGAAGCATATTACATGATTTTAAGAAAACAATGTTTTCACGTTTAAGCATGCGATTCCCTGTCTACATAGATGGGAGAATTACGAGAATCCTTGAATTGAGGCTCTGAAGGTTTCAAATACTCATCGCTGTCTTGTAAATGGTTGGCTCCTTCGTCGCGTAAGCTTGCATATGCTTCTTCCCCTTCGCCTCCAGTCAGGACGCAATATCGTTCTCCAGATTCACTGGCTCCACCATCCCCGCTGAAAGGAAGTCCATACGTTGGATTACTGCGGCCATTCACATTCAGTGATTGATATCTGGCTTGGCTTTCCTGCCCTGGTTTCATTTCGTTTTGCAAGTCGGTGAAGCCGAGTTTTTGCATCGCACCATCGTTCCCTTGTTTAATGTTCTCCTGTATGGCTTTTCCTTTGGCAGGAGAGATAGAGTCATATATAGGGTTTTCATTAAAGCCTGGGTTGTCAAAAGAAACGTCCGAGTATGTTGGTGCATTGTATGTCCAGTCATTTTCCAATTGTATATTGTCCCCAGCTGCTGTTCTATCGTCTGCCCTTCTATTCCTGCAAAATAACACGAAAAATCTTAACTTCTGTAAATGTTCCTACGCTAAAATTTCCAAGAGAGCGGCCAAAAAGTTATTTAGCTAATAAACCGCGAAGCGGTTGCGGGACAATCATTCAGAAAAGGGCTTTATTTTCCGACATACCAGCAAGCCAGAAGAGGTTTATCTATATTTTAACCCTTCGATGAATTATTACGTCTCTTATGAGTCTTATGAGCACTAAACATGTTGGAACAAAAGCAAAGAAAAAAAAGGTGATGGACTACGATTACGAATGACGCAAACACTGAAGGACACTGATTGGTTGGATCTATTTTAATTTATTAAAAATATTATTCGACCGTGATGCCAAATAAAAATGCTTCCTCGCAACACCCCTTAGATCAGAAACTCGTGAGCACGGCGCTTTTAGTTTATTGTCCCAAATGCAGTGTTCGTAAAGCAGTCACAAAATTCCTTACCATGTATTGCATTAATTAATATTGAAGAGCCATTTGGACTATGACATCATTTTCACTTCTACGATCAGAATCCTTCAGGGTTTGTTATTTTGGTCGCAGTTGTAAAACGATGCCATCGTGCGAATGGTCAATTCACGAGAAACCCGCAGAGGACCATAAAAGCCCCGGTCTCTAATTCAGACTTTTTTTGTTCTTGTGAAACAAAAAAGTATTTATATTACAAGAGAGTCTCTTCCTGTTCTGTAGTTCCTACAAACAAAATTGGTACTTATTGTCACTCGAACTAAACTGGGAAAGGGAAAATAAAGGGAAAATATGCATCATCCATGGCGTTTAGATAAGAATCTTAGATTATGACGAGTTTATTGAATTTACTATGGAACTTTTACCTCCTCATTCGATAGATAACAAATGCCAGCAATATTGCAATCACAGCTACAGCAGCACCAACTCCAGCAGCAATGGGAACTATAGATGACGATCCTTGATCTCCTCCTGAGTTTCCTTGAGGCTTCGGCTCAGTCGGCTCTAGATAAGATAACAACAGTATGGATAAAAATGGAGATTGAATCCAGAAGGTTTAAATACCTGAAATATGTTTACGTCCATATCTTTCAATGTGCTTCATCGATATCCCTTTTTTTGTATATAATCAGTCAGTTATTCAGTCAGTCAATAATCAGTCAATCAATTAGTCAGTTAGTCAATCAGTCAGTCTGTCGGTTGGCCGTCAGTCATTTATTTTGTTAGTGAGTCAGGCCCATGTTGTTCAAACTTTGGACAGCGCTATTTGCCGGATAAATCACTATCCAGTGGATAAGTATTAGGGGAACCAAAAATTATGTTATTCACTGGATTGAAATTTATCCAGTAGATAGCGTCAGTCAGTCAGTCAGTTGGTCAGTCTCCAAGCCATTGTGGAATCCACCCAATCCATTTCCTTAGATTTTAATTGCTAGTTGGAAGAAAATTGTAAATACAATTATGCGGACAAAAATGGCAGGCTGAACCCAATAGAGACAATAGACATAGATTTCTAACAAGGTCCTCTAAAACTAATCGCACAGCCGTACCGTATTCCAGATGTTTGAGGGTAATAGGTACTTGTATAACATTATTCTCGAAAGTAGAAACTTATTTCAGTAGAAGCCTAAATTTGGTTTAAACCACAAAAGGTCTGCCTGGGATCAGAAGGACCTTCCTCTCTAGAGCAAACGGGCGCTCTTCCATCTGTGCTACCCGGCTGTCTAGTGTATTTCGCTGTCACGTCTTTCGCATGCGACAGTATAATTTCCTCTAATGGATCATTCTCAGGGGCACTAAGTGTTTTACGCAAATTCACTGAAAATTACATACTGTATTATAGCGAAGCACCATGGGTAAGAAAATTTGGTTATCTGTGCATCCAAGAAATTTTGGTTGTGACGTAATCGTCCTCCCATTCATGTTAGCTGAGGTGAAATTTTGTTTTTCAAGCACCCCGCTCGTTTCGGCGATAAATCACGTGGCCGCCCGGACTTTTAGAGAGAAAAAGAAAAACAACAAAAAAGCCGAGTCTTTCTTTCGACTAAATTTTACTGTCTAAATTAACGTGGATAACAAGGAAAGGGCTACAGCGAGAAATGAAAAACAACGGAAACCAATTTCTTTGCCAGAAGAAAAATATTACAATTATATAGCGGTGGTGAGAAAATGAGAAATGTCAGCAGCTGCCAAGGTGAAAATGAGCAGCAAAACAAAGTGAACAGGAACACAAACGTTTCCTCCATAAAACTAGGAAGTTAAAAGAAGTTTGACGTTTTAAAGGTGACGTTACACGGAACGATTCGAAACGACGATTTTTAGCGCAACACAGCATTACAACATTGTTGCGGCATTGTTTTGAATGGTTACAACAATGTTCCAAAATTGCTACGCTGTGTTGCGCTAAAAATCGTCGTTGCGAATCGTCCCGTATAACATCACCTTTAGTCATGCAAAACAACGGCAAGGAAATGTGCAAAAAAGTGTGCTGCCCATGCAAAGTTGTTTTTTTTGGTTATTAGAAAAAAAATTGTGCTGCACGTGCAAAGTTTTTTTTTTTAGATCTATTGTAAGTTGTTGTTTTTTTACCGTTCTCGTTGTCTTCACTGGCCGAATTTATACTAGAGACGAATTATCAGTCTAGACGGATAATTTGTCTCTAGTATAAATCCGGTGCTAAGACGAATTATGGAGCAAAACCCGACTGAGGCTGATTCGTAGAAGGATAATTCGTCTTAGACGGAACGTAGACGGTTTCTTGACGAAATTTTCCACAGGAGAGGGATTTACGGTATAGAAACTATTACTAAAATTTTCTTTTGATGTTTTTACCGTCGGTTGGTTTTTCAGTTGCTGGCTGTACCACTGTAATCCTCTGGATGGTAGCACCAACAGCATTACCGATACTCTCTTTTGATTCACTGACCATTTCAACGAGTTCATCAGGTTCCGTAATTTCAGGGGCTTGTCCGTCCACGGAGGGAAAAAGCACAGCAAATTCAATTTTCCAACTGTTTTGCGCCCCAGGAGAGAATCCAAGTATGTGAATGTCATTGGGCGTAAAGTACTTTGGTGATTCGGAACGCTTTACTCTCCTGAAAAATAGATTAAAAAAAACTGTTTTAAAATATTCATGTTGATTACTTCTTTCTTTAGATAGAAATAGAAGTCGTTAAAAATGTCTTCCATTATAACACACGCTACAGAAACCAAAAAGGCGAGTCAAGTATTTTACATCTACGAACTTCACATTGAAAAGAGAACAGTCAAGAATTAAGGTACATTAATGAGATTTCAGCTCAGAAAAATTGGCTGTCTCTTGTATATGCTGAAAGTACTTATCATCTATATCATCATCATCATCATCATCATCACCATCAGTAGCATTGCAATTTCTCGCAATTTAGTTACACACGAAGAATTTTGCTTTCGTTTCAATATGACTTTGAGTTCCTGATCGAATTGAAATTGGGAATTGGGAAAGTGGGGAGGGAAAACCCAGATTACCCGGAGAGAAAGCTACTGCTCTTAGAGCAAGAGAGAGAACAAACGACAAACTCAACCCACGTGGGGCGTCGATGCCAGAGTTTGAATCCGGGCCAAATTGCTGGGAGTGATATGACCACTGCACCACCCTTACTCCCCTTGCGCAGAGGGCGCTATCATTACATTTACGAGATGGGTGTAAAATGTGTTAAAATTGATCCCTTTCTCTTTAAAAGTTGCCTATTGATACGACCTTACAGTCGTTCATCCGCTGTCTTAAAGTTATTGGCTGAACATATCGTAAAAGCCAACAAGTAATAAGCTAGATTTTAAGGCCCCTCGTTACTAAAACCCTTTAAGCCTAACTTTGAAATGGCTCCTTTTTTTGCTAAATTATTTCCCTTTTTAAAAGTAATTATGTACGACACACTTGTGATCTGTGATTTTTCTTATTTTAGACATTTTGCATTGAAACGTCTTTTGTATGCAGATTTTTTAAAAGGAATATGCTGCATGCCACAAAATTGTATTAGCTACAAATGATTTATTTAAGGGTCCAAATAGCCTCAATTTCTGCTAATCACCATTACATAAGAATCTGGTCAGGCTAACTTGGGAAAGTGTAGATTCTTACTTGCGGGTTTTCACTGTATTTCCACTCAACGAAAAACTAATAATTAGGACGGAACTAATCCAAATAAACAATCGTATCTAAGCTACTTATGAAATGATTTCTGGGTTCAAATAATTTATAACATTCCTAGAATAAATAAAGAAGTGTCCTCAACTGTTCTGACAAATAACGATAACCTTATTTTAAGCACCTTTAAAGTTCAATGTATTACCTTTTACATTCGCCGTTTTTACAGAAGTATTTAGTGCAAGCCTCTGCAAGGGCTATTTTTAATAATGAATCAATCGGGCCACTCTGTAAGCAAAGAATATAGATATGTTTGTGTTAATGTACTTTATAATGTTTTTGCTCTTGAGGGGAATAAGCTATTAAACGCCAGTTACACGCTGTATTTGTAATGTTCAATTTGAAAATTGAACGACAAAAATGGACTTGAGCCCAGTATAGTAAATCTTAGGAGATTCGCCACGGGCAACTCTAAAACGGGTTTTAAGGCGCTTTTAAGGGCTAAAATTTAAAAAGTTTCTGTTTGAAAATATTTTAAAAAATTTAAACAGGTGTCGTGAAAAAAGTGCCGTTAATAAAGCTACTAAAGCACCTAATAAGAAATGCAAGGAAAGAGGGAAAAGAAAAGGTGAAGAACAGATTTATTTTGTGATTGTTGAAAATTTCCAGCGAACTGGATGGTATTTCGAGACGAATCGGTTTACAATGTCGTCTCAAACCCCATGCCTCAAAAGCAATAGAAAGAGATTTGGTTTGGATCGTTAATAACTCTTCTACTGTAGCGATTTTAACGAATACAGCCTATTTTGGTTTAGCCCAACGGTACCTCTATCTCAATAGATAACTCTATTTCCACAGCTTTTTCCCCTAAATTAAAAATAAACAAACAAACAAACATTATATTTACAGCAGTAAGAAAGTAAGACGGTTTAGTGGTATTGCACCTCAAATTAACTACTTTAAACCCACTCTTTTCATGCTGAAACTGACACAGCAGATTACAAACCGTCTCTAGGATAGCTTTTGAAGCTTTCCTTGGACAACACTGTATGTGAATACGTTGAATTGTTTGAAATGTTAAAGAGATCTAAATTTTTATAGACGCAACAATAATTTGGAGTAATCATGAAATCCCCACTTCACTTTCACATCACATGTCCAGCCTGATTGCCAGTGAATGAGATCCATGCTCTTTATGATAGAAATCACGAAGTGTCTCCTAACCCTTAACCCGGCCCTTAACCTCACCTAAAGGCAAGGAAGAGGCTATTTCCGAGTTGCCCCAAACATCTGTCTCAATGCGAGGCTAAGTGCAGGGCTATTGATAAGAAAATAGTTTTTAATTCTAATTCAAATAAGACTCATTTTCGCAAGAAAGGTTTGCATTGAGCCTCGTTTTGAAACTGAGAGTTTTTGGAACTTGGAAGGAACTGGTCTATTCTTTCTACAAGAAATATTTGTGTCTAATGTGATGCATCCAAGTTCCGAGGTTTCTTGCATTCCTGGACATGTGTCATAGAAAACGAATAAAGTGAGACAATTTAACAACGAATTGTTTTAGATCTGACGTTCTTGTTATTCGTCGTTGCAAGTGTGAATAATAAGACAGAGAGGCATTCGTAGGGCGTTAGTAAAGTTATTTTTTAGAGGTTGTAATTAAACGAGAACGTAATTCCTGAGAAATATGCACATTCTTATCGATTGTTTGAAACGCCGTTAAGTCCACGTGTTTTTGCCCCAACAAGGCAAAATATTGTAACGGCGATTGTTGAATTTTTTGACAACACTAAATAACCTCCCCGGCAACGAACTTTCTAGCGTCTAATTGGTCTAAAAATAACTTTTGTAAAATTCACATATCCCAAGGGCTAGACTGAGCGTTTCCCTCTCTGTCTCCGGCGTTATTCTCTCTTGGTCGTTGTTAACACACTTACCAACGTAGACGGAACAGCGGTGCCACACATAATACTTAAGACATTTGCAGAAATAGCCTGGCACAACGCAAGTTCCACCATTCTCACAGTCTCCAAGGCGACACTCAACTGGAGCGAGAGTGGGTGGAGGTTGACTAGTGCTTGTAACCGTGGTCTGCCGCTCACTTGGAGATACTGATGTTAATCCGTGTGATGAAATCGTTGGAAGCAGGCTTGTGCTCGGAGAAGTCAGTGATGGCGTCCTCAGTCTTGACTGTGTCGTGATTGTAGACGAACTGGTGATGGAAGTGCTTTTAATTTTTGCACTGGAGTATGTAGCTAAAGCCATCTGAGTTGATTTAAACGGCAGCGGAATAGCTATTAAACAAAATAGTTGAATTAGTATTGCAAGTATATCGAACAAAATATATAGAGCGACGTGGCTGCAAATGTGGTAAAATGAAAATAATAGTACAAAGGCTGTAAATATGTTTTAAGACATCCAAAAAAAAAAAATGAGAATAACCAGTATTAAGAGCAAATTGAAATAATGCTGTTCTATAGCAACGATGTGTTTCAGGGGTCTTTTAATCGCACGGGAGATTTATTAAAAAATGCTGACTTAAAGCTTCATTAAATTATATCCTCGCCAATGAAACAACCAACAAAGCAATTAGGGAGATTTTATCAAACCCGTGAACAATACGTCACAATTAGTGCCAAATAAAGACTGTAACAGTGCGTATAAGTCTACAATCTATTTCACGGGTTAAGTAAAATCACTCTAATTCTCCAAACTGTTACGAAGATGTATTCTAGACTTGATTCTGAACAATCGTGGGTTGCAATCACGTGACATGACGGCCATGTTAGTGGTCAATGCAATAAAAGTTATTTAAAAGAATCTGCATGAAAATGGAGTTTAGTCCCCAGAGGATAGAAATGTTCTAAATCTTGACCACCAACGTGGCTGTCATGATATCACGTGCAAACCAGCAATTGTTGTTAACAACCGTTATATTGAATTCTGCGAGATTTTGTGGCGTACAACCGAAGAGGTCAAAAGACGAAACTACTTTTGTGAAATCGCTTAGATAAAATAGTGTGTTGAAAGTGGATCTCCATTAGATTTTTCCGGCTTTTCTATCTTGACATATAGTTATATTGAGCGTAGAATGACCGAAATAGAAAGACTGTTTCATAGATTATATGAGTCCAAAAAAACTACATGTTTGCTTTCTGTTGTCTTTGAGTTTAAAATATTACTTACAGCCATTGATGCAAACATCGCCAGGTGCAAGTTGATCTGGACACGAGCAAAGATAACCGTTGGGTCTTAACAGACACAAATGAGAACAACCACCAGAAGACGTCGAACAGGGATTTTCTGAGCATAAGACAGTAATAATCATTAATGAAGGGAACGTCATTTTTCTTTTAATCATAATAATTACAATTTCCTAAAATTTTATTGGTGCCTTAACTGCTTTATTTTTCACCAATTATTGTGCAGGGTGGTAATGGGACAGTGTAATGGGACAGTTGGGTGTGATCGGACTGAGGCGAAAAAATAACTAAAAACATGGCAAGAACAGCAAGAAAACAACGCGAAAGGCGACATCTGCTATTTGGAGAATATTTGCGGAACTGAACAACCCTAAACTTGCACTATCGAAGATGAACTTAACATCGATGGATCGATGGCGGTAAACATGTGTTAGCCATGTTTTTAAACTAGGAGTTATTTTGAATGAATAATAAGACAATTATTGAATTCGGCTTTCGTATCATATGAAGAATTATGGAGATCTTAGAGGGTGTTATCCCCCTCGGCCTACGGCCTCGACGGATAACACCCTCCTCGACCTCCATAATTCTTCATAAGATACTCTGCCTCATTCATTAATTGTTAAATAAGCGACGACGAACACTTAATATTGTGATTACAATACATTTGACGATATTTCACCATTGTAGACATTTTCAAGGCAAAAATCAAGGTTGGTCAAAAAATGAAAGAATAAAAGGGCTGGTAAAGTCAATTGGTTCAAAAGTTTGCATCTTCAACACGTACATAAATTTGTTTTAAATTTATTCAGAGGGGTTCCTTGATTTATGATTGTTTTTGGCCAGAATATTTACCATTTGACTTTAATTGGCAACAAAAGGTCCGCACTTTGTACTGCATTGCGACCTAAACTTTGGATCTATTTTTCCTATACTTGACAAATATCATCTCCTTCAGTTCTGTACGAAACAGCAGCTAACACGCCCGTCCACAAAACTCGACATTTGTCGAGTTCAAGGTTATAATATCTTTCGTCGCAACAACATCAACATCAATAACAAACGATATTACTAAGGAGTACCTTTGTATTACAAAAGTTGCTCTCTCACCTGGTATTGTTTTTTCACTAAGGTTATATCCATGTATGTCCATTGGCTGCCCAATACCTGTGACAAATACAGTGACATCAGCAGCGCGTTCTTTGTTGGCTCGATAAACAGTGTAGTCTCTCCAGTCAGTCCAGTATAAGTAGTCTCCAAGAAGTGTTAACCCGAAAGGATGAGGCAGGGTGGCGTAAGAATGAATTAAAGTCACCCTGATATTCGTACTCAGGTGCAAGTATTCGAGTTTGCTGTAGCTGGCATCCACCCAATACAAGCGGTTTCTTTCTTGGTCAAGCGTCAGACCATTTGGCCAAGAAAGACTTGAGTTTACGAGAACAACCCGCTGCTGTCCTGACATCTCAGCCCTTTCAATCTTTGCGTGATAACCCCAATCTGTCCAATACATCATTCTATGATGAAAAAATAAAAAAAATAATGAAAATGAAAAATGAAAATGTAAGGTTTGTTTGAATTGATTTAGATATTTCAACCAACCCTTTCTTGTTTTCGCACATATTTTTCTTTAGCAAGCGAATGCAACCTTAAGACACCTCAAATAATTTACATATGCTCTTCAACGTTTTCGATTTTAAAGAGGAAAATAATAATAACTATTTTACAGCAAAGAAAAGCCAAGCAAGCTCCCCTTGCCCTTGATTTCTTTCGCCCTTACACTGCGGCGCCTATAGACGTATTCAGTCACGTGGTCAGCAGCTTTGCAAATTGCTTGGAAAAAAAGAAAGTTTTAACATATAAAAAGAGTTCAATTCCCACAGGAACTGTTTTGTACACAAACATGGCCGCCGAATAATTGTCTTGTACACAAATATGGCCGTCGTGACGTCGTGTGAAAAAGATCTATAAGCCACAAATTCGACTAACTGCTAGAATGTATGAACTGAGAGAGCAAAATCATTTTAGGATATTTCTCTCCAGTTATTTAGACAGATTTAAAGCCTGGTAGTTATCCTGTACCCTTAGAAGCGTGTTGACAGATAGTCGAGAGCGTCAATGGTGTCTATGACGGTGATCAAAATACTTCTGCTGCCAGAGTTGGAATCGAATATTTCCACATGAAAAACGGCTTATCTTTCCGAACTTGTATTGTTATCAGTAAAATGTCTCCAAATGTAACGAAGGGTTTTGTGTCTTTACACATCGATTAAAAGTACTGACCCTTTGCTAACATCCAGTATAATATCCCTCGGTTCGTCTAGGCCACTTGTTATGAGAGCTTTCCGATAGGAACCGTCCAGTTTAGAGACTTCCAGTTTGTCAGTTCCGGTATCAGTCCAATAGAGGTTCCTTCCGACAATGTCCACGGCCAATCCATCTGGCGACTGCACGTTTTGGTAAAACAAGACCTCAAACATAGAGCCATTCAAGAATGAACGAGAAATGGTGTTCCTTGTGACATCTGTCCAATACACTCTGTCCTCTAGAACGTCGTAGCCAATGGCAACCGGTCTACTGATAATGCTTGACAAGGGTAAAGAGATGAGTGATCCAGGAGCATGAGGAGAAACTTTCATAATCTTTCCGTATGAAGCATCGGCAAACAACAGAAACTCGTGCTCAGGAGGAGCTGCAAAAAAGATAGAATCATGTTATGGGCATCTTTTTTATATATTGTTAATGCTACGGTGAGAAAAGGAAATCGCGTTTTGGTAGTTTTACACGTAGAACATGCATCTTAAAGGGGCTGTGTCACGAAATTCAGCCAAATTAGGAAATTACAAAATGCCCGTTAAATTAAGAGAAATATAAAAATAACCGCTTAAAACATTAAAGGAAGGTTAAAATAACATGACAAAAACAACAGATGTCACGGATGGGCAAAACTGAAGAAGATTGAAACGGACTGAAATTGGGATTTTTGAAAACTGTTCAGCCGAACAGTTTTTCAAAGCTGATCCCTGCTGCTTGCAACTTCAAAAATAATGCTCAGGAGACATATTTGTTTGTCTCGGGTCTCTGGTTTTGTCATTTACATGTAAGTTCTTAAGTTCCATAGCGATTGAGGGCGAGTAATTGGCAAAATTAAACAAAATGAACTGGACTGCCGTGACACAGCCCCTTTAATGTTAGGTTGTTCCTTTATTTGGATTTGTTTTGAGTAGCGTTATATTAGGAGTTCCAATTTAAAAGTAAGTGCTGGCGACAGAGCTTGAAGAAATACTGAGAATACAGTTTGAAAATAAATAAAGAGAAGAAAATGAAAGTGACCTCTGGGAATTGGGGTGGGGAAACCTTTTTAAATGAAAAATATGTTATTTTTGTGTATTTGTAATGTATATAACTGGAAGCCCTTCGAGTAAATTTTCAGAGGGCAAGCAGATGATAAACGATACCTGCGGTTTTAGCAATTGCTTGTTTTTATTTTCTAGATTCCTTTACTTGCCTACTTGAAGTATTCATGAAGATCACGAACGGTTAAGTAATAAATTCCAAGGAAGAGAAGAGAGTTTAATGTGTTTGGTTGTTATGTACTATGTCCACAATTTTTACCGATTCGCTAATGGAGGTACCGTTATCCATGTTTCGATATCTTCCTATCATTCGCATTGATGAAACCTTGTTGGCTCTATGCTGTATTTAGATGTCACAATCAAGCATTTGTTCGTCAAAACTCACAAAGCGCCTTTCGGCAGTACTAATACATTTTTCAGGAATATTCAAGGTCAATGGGCGAGCGACAGTTAAATGTGGTGCTTGAGATTTTTTCTTTTGACTTAAAGGTTTGAAAACAATTGGACCCGGCGTAGCCTGAGTGGCATGCGCATGGCAACGCGACAGTTTTACAGTGGAATGTTTTAGCCTAGTGTTAGCTCCAAAGAGCGATTATTACACATTTTGAATCCATGGGTCAAAGCTTTCCAATCGCCCCAACGGACAAATTTGACTCAATGGTCAAAATATCCGCTGAATTATTTACCTTAACTGGCAGATACTTTGACATAACTATCAAATTTAACTCCACAACTGAAAAGGTGTTCTTTGATTTTCACGTGGGGGTATCGAAGTCGCTTTAGACGCAAAGCTGGTTTTATTCGCACCTTCCTCTTTTTTCTCCCCAAACCAGCAACCCAGAGTCGGTTGCTAACTCCAAGGAGAATTAGTTTTGCCTGACACTTCATTAGTACTGAATACACAGAGAAAAAAAGAACCATCTCCATGAAGAAGGATTTAACGGATATCTTCGCACCTCCATTCATTCGCGAATCGGCAAATAGAGCGCCCAAACACATATAAATCCAGCCTCTCGTCTTCCTCGACACTCATTACTAAAACGCTCTGGATTGAGACCTTGATGAATAATTCCACAAGCAAATAAAGACATGTAGAAAATAATTACTAAACAATTACTAAACACTCACCTCGTTTACAGTCTGCTTGCTCCTGGAATTTACACGAAATCTCTCGATCTCATCCACTACTCCACGTGCGTTGTACATGATGTCATCGCACAGGAGTGAGTACCCCGGATGATAGGAAAACCAATCGACTGAACGTGCTTCTGATCTTATGTCCGACAATATTGTCTTTTTCCCGCTATTGCAAAGAATAGTGTGCTGGCTCGCAAAGGTTCGCCAGCAATTATCATGGATGAAAGAGATTGTGGGTCGCGGTTTTGGACCTTTAATTCATTGTGACTGCAACTCTCCAGTCATCGGTGACTGGCTCCGTTTTCTGGAAAAGGTTAAGTAGACTCTTCCAAAAAAAGGTTCAAGTAGCAGAAATTCTACACAAGAACGGTCATCCCTTCCTTGTCGTAGTACCCGTACCTTTACAATTTCTTCCGTCATTATCTAGAATGAGGCCTCCAGAACAAGCGCACACACTTCCAGATTGTGTAAGCAAGCAAAGTTGACTGCATCCGCCATTGTTGTTATTGCATTGGTCAGTGACTGTAATTGGATATAGCAAGGACCATAGTTAAAATCAATTAGAATTGAAGGAACAGTATCCCGTTACTGTGCATGTACCAAACTTTGATTTTATGACAGGATTTCGCGAATTCAAATGATGCGAGGAGAAAGGTAATGCGAGGGTAAGAGAACCTGGAAAATTCCGCTTGCATCGCGCTTGGCCGAATTCGATACTACATTATAACTTATCAGAATTAAAGATCAATGATATATTGTTCCCGTTAAGTTTCGATTTGGGCGAAATGGGGATTTTATGGCGTTACTTTCAATATAGCCGTTGGCCGGAGGACCAAAAGAAGGAAAACACTTTAATGACAGTTGAAAACTTAGTTCTCCCGCCAGCTGACCACATAAGCTCAGATAATCGTGTAAAGAATACCCAGAAATGGAATAGCAACAGTAAAGACTATGTAAGAAAGAAACCATTGAGAAATGGATGTGACTGAGGAGATCTTGTGGTATTAAGCTTCGTGAAGCACAATGATTCGCAACGAAGTGTTACTAACTTTCAAATAAACGTCCCTACGGGCGACAAAATCAAACAAACAGGCACTACATGTTTAAGGAAAGCATAATATAATGCTTGACTAACCTTTGCGATGCTAATTCATCGCACTGAAATTGAATTTTTATTCATATCTTTTGCCCTTTTGAAGCTAAAACGCGATCAAATATTACTGGACTTGACTTGCCACAAATTGACCTCTCACACGAGTTTCAGAGCAGAAAAGCTGATTTAAAAGTGAGCAAGCTTTTCGGGTAGAAAGGCGGCCGAGCTGCGACAAAATCGCGATAAGTCTTCGTGCCGCGAGCCAAATTTTAAATGGGACGAAAGACTGTGACATGGCGTTTAAAACATATTGAAAGGTCGCTTTTACATAAGGCAATATAGCTGTCTAACGTTTCGTAAAGTTTTGTCTCTGTCCCACCAGTGAAAAAGAAAATGTATCATCTTTATTTCAAGAAACGTTCCAAAATAAGTCTTTTAAGAGGGGTCGCAATTCCAAAAGATCATAAATCTCCTTCCAATAAAACATTTCTCAGAGCTATGCTTTTATGCTACCTAAAAAGTGCTCATTCACATTTGTCAAATTTTGACTGTGTAAGAGTTGTTATCACCTTGAACAAAGTGCTTGGAAGAAGCATGACCAACAACAGATTTTCTCACAGAAAAACCCCGCCTACTCACCTGGTATGATATTTTCACTGAGGTTATATCCATGAATGTCCATGGGCTGCCCAATACCTGTGACAAATACCGTTACATCAGCAGCACTTTCTTTGTTGGCTCTTTTAACAGTGTAGTCACTCCAGTCAGTCCAGTATAAGTAGTCTCCAAGAAGTGTTAACCCGAAAGGATGAGGCAGGATGGCTGAAGAATCTATTAAGGTCACCCTGGTGTTGCTACTAAGGTGCAAGTATTCGAGCTTGTCGTAGCTGGCATCCACCCAATACAAGCGGTTTCTTTCCTGGTCAAGCGTCAGACCATTTGGCCACGACAGACTTGCGTTTACGAGAACAACCCGCTGCTGTCCCGACATGTCGGCCCTTTCAATCTTTGCGTGATAACCCCAATCTGTCCAATACATTATTCTATCAAATATAAAGCAAGTAAGACAGTAAGGGTTTTCTTATTTTTACTGTAGTGTCCCTTCCCATTTGTTGTCGGTGTGTTTTTAACAACATCGGCGTTCGTTTTCAAAACAGCCAGGTTGAGTTGAGTTTCAATTTAAAGCCGGTGGAGTTCTTAAATCTTGTGAATGTACACATATGCCAAAGTTTTTTGGTAGGAAAAGGTCAAGATAAAATAATGAATATATAGGGACCCAAAAACACTTGAAATCCTGCTTGTCGTTTAAGGAAGCAGCTTAAACATTATGCTCGCCTGGGGTCTCTTCTCGGCGGCTCCTCTTAAACAATGATTTTATTGGGGGATGACTTGCTGGACCCTTGCCTATTAGACAAGTGAGCATTAAAGGTTACTTGTCCAACAAGAAAATCTACTAGTCCGGGACTGCCAAAGGGTCTTTATTCATGCGCTGATATATAAATTCCATGCATTGGAACCGGGCAATGAAGAAATAAATGCATAGAAGATCATTGCAGTTAAGAGGCAAAATGACAGCGACAAACGCTTATGACTGATGGTGGCATTTGGTTGTCCGTAATAAACAGTCAAGAGACTGAATAGGTGTATTGGCCACGACAGTAACAATTTATCTCCATTGCTAAAGGTGCCACCGACCGTTTGCAGAAAGGAAAATTAGGTGCACTACAAATCTCTCTTTGCTTTTTTTCAGTAAACAGCTACAGATCTTACAGTAAAATAAAGGGTTTTGTTGCCTTCCATATCCATTTCAACTACTGACCCTTTACTAATATCCAATATGATATCTCTCGGTTCGTCTAGGCCACTTGTGATGAGTGCTTTCCGATAGGAACCGTCCAGTTTAGAGACTTCCAGTTTGTCAGTACCGGTATCAGTCCAATAGAGGTTCCTTCCGACAATGTCCACGGCCAATCCATCTGGCGACTGCACGTTTTGGTAAAACAAGACCTCAAACATAGAGCCATTCAAGAATGAACGAGAAATGGTGTTCCTTGTCACATCTGTCCAATACACTCTGTCCTCTAGAACGTCGTAGCCAATGGCAACCGGTCTACTGATAATGCTTGACAAAGGTAAAGAGATGAGTGATCCAGGAGCATGAGGGGAAACTTTCATAATCTTTCCGTATGAAGCATCGGCAAACAACAGAAACTCGTGCTCAGGAGGAGCTGCAAAAGAGATAGAATCATGTTATGGGCATCTTTTTGATATTATTAATGCTATGGGAGGACAAGAAAATTGCGTTTTGGTACTTGTACTGGCGTAGAGCACGTATCTCGCTAGTCAGTCACTTTTTTTTCTGGATTTATTTTGAGTGGCGTTATAACGAGGATGAAAAAGACATCATGGGTCTCGGTTTTGGGCCTTTAATTCAACGTTTTTGAGACTCTCCTGTCATCAATGACCTGGTTGTAATATCAAAAAAAGATGAGGAGGCACTACTCAAAAAAGGATTGAATTGAAGATGTTGCTTACAGCTAATCAAGTAAGTCATCCTTGCTTGTCGTAGGGAACCATACCTTTACAATTTCTTCCGTCATGATCTAGAATGAGGCCTCCAGAACAAGCACAAACTCTTCCAGATTGTGTAAGCAAGCAAAGTTGACTGCATCCGCCATTATTGTTATTGCATTGGTCTGTTACTGTAATTGGATATAGCAAGGCACATAATTAAAAGCAATTACAAAGGAATCCTTACCTAGAGAATACCGTGAAATGAGAACTGCACATAAAAGTTAGAAATTGGTAGGTAAAACATAGAGAAGTAGATATCTTTGTTTTCGGGCTGTTCTGTTGACGTTTGATTTTTATATGCAATATTCTGGCATAGCTAGAGTATGCAAGCAAGGAACCATCACACTTTAAAACTGCTATGGAGCGGATGAATTTTTATGGTGTTCAAAACATATAAGGTCGCTTAAAAAGGGCAATTTCTTATATTTTTGTTTGTCAGGTTAATCTATGTCCAACTAGTAAGAAAGTATCGTAAGTAAGTTCTTTCACGAGTGTTGTACGTTTGAAAATATGGTCTTTAATACTGGTTGCGTTTCCAAAGGATCATCAATCCCGTTCTAATCAATTTTTTTTCACAGCTGTTAGTTTACGCTGCACAAACAGTGCTCGTGCATGTTTATCAAGATTTGCCGGCATGAGATTTAAGATCGATGCCATATTATTTTTCTGACAAATGTGCTTCGAAGAAATATGTTTAACAAAAACTTTTTTTCACTTAAAACCCTCCTACTCACCTGGTATAATATTTTCACTGAGGTTATATCCATGTATGTCCATAGGCTGCCCAATACCTGTGACAAATACCGCCACATCAGCAGCACTTTCTTTGTTGGCTCTTTTAACAGTGTAGTCACTCCAGTCAGTCCAATATAAGTAGTCTCCAAGAAGTGTTAACCCGAAAGGATGAGGCAGGGTGGCTGAAGAATCTATTAAGGTCACCCTGGTGTTGCTACTAAGGTGCAAGTATTCGAGCTTGTCGTAGCTGGCATCCACCCAATACAAGCGGTTTCTTTCCTGGTCAAGCGTCAGACCATTTGGCCACGACAGACTTGCGTTTACGAGAACAACCCGCTGCTGTCCCGACATGTCGGCCCTTTCAATCTTTGCGTGATAACCCCAATCTGTCCAATACATTATTCTATCAAATATAAAAAAAAAACAAGTAAGAGGGGAAGGGTTTTATCATTTTTTCTTTATTGTCCCCTTCCCATTTGTTGTCGGTGTGTTTTAACAGCATCGACGTTCGTTTTCATATCAGCCAGGTTGAGTTGAGTTTCAATTTAAAGCCGGTGGAGTAGTTAAATCCAGTGAGTGTACACATACGCCAAAGTTTTTTGGTGGGAAAATTTTAAGATGAAAAAACGAATATATAGGGATCCAAAAACACTTGAATTCCTGCTTGTCCTTTGGGCACGCAGCTTAAACATTTTGCTTGCCTGGGCCTCTTCTGGCGACTCCTCTTAAACAATGATTTTATTGGGGGATGACTTGCAAGACTCTTGCCTATTGGACAAGTGAGCATTAAAAGTTCCTTGCCCAAAAGAAAATCTACTAGTCCGGGACTACCGAACGGGCCTTTGTTCATGGGCTGACATATAAATTTCATTTATTGGAACTGGACAATGAAGAAATAAATGCAAAGAAGATCATAGCAGTTAAGAAGCAAAACAACAGCGACCAACGCTTATGACTGCTGGTGGCATATGGTTGTCCGTAATAAACAGTCAAGAAACTGAATAACTGCATTTCCTAAGACAGTAACAATTTATCTCCATTGCTAGAGCTACCACCAACCGTTTGCAGAAATGAAAATTAGGTGCACTGCAAATCTTTCTTTGCCTCTTTTCAGTAAACAGCTACTATACACATCTTACAGTTAAATAAAGGGTTTTGTTGCCTTCCATATCCATTTCAACTACTTACCCTTTACTAATATCCAATATGATATCTCTCGGTTCGTCTAGGCCACTTGTTATGAGAGCTTTCCGATAGGAACCGTCCAGTTTGGAGACCTCAAGCTTGTCGGTTCCCGTATCAGTCCAATAGAGGTTCCTTCCGACAATGTCTACGGCCAATCCATCTGGCGACTGTACGTTTTGGTAAAACAAGACCTCAAACATAGAGCCATTCAAGAATGAACGAGAAATGGTGTTCCTTGTCACATCTGTCCAATACACTCTGTCCTCTAGAACGTCGTAGCCAATGGCAACCGGTCGACTGATAATGCTTGACAAGGGTAAAGAGATAAGTGATCCAGGAGCATGAGGAGAAACTTTCATGATCTTTCCGTATGAAGCATCGGCAAACAGCAGAAACTCATGGTCAGGAGGAGCTGCAAAAGTGATAGAATCATATTCTAGGCATCTTTTTCATATTATTAATGCTATGGTAAAAGAAGGAAATTGTGTTTTGGTACTTTTACCGGTGTAGAGCTTGTATCTCGCTAGTCAGTCACTTTATCTGGATTTATTGAGTGGTGTTCTAACGAGGATGAAAAAGACATCGTGGGTCTTGGTTTTGGGCCTTTAATTCAATGTTTTTGAAACTCTCGTGTCATCAACGACCTTGTTGTAATCTCTCGAAAAAAGGTTAGGAGGCACTACTCAAAAAAAAATTTAATTGCAGATATTGCTCAGAATCAAGTAAGTCACCCCCCCTTTGTAGTGAACCTTACCTTTACAATTTCTTCCGTCATGATCTAGAATGAGGCCTCCAGAACAAGCACACACTCTTCCGGATTGTGTAAGCAAGCAAAGTTGACTGCATCCGCCGTTATTGTTATTGCATTGGTCTGTTACTGTAATTGGATATAGAAAGGAACATAACTAAAAACAACTAGAATTAAAGGAACAGTTTCCCGTTACTGCGCATGTACCAAACTTTGATTTTCTGCCAGGATGTGGCGAATTCAAAAGTTGCGAGGAGGGTAAGATAAACTTGAAAAATCCGTTTGCACCGCACTTGGCCGAGTTCGATACTACACTATAACTTCTCAGAATTACAGATCAATGTAACATCGTTCCAGTTAAGTTTCGATTTGAGCGATATCGGGATTTTATGGCGTTACTTTCAATAGCCGTTGGCCGGAGGACCAAGGGAAGGAAAACACTTTAATGACAGTTGAAGTCTTATTTCTCCCGCAGCTGACCACATTAGCTCAGATAATCGTATATGGAATACGCAGAAATGGAATAACAACAATAAAAACTATGTAAGAAAGAAACCATAGAGACATGTATGTGACTGATATGGATGTGGACTAACCTTTGCGATGCAAATTCATCGCGTTAAGATTGCATTTTCATTCATATCTCTCGAGCTTTTGAGGCTGGAACGAGAGCAAATATTACTGGACTTGACTTGCTACAAACTGATCTCTTACACGAGTTTCACTGCAGAAAAAGCGTTTTAAAAGCGAGCGAGCTTTTCGGGTCGCAAGGCAGCCGAGCTACGACAAAATCGCAATAAGTCTTTGTGCCGCAAGCCAAATTTTAAATGGCACGAAATACTTCTTCTAAAGTTTTAATTATTACTTGAGAATGCAACCAACAAATCTCCGTCGGTGGTGCGGTCTGGAAGGAACTCTTGCCACGTCAATATGACAGTTCTATTGTCTTTTTAACAAATAACGGATGCGCATAATCGGGAGACTGTCCCTTTAACTCATTGCTTAGAGGGTCCGTGAAAATCTGGGAACTACATGTAAAAGGTAGAAATTTTGAGGTAGAACATCGCAACGTGGATGTCTTTGTTTTCGGGATTGTTCGGTCGACTTTTCATTCGCATTATTTTTGCATAGCTAGAGTATGCCAGGAAACAAAACATTTCCAAGTTTAAACGAATTAAGTGAAATGACGTTTAAAGCCTGGTTTCCATATGGTCGTCCGGATCGTCCTAGTCGTCTCAAAAAATGTTCAGACGATCGGGACGATCATATGGAGACGATCGCAAACGACCCGGACGACTGAGACGACCTCGATCGCTTGGATAGAGTTGAGTTCTATCCGGACGATCGGGACGATCATGTAAATTTTAAAGCGATTATATGGAAACGCTTTCAGAGGACTGAGACGATCGGAACGATCGAAGGCTATCCCAGAAGTCATCACTTTTATACCAGTAATCGAGAATAAATACGGCCCGGATGGCGCTGAAGCCGAAAAAATAATACACAAATGTTCGCAGCGCGTATGGGGGTTATTTGAAATTAGAGAAAGTCCGTAACGTCAAGTTTTCGAAGAGATAATAGTATGTCTTTGGGGAACTCCTCTAGCTTCTCAATGCCGCAAAATCAAGAGAAAAAGCAGATACCAAGGTACGAGGTTCGCTTTGCGAATAAAAATCATCCATTTATGTGGCTTGTTTTCAAAACAGGCGCAAAAATTCTATTGTCTGACCCAGAGACATCGCTGACGACCCTGCGTCTCTTGCCTTTGAGGCGATCGAGACGATCATATGCAAACTGCTAATCGCCCCAGTCGTCCGGATCGTCTCCAAATATCTTGAAACGAGTGGGGCGATCGGGACGATCCGGACGATCATATGGAAACCAGGCTTAAGACATAGAGAAAGGTCGCTTTTACATAAGGTAATATAGCTGTATAACGTTTCGTAAAGTTTTGTCCCACCAGTGGAAAAAAAAAAAGTATCAACTTTTTTCCAACAAACTTTCTAAGATAAGTCTTTACAAGGGGTCGCGATTCCAAAAGGTCATCAATCTCCTTCCAATAAAACATTCTTCATAGCTGTCCGTTTATGCTACCTAAAGTTTCCTCATTCTTATTTGTCAAGATTTGCCTGTGTAAGGGTTGTTATCGCCTTGAACAAAGTGCTTGGAAGAAGTATGACCAACAACAGATTTTCTCACAGAAAAACCCCTTCTACCCACCTGGTATAATCTTGTCACTGAGGTTATATCCATGTATGTCCATGGGCTGCCCAATACCTGTGACAAATACCGTGACATCAGCAGCACTTTCTTTGTTGGCCCTTTTAACAGTGTAGTCACTCCAGTCAGTCCAGTATAAGTAGTCTCCAAGAAGTGTTAACCCAAAAGGATGAGGCAGGGTGGCTGAAGAATCTATTAAGGTCACCATGGTGTTGGTACTAAGGTGCAAATATTCGAGCTTGTCGTAGCTGGCATCCACCCAATACAAGCGATTTCTTTCCTGGTCAAGCGTCAGACCATTTGGCCACGACAGACTTGCGTTTACGAGAACAACCCGCTGCTGTCCAGACATGTCGGCCCTTTCAATCTTTGCGTGATAACCCCAATCTGTCCAATACATTATTCTATCAAATGTAAAGCAAGTAAGACAGTAAGGGTTTCTCATTTTTGCTAATAATACTACTAATAATATTCAACGAAAGGTCCTGTCCATCAAGTGACAATAATGACAAAGAAACCAAAGTTCAAGGTTTATTTTGGACTCGGCCCTTGGAGAAGAAATACGGTCCTATTAACTGAACACTTATAATAATAATAATAATAATGTTTACAATAATAATAATAATAATAATAAACAAATAAATATGTAAGGTTTTCTAAGATTAATTTAGATATTTCAAACAGCCTTTCTGTGATATTCACTGTCATTGGTATCTGTTTTGGTTTAATTCTATCCTTAGATTAAATTTTGTTTTCCTTTGTTTCAAACTCGTTATCAAGCATTACCATGTCCAAAACACACAGGGAAATAAAATTTAAACCAAGGATAAAACTGAACAAAAACATATCGTCTATCTTTCGTTTCCTTAATGTAGTGGTGTCGCGACGTTATCCATTTGACTATATTGCCACATATTTTTCTTTAGCATTCGAGTCAGAACCTAAAGACAACTCAAATAATTTTTCATCTGCTCTTAAACGTTTTTGCCTTTAATGACAATTTTGCATCCAACAGAAGCAAAGCAAGGTCACCTTGCCAAAACTGACGCTCTCTTTTTCCCTTACGTTGCAACGCCTATACACAACAAATTCGACCAACCAAGGATAAATGCAAAGAGCGAGGCAAACAATTTTAGGATCTTTCTGTCCGTTTATTTAAACACATTTGAAGCCTGGTATTAAGCTGATGTACCCTTAAAAGGGTACATTAAAAGGGTGTTTGTCAAAGTCGTTAATGTCGTCTATGACGGCAAACACTTCCGCTGCCATTGTTGGCATCGAATATTCCAGGTAGAAAAAACACAGGGTGCTTGTCTTTCCTAACGTGTACTGTTGGCAGTAAAATGTCTCCAAATGTAACGACGGATTTTATTGCATTCAATATCGATTTAAAGTACTGACCCTTTACTAATATCCAATATGATATCTCTCGGTTCGTCTAGGCCACTCGTTATGAGTGCTTTCCGATAGGAACCGTCCAGTTTGGAGACTTCCAGCTGGTCAGTTCCTGTATCAGTCCAGTAAAGGTTCCTTCCGACAATGTCCACCGCCAATCCATCTGGCGACTGCACGTTTTGGTAAAACAGGACCTCAAACATAGAACCATTCAAGAATGAACGAGAAATGGTGTTCCTTGTCACATCTGTCCAATACACTCTGTCCTCTAGAACGTCGTAGCCAATGGCAACGGGTCGACTGATAGTGCTTGACAAGGGTAAAGAGATGAGTGATCCAGGAGCATGAGGAGAAACTTTCATAATCTTTCCGTATGAAGCATCGGCAAACAGCAGAAATTCATGTTCAGGGGGAGCTGCAAGAGAGATAGAATTAAGTTCAAGGCAATTTTATGATAATCAGGTAACGCATGGTAGCAGAAGGAAGTGAAACATGCATTGGTCATTATAGGCGTGGACGATGCTTTTGGAAGTCACTTTATTTCATCCAGCTTGAGTCACGTTATATTATCCTGCATTCAAATGAATAAATGCCGGTTTGAGCCTTTAATTCATTGCGATTTTGCCTCTTAAGTCAGTGACGATTAAGCATGCTTCTTTAAAAAATTGGCTCGGAGACGTTGCTTAAAAAAACATTAATATGAAAAAGTTTTAGAGGAGAAAATTCATGCCTTTTCGATGGTAATAAACTGTACCTTTACAATTTCTTCCGTCATCATCTAGAATAAAGCCTCCTGAACAAGCACAAACTCTTCCAGATTGTGTAAGTAAGCAAAGTTGACTGCATCCGCCATTGCTATTACTGCACTTGTCTGTGACTAGAATTGGATAAAGCAAGGCACAAAAATGAAAGCAATTAGAATTGAATCATTGCTTATTAATTAGAGGGGACCGTGAAAAGACTACTGTATGTAAAGAGCAGTAAAGTGCATGGAAAGATATAGCGTGTTAAACTTCTTCGTTTTTGAGCTGTATGGTTGATTTTTTTATTTACAGCATTTATTACTAGAGTATGCTACGTAACAGCACACTTGTAATTTGCATTGGTGCCGATTTGGCTTTGAAATGTGTTTAAAATAGTCTATATTGCAAAGCTGCTTTTTAAATGTCGACATGGTTATTTTTCGTCAGCTTATTAAGCTTTTAGGGCCACGTGCCAAGCCCCCAAGAACGTCTGAGTAGGAGACTAGTTATATCTATGGCAAACTAGTGGAAGAAAAATCTGTCAAAGGATATTTGGAAATTAAAGGTCTTGAAAGGGGTCGGTCGCACTTCTAAAAGATCATGGTCGATTTGCATCTGATTTCATTTTCATTTTTTCATAGCGATCAGTTTATGCTACCTAAACAGTCCTTAAGGACGGTGTGAGCCATAATTGCTACATATTAATTTCTCTGACAAATATGCTTTAGGGATATGTGATAATAACAATAGCTTTTTTCTCATAGAAAACTCCTTGTACTTGCCTGGTATTGTTTTTTCGCTGAGGTTGTAACCATGTATGTCCATAGGCTGCCCAATACCTGTGACAAATACCGTGACATCAGCAGCGTTTTCTTTGTTGGCTCTTTTGACAGTGTAGTCACTCCAGTCAGTCCAGTATAAGTAGTCTCCGAGAAGTGTTAACCCAAAAGGATGAGGCAGGGTGACGTAAGAATCTATTAAGGTCACCCTGACGTTGGTACTCAGATGCAAGTATTCGAGCTTGTCGTAGCTGGCATCCACCCAATATAAACGGTTTCTTTCCTGGTCAAGCGTCAGACCATTAGGCCACGACAGACTTGAGTTCACAAGAACAACCCTCTGCTGTCCTGACATGTCAGCTCTTTCAATCTTTGCGTGATAACCCCAGTCTGTCCAATACATGATTCTATAGACAACAAATAAGAAAGACTAAATCACTTTTCTTTTTCATTTAGATCTCACAACCGCTTCCTGTTATGTCTTTGAAAACATTGACGTCGTTATCTCTTTTTTAATCCATACACTTTATAGCCGCTTCAAAATTGCATAAAGTTAAGGACACTCACCCTTTACTAACATCCAATATAATATCCCTTGGTTCGTCTAGGCCACTTGTTATGAGAGCTTTCCGATAGGAACCGTCCAGTTTGGAGACTTCCAGTTTGTTTGTTCCCGTATCAGTCCAATAGAGGTTCCTTCCGACAATGTCTACGGCCAATCCATCTGGCGACTGTACGTTTTGGTAAAACAAGACCTCAAACATAGAACCATTCAAGAATGAACGAGAAATGGTGTTCCTTGTCACATCTGTCCAATACACTCTGTCCTCTAGAACGTCGTAGCCAATGGCAACCGGTCGACTGATAATGCTTGACAAGGGTAAAGAGATGAGTGATCCAGGAGCATGAGGAGAAACTTTCATAATCTTTCCGTATGAAGCATCGGCAAACAGCAGAAATTCATGTTCAGGGGGAGCTGCAAGAGAGATAGAATTAAGTTCAAGGCAATTTTATGATAATCAGGTAACGCATGGTAGCAGAAGGAAGTGAAACATGCATTGGTCATTATAGGCGTGGACGATGCTTTTGGAAGTCACTTTATTTCATCCAGCTTGAGTCACGTTATATTATCCTGCATTCAAATGAATAAATGCCGGTTTGAGCCTTTAATTCATTGCGATTTTGCCTCTTAAGTCAGTGACGATTAAGCATGCTTCTTTAAAAAATTGGCTCGGAGACGTTGCTTAAAAAAACATTAATATGAAAAAGTTTTAGAGGAGAAAATTCATGCCTTTTCGATGGTAATAAACTGTACCTTTACAATTTCTTCCGTCATCATCTAGAATAAAGCCTCCTGAACAAGCACAAACTCTTCCAGATTGTGTAAGTAAGCAAAGTTGACTGCATCCGCCATTGCTATTACTGCACTGGTCTGTGACTAGAATTGGATAAAGCAAGGCACAAAAATGAAAGCAATTAGAATTGAATCATTGCTTATTAATTAGAGGGGACCGTGAAAAGACTACTGTATGTAAAGAGCAGTAAAGTGCATGGAAAGATATAGCGTGTTAAACTTCTTCGTTTTTGAGCTGTATGGTTGATTTTTTTATTTACAGCATTTATTACTAGAGTATGCTACGTAACAGCACACTTGTAATTTGCATTGGTGCCGATTTGGCTTTGAAATGTGTTTAAAATAGTCTATATTGCAAAGCTGCTTTTTAAATGTCGACATGGTTATTTTTCGTCAGCTTATTAAGCTTTTAGGGCCACGTGCCAAGCCCCCAAGAACGTCTGAGTAGGAGACTAGTTATATCTATGGCAAACTAGTGGAAGAAAAATCTGTCAAAGGATATTTGGAAATTAAAGGTCTTGAAAGGGGTCGGTCGCACTTCTAAAAGATCATGGTCGATTTGCATCTGATTTCATTTTCATTTTTTCATAGCGATCAGTTTATGCTACCTAAACAGTCCTTATGGACGGTGTGAGCCATAATTGCTACATATTAATTTCTCTGACAAATATGCTTTAGGGATATGTGATAACAACAATAGCTTTTTTCTCATAGAAAACTCCTTGTACTTGCCTGGTATTGTTTTTTCGCTGAGGTTGTAACCATGTATGTCCATAGGCTGCCCAATACCTGTGACAAATACCGTGACATCAGCAGCGTTTTCTTTGTTGGCTCTTTTGACAGTGTAGTCACTCCAGTCAGTCCAGTATAAGTAGTCTCCGAGAAGTGTTAACCCAAAAGGATGAGGCAGGGTGACGTAAGAATCTATTAAGGTCACCCTGACGTTGGTACTCAGATGCAAGTATTCGAGCTTGTCGTAGCTGGCATCCACCCAATATAAACGGTTTCTTTCCTGGTCAAGCGTCAGACCATTAGGCCACGACAGACTTGAGTTCACAAGAACAACCCTCTGCTGTCCTGACATGTCAGCCCTTTCAATCTTTGCGTGATAACCCCAGTCTGTCCAATACATGATTCTATAGACAACAAATAAGAAAGACTAAATCACTTTTCTTTTTCATTTAGATCTCACAACCGCTTCCTGTTATGTCTTTGAAAACATTGACGTCTTTATCTCTTTTTTAATCCATACACTTTATAGCCGCTTCAAAATTGCATAAAGTTAAGGACACTCACCCTTTACTAACATCCAATATAATATCCCTTGGTTCGTCTAGGCCACTTGTTATGAGAGCTTTCCGATAGGAACCGTCCAGTTTGGAGACCTCCAGTTTGTTTGTTCCCGTATCAGTCCAATAGAGGTTCCTTCCGACAATGTCTACGGCCAATCCATCTGGCGTCTGTACGTTTTGGTAAAACAAGACCTCAAACATAGAACCATTCAAGAATGAACGAGAAATGGTGTTCCTTGTCACATCTGTCCAATACACTCTGTCCTCTAGAACGTCGTAGCCAATGGCAACCGGTCGACTGATAATGCTTGACAAGGGTAAAGAGATGAGTGATCCAGGAGCATGAGGAGAAACTTTCATAATCTTTCCGTATGAAGCATCGGCAAACAGCAGAAACTTGTGCTCAGGAGGAGCTGCAAGAGAAAGATTTAAGGTGCCGGTAATTATAAAATTATGTATTTAATGCATGATAGCAAAAGGAAAACACGCACTGGTCTTTATACATGTCGACGATGACTTTCGAAGACTCTTTTTCTTGTCCACTTTGAGTGACGTTATAGTTAACACCCGCATTCACAACAAGGAATGCGGATTTGGGCGATCGAAACTCCCCAGTCATGATGACTGGCTCTGTTTCTTAAAAAAGAAGGTGCGGAGGCGATACTTAAATGTTCTTTTCGTGAAAAAGCTTTAGGTGAGAAAATCCACCCCACTTTGATGGTAATAAGCCATACCTTTGCAATTTCTCCCGTCGTCATCTAGAATGAGGCCTCCTGAACAAGCACACACGCTTCCAGATTGTGTAAGCAAGCAAAGTTGACTGCATCCGCCATTGTTGTTCTTGCATTGGTCAGTGACTGTAATCGGATATAGCAAGGCATATAATAATTACTTATAGGAGAATGTGCCCGGAAACAGCACACCCGTAATTAAGCAAAGTAAGTAAGCATAGAAGACTGTATCCGCCATTATTGTTATTGTACTGGCCTTTTACTGTAATTGTATATAGCAAGGCACATAATCAAAAGCAATTAGAATTGAATCATCGCTTAGAGGGGACAGCAAAAAGACTACCGCATGTAAAAAGCAGAAATTGGGAGGTACGATATCGTACGTTAGAAGACTCTGTTTTCGAACTCTTAATTTCCGGACTTTGTATTTACAACATTCACAACTAGAGTATGCCAGCCGATGAAACAGCACACTTCTAATCAACAGTAGTGCCGATTTAACTTTAGGATGTGTTTAAAATAAACCACGACGCCGGGTTGCTTTCTAACAACACGACATGGCTATTTTTTCGTCAGGGTGTTACGCTTAATAAGGAACGTGTAACGAACCCCTAAGAACATCTAAGTAGAAGGCTAGTTATGCAGCCATGTCACACTGAGAGAAGAAAAATTACAAAAACACGGATGTTTTCGCAGGCCATATGCTTTAAGGGCATTTAAAAATAACAAGAAACTTTTCTCGTAGAAAACTCCTTGTATTTGTACTTGCCTGGTATTATCTTTTCACTGAGGTTATATCCATGTATGTCCATAGGTTGTCCAATACCTGTGATAAAAATCGTGACATCAGCAGCTCTTTCTTTGTGGGCTCTTTTAACAGTGTAGTCACCCCAGTCAGTCCAGTATAAGTAGTCTCCAAGAAGTGTTAACCCGAAAGGATGGGGAAGAGTGACGTAAGAATCTATTAAGGTCACCCTGACGTTGGTACTCAGGTGCAAGTATTCGAGCTTGTCGTAGCTGGCATCTACCCAATATAAGCGGTTTCTTTCCTGGTCAAGCGTCAGACCATTAGGCCACGACAGACTTGAGTTCACAAGAACAACCCTCTGCTGTCCTGACATGTCAGCCCTTTCAATCTTTGCGTGATAACCCCAGTCTGTCCAATACATGATTCTATAGACAACAAATAAGAAAGACTAAATCACTTTTCTTTTTCATTTAGATCTCACAACCGCCTTTTGTTACGTCTTTGAAAACACTGATGTGCGTCGTTACCTTTTTTTCAATCCACACACTTTGTAGCCACTTTAAAATTGCAGAAATTTAAAGCAACTCACCCTTTACTAACATCCAGTATAATATCCCTTGGTTCGTCTAGGCCACTTGTTATGAGAGCTTTCCGATAGGAGCCGTCCAGTTTAGAGACTTCCAGCTTGTTTGTTCCCGTATCAGTCCAATAGAGGTTCCTTCCCACAATGTCCACAGCCAATCCATCTGGCGTCTGCACGTTTTGGCTAAACAAGACCTCAAACATAGAACCATTCAAGAATGAACGTGAAATGGTGTTCCTTGTCACATCTGTCCAGTACACTCTGTCTTCTAGGACGTCGTAGCCAATGGCAACCGGTCTACTGATAATGCTTGATAAGGGTAAAGAGATGAGTGATCCAGGAGCATGAGGAGAAACTTTCATAATCTTTCCGTATGAAGCATCGGCAAACAGCAGAAACTCGTGCTCTGGAGGAGCTGCAAGAGAAAGATTTAAGGTGTCAGCAATTATAAAATTATTTATGTAATGCATGATAGCAAAAAGAAAACACGCACTGGTCTCTATACGTGTCGACGATCATTTTCGAAGACTCTTTTTCTTGTCCACTTTAAGTGACGTTATAGTCAACACCCCCATTCAAAACAAGGAATGCCGATTTGGGCGATCGAAACTCCCCAGTCATGACGACTGGCTCTGTTTCCTAAAAAAAAAGGTGCGGAGACGATACTTAAATGTTCTTCTCGTGAAAAAGCTTTAGGTGAGAAAATCCATCCCCCTTTGATGGTTAAAAGCCATACCTTTGCAATTTCTTCCGTCGTCATCTAGAATGAAGCCTCCTGAACAAGCACACACGTTTCCAGATTGTGTAAGCAAGCAAAGTTGACTGCATCCGCCATTGTTGTTCTTGCATTGGTCAGTGACTGTAATCGGATATAGCAAGGCATATAATCATTACTTATAGGACACCATAAAAAGACTACCACATGTGAAAAGCAGAAATTAGGAGGTAACACATCACCCATAACACCTGTTTGTTTTCGAGCTGTATGGTCGACTTTTTATTTAAGCATTCATAACTAGAATGTGCCAAGTAAGCATAGAAGACTGTATCAGCCATTATTGTTATTGTACTGGTCTTTTACTGTAATTGTACATAGCAAGGCACATAATAAACGCAATTAGAATTGAATCATCACTTAGAGGGGACAGCAAAAAGACTACCGCATGTAAAAAGCAGAAATTGGGAGGTACAATATCGTACGTTAGACGACTTTGTTTTCGAACTCTTAATTTTTCGACTTTGTATTTACAGCATTCATAACTAGAGTATGCCAGCCGACGAAACACCACACTTCTAATCAACAGTGGTGGCAATTTAACTTTAGGTTGTGTTTAAAATAAACCATACTGCAGGGTTGCTTTCTAAAAGCGCGACAAAGCTACTTTTTCGTCAGGGTGTTACGCTTAATAAGGAACGAGTGACGAAACCCTAAGAACATCTAAGTAGAAGGATAGTTATGCGGCCATGTCACACTGAGAGAAGAAAAATGTACAAATCGTTTGATGAATTCTTGGCAATTGAAGGCTTTGATAAGCGTCGCACTTCTAAAACTTCATTGATCTGCATTTAATTTAGTTTTTATTTTTTGATAGCTATCAGTTTATGCTACCTAAACAGTGCTTATCGAAGGAGTGAGCCATTAGCGCTGCATATTTTAAAATTTGCCTGAAAATATGCTTAATAGCCTGCGAAAACATCCGTTTCTCCTCGATCTTCGCTGCTGGGGACGTTTCGCGCGGAGGAACGTCTGCGACTCAGGACAGAAATTCCATACTGAAGACGCAAATCAATGTTTACATAATAAATCCGGTAGTCATGAGGGTCCAGATATAAATTTGACCAATTTTACGTGTCTTCTGTTCGATTTTGGTAAAGTGTTGTGTTCATCTGCCAACGTGCTTCATGCAGCAAAACTCAAATGCTTCTTCAAGAGAAGACTATATTCCACAAATATTGGCTGTTTTGTTCGAGATTCTTCGCGTTTACATTTGACCTTTGTGGCCTTTTGTCTTTTGTCTGTCATTCGTAAACAATAGCTAAAACAATGCAACTACTCCGTCGACCAATCAGCGCTTCTGACCAGATTCCAGACAGATTTTACGTCATCAGTATGGAATTTCTACCTCTGAGTCGCAGACATTCCTCCACGGCGAAGAGCAAGGAGAAACGGATCTTTTCGCAGGCTATATGCTTTAACGACATTTAAAAATAACAAACAAATTTTCTCTTGGAAAACCCCTTGTATTTGTGCTTGCCTGGTATTGTCTTTTCACTGAGGTTATATCCATGTATGTCCATAGGCTGCCCAATACCGGTGATAAAAACCGTGACATCAGCAGCGCTTTCTTTGTTGGCTCTTTTAACAGTATAGTCACCCCAGTCAGTCCAGTATAAGTAGTCTCCAAGAAGTGTTAACCCAAAAGGATGAGGTAGAGTGACGTAAGAATCTATTAAGGTCACCCTGACGTTGGTACTCAGGTGCAAGTATTCCAGCTTGTCGTAGCTGGCATCCACCCAATATAAGCGGTTTCTTTCCTGGTCAAGCGTCAGACCATTAGGCCACGACAGACTTGTGTTCACGAGAACAACCCTCTGCTGTCCTGACATGTCAGCCTTTTCAATCTTTGCGTGATAACCCCAGTCTGTCCAATACATGATTCTATAGACAATAAATAAGCAATACTAAATCACTTTTCTTTTTGATTTAGATCTGACAACCGTTTGTTGTTATGTCTTTGAAAACATTGAAGTCGTTATCTCTTTTTTAATCCACATACTTTGTAACCGCTTCAAAATTGCAGAAAGATAAGGCCACTCACCCTTTACTAACATCCAATATAATATCCCTTGGTTCGTCTAGGCCACTTGTTATGAGAGCTTTCCGATAGGAGCCGTCCAGTTTAGAGACTTCCAGTTTGTCGGTTCCCGTATCAGTCCAATAGAGGTTCCTTCCGACAATGTCCACAGCCAATCCATCTGGCGACTGCACGTTTTGGCTAAACAAGACCTCAAACATAGAACCATTCAAGAATGAACGTGAAATGGTGTTCCTTGTCACATCTGTCCAGTACACTCTGTCTTCTAGGACGTCGTAGCCAATGGCAACCGGTCTACTGATAATGCTTGACAAGGGTAAAGAGATGAGTGATCCAGGAGCATGAGGAGAAACTTTCATAATCTTTCCGTATGAAGCATCGGCAAACAGCAGAAACTCATGCTCGGAAGGATCTTCAATGAAATGAAATTGAACAAAATCAGAGGATTAGTAAATTTTGAAGGAGTTGCACATATATATATACTTTTTTTTTAAATTTAATTTTTAATAGGAATTTGATTGTTGTATTTAGCTGTGCAAATGACAGTTTGATTTTTATAATTAAATTAATATTTTAAATAAGGCATTGCTCCATGTATCGAATGTATATTTTCTTAATCAGAGCGCCTTGCGATCTCTCCATGATTTCTTCCACTGTTTACAGTTTTCAACCTAACTAAAGGGTTTTGGGTACTATTGCTAGATTACTACTATTGTGTGATCCTTTTCGCATATTTTTAATATACTTGCTCCCTTACATTTGTTTGACGACTCTGACTGTGGTGAATAATATTCTTTTTCAGTTTATCATTTTGTTAATTTGGAGACTCCTCCAAGCAGAAGTCCATCTCTTTTACAGGTCAACTAATTCGTAGCCTAGTGTGAGAAAACGCCCTTTATTTCGAGACGTCACCAATAGTTTCCCCGCCAACTAACGTCTGAGAAACGAGTACAGAGATTCCATACTGATATGACGCCTTACTACCCACATCAGGCTAGTGCACCTGATTGGTCGTGCCGCGTGGGAAATTTGTTTCAACCATTCAGAGGCACCACCTGGATCTGGTTCGTGAAACGTCATCAGAGTGAAATCCGAGGTGGTTTCGCGAAATGTCAGTTGCTTTCTCAGGCTAGCTATAATTAGGAATATATTTTTATTGTATAGAAACTGATGAAATACCAGGATTTTTTCTTTTACTAAAAAATCATATCTTCGAAGATACTATTTTTATCTTTCACGTGTGAGGATATTAGGTCGCCATGGTTACTAACATGATTTGATTTTGATTTTGATTTTGGAACAGAAAATATAAGAATTGTCTTTATTTCTCCTTTATAACTTTATATCCGAGTTTCATAACATTTTATTGACAGGCATTTTGCGATAGGTCACCACTTTAATTGCACTATTTTGCTGTTTCGAAAATGAATAAAAAAACGTTGTGTTTTATGTAGGAATTTCATCAGTATCTATCTATCAGGTTCTCGTGCTGAAAGTGTCTCTCACTCTTTTGCTTCGCTCACTCGTGAGAGATACTTTCAGCACTCGAAGATAAAATTCGTATCCCCGCGCGTCCATGCAATATCCTCTATATCTACCTTTACAGGATTTCCCATCGTCATTGAGAACTGATCCGCCTGAGCATGCGCACTCTCCTCCAGATGGTGTAAGCAGACAAAGTTGATCACATCCACCATTGTTATTATTACACTCTTCAGTAACTAAAAAATTTCACTCACAATCATTATGGCGTTGTTATTTTCAATGGTAATATTAACAATATCTAAATATAAAGAGATTTTAGCCTTAAAATTTTGAGTGTTTGGTTCAAAAATACATTGACGCGCCCAAAGTTATTATTACAAGGTGTGATTTATCTGCCTAATCTTAGATGTATAGCTTATTGTGTCTAGAGTAAAAAAAAAAAGAAAAAGAAAAAGAAAAGAAAAACACTACGAGGTTTTCTCATAACAAAGTTGTCCTCATTACCTTGTACTATTGGTGCACTAATGTTATATCCATGTATGTCCATGGGCTGTCCGATGCCGCTGATAAAAGCTGAGATAAGACCAACGCTCTCTTTATTCGCTCGATAAACAGCGTTTGTGCTCCAATCGGTCCAATAAACATGATCTCCCAGCAGAGTAAGACCAAAGGGGTGTGGCAACACACTTGATGAAATCAGCAAGGTTACCCTGTTGTTATCATCGAGATCCAAGTATTCAAGTTTGTGATAACTTCCGTCCACCCAGTACAATCTATTGGTGTCTTTATCAAGTGTTAGGCCGTTGGGCCAACGCAATACGGAATTTACCAATACACTGCGCTCTTTACCAGCCATATTAGCTTTCTCTATTTTCGGATTGGAACCCCAGTCTGTCCAGTACATGATTCTATGAAAATTCCAACAAAAAAATTTTCGTATAGATAAATGCAAAAAATATCAACGCAGTTACAGACGTAGGTATAAGGGTTGCCATTGAGAAGTTTATACTGAAAAACTCTTAATACGTATTCCGCCTTGACAAGTATACGATTATTCATGGAAATGATGAACATATTAATTTCATATAATGAAAACGCGAAATAAAACTGCTAAATAAATGCAAAGAAGATCATCGCAGTCGGTTGCGTATGTATAAAACTGAGATGGTCTTCTTTGGCTAGTCCAATATGTGAAATTAATATATTCATCATTTTATGTTCATTTTTCAGGGGCATATTGTGAGCTAGATTTAAAGACCAGCTCCTAGTTGGCTTGCTATAAGCATTTGCAAAAGTACTTGAGACACTGTACCGTATTTTGGCATAAATGGCCTGTCCATGATCTTGTGCTTGTGAACCCCTCTCCACTCCTTATCAAAGTTGCTAACAATACAAGACCATGCTCAAAACTTAGGGGAACAACTTTGAATTGGAGGGAGGAGGGAGGTGAGCATTACGTCTCACAGACCTGTGATCAAGAGCGATTTGATGCAAGAAAGGTCGTTTTTTCGTGGGAGTGTCACAGCATTTTTGCCACTGGTTGAAGCTCAACTGGTCAGAGCTCTGTGAGGTATCGCTGAGGTCAGGGTTCGACTGATGGCAAGCCTGATGTTTTTTGAAGCTGAATAGTTACAAGCAACCTCTGTTTCTTCTCGGGTGCAAGTGAACTCTTCTCAGCTAGCGAAGGCCTCTTTTCCCTGGTATCCGGCGGGCGGGAATACCAGGGAAAAGAAGCCTCTGCTAACAGGGAATAGTCAATCATAGTCGCTCTATCATCTTTTTTTCAAAGAGTTTTTGGTCTAAGTTTGAATATTTTTGGCACCAACTTTCGAAAGAAAAAATACAACTATCATTGCATGACTTTATAGTAGGAGTAGAGACCACAGAAGGCGCTTCGTATCATCATTTACTTTTGTATGCTAATTACTGGTAAAGTTTATCTGGGCAAACGATACACCTCTGAGTATACATGGATTTTTTAAAAAAGGTTGTGGCGACATATGAAACTGAATGACTTACTAGCTTTTACTTTGAAAAGAATGCTTTTTTTACATTGAAAAGACTTACTGTAAATGGTTTATAAATCCTAATAACTATTTTAAATAGATTATTATTTTTCCGTTGCTTGCATAAATTGTAACTTGTCTTAATTACTTAGTTTAAGTTAGAGTTGGATGGACATGTAATATATTGTATTGTTATTGTTTACTTAGTGTTTTGTATGAACTGTTGTAATAACTCTATTTTCGTATCTTATTAGTCATTAGTCATTGTCACAAACTTTTTTTGTCAGTTAGCAAGATAGTTAGTAATGGTTAGAAGTATAACCAAGGGAAATGAATTTTAATTCTTAAAAACTCCCTTTACCGAGGAAAAAGCTGTAATGGAAGGTGAATTTAGGGTACCAAGATACATGTCTTTTTCGAAGAAATACGTACCGTGTCTGGATAACTTTATGTTTATTAACTACACCTTATCAGGCAATTGAGCATAGAAGGAGTAATGATGCGAGGGTTATCCTTAAGGCAGGATTGAAGGATTTGAAAACGAATTCTCCCGTCATGCCTGCGGGACAGCTCACAGTTAAGTCGCATCTATGCAAGGAAGCAGACGTTAAAACGTCAATTTCTTTGTGTCGCATTAGAGAGCTTTAGCATCGACGATAGCGCGTTTTTTTTCAAACTTTCGAGTTTATTCCAAATTGCTAAAAATATCAAATATAGGCGAATTCCCTGGAGCTGATTTCTTGGGGACTGCACTCAAGTTTAGAAAGAGAGAGAGAAAAAAATTGTCATATCTTGTTTACTCCATAAAACGAGAAATTAGGGATTTTCTCGTCGTAGTCGTGTAGGGACGACAAAGAAATGTACAAAAAAAGAGTTGCACGTGCTTGTTTTGACGTTCTTGTTCCAGTCTCCGTTGCCGTCGCCGTTGCTAAAGCTCTCTATTATACATGCATAGGGGCGTCATTTAATTCTTACCCTTTACTAACATCCAATATGATGTCTCTAGGTTCATCTAACCCGGTTGTTATGAGGGCTTTACGGTAGGACCCATCCAGTTTAGAAACTTCCAGCTTATTGGTACCCGTATCAGTCCAGTACAGGTTCCTTCCGACGATGTCTACCGCCAGTCCATCTGGTGTTTGCACGTTTTGGTCAAAAAGGACTTCCTGCATAGAACCATTCAAAAATGAACGAGAGATCGTATTCCTTGTAACATCTGTCCAGTACACTCGGTCCTCTACCAGATCGTAGCCAAGGGCAACGGGTCGGGTAATTATGCTTGCAGATAAAGGCAGTTGTACACGCTGTTGGGGATCATGAGGAAGTACTTTCACTATTCTACCATATGTGGCATCGGCAAACAACAGAAACTGCTGAGGTGCTAAAAGTGATAAGGAAGGTTCTAATCAATAAAAGATTGTTGCTATTGGCAACTATATCTTTTTCTAATAATAATTCTTTTTGTAAGCAAACTTAACGTGTAATGCCTAGAAATACGTACTATTTATCAAACGCGACGATACAAAGGCTGGAGATATGTTCAAGTGCTCTTTCGCGTTTTTATGCACTGAAAGGAATTCCACGTCCATGTAAGAGCGCAAACAACTAAGAGGTCAATATCCACCTACCTCGACCGAACAAAATTCAGCAATAAAGGATCTTTACATTCGCCTGAACAAACTCTCTATTTGCGGGACATAGCGGAAGCTAGCGGATAATCTTGTCTGCTGGGGTAGATAATCAGAAGTCAAGATTCTCCTTGTTGTAAGTGAATTACTCCAATTCAAACGTTTCGGTTAATTTTCCTCCTTGGTTTAATTTTTATATCTGGTGATAGTGAGTCTATAGCAAAGGCTCGCATACATCATTTTTTTGTGTAAGATTTCCTATGATCTCTTTTTTTAATGTCTTATGATGGTAGGCAATAAACGTGTCATTTCTGCAATACAGCATTAAGTACCTTTACAAGTCTTCCCGTCGACGGCGAGATTAAGCCCATCTGAACATGAACACTTTGCCCCAAATGGTGTTAGCAAGCAAAGCTGGCTACATCCTCCATTGTTGTTGCTACATTCATCAGTAACTGAAAAGAAGAAAGAGCTTCTTTGTTTCTCATAGTTTGTGACTTGATACAGAATATATGCTACAGCCCGCCATCCGTGGGGATGACAAGAGATAAAAAAATGACCGATCCTTCTGATGCAAATTAGGAACATCCTGTGTCTTTACTACTAAGAGTTTAAGATGATATGCCAAGGTTTACAACCCAGCTCATGTTTGAATCTTCTGAAGGCCGTCCATGGCTACAGAGATAAATTGAACGTATAAAATCATATGGAAGACTAGATTTCCTAGTGCAGCCACTGACGTACTAATACGATCGTTCAATGCAACTGTGACTGCGATTTTTGGTTTAAATACCTGGTAAAAACGTATTATTCACATCGTAGGCATGAATAAGCTGCGGTTGAGATTCGGTGGACAGTATTTTAACGACATTTCCCCCATTTTGTCGATCTGCCCGGTATATTCCATAATAATACTGGCTTGTCCAGTAGAGATGATTCTGGTTAAGTGCCAGTCCAAACGGGTAACTCAGGTAGACATGACTTGAGATAACTTGTCTTCGAGTGTTAGTTGGAAACTCGTACACTTCGAGCCTCTCATAAAGTCCATCTATCCAGTAAAGCCAGTTTCTGTCAAAATCAAGAGCAAGCCCATTGGGATAAAACAGTCCTGAGTCGATAACAGTGACTCTGTTTTGACCGTCCATATCTGCTTTCTCTATTCTTTCGTCAATTCCCCAGTCAGTCCAGTACACGAATCTGCCGAGCAAAAAGAGAAGCTCACTGAAAATTTTGCAAAAATGAAAATGGAACGAAACAAAGGTAGGTATAGAGTGCGGAAAAATGATAGCAAACTCCCAAATGAAAGATGAAGCTGCTGTGTGGTTATTTTGTTTAATGTGCAAGAACGGAATTTGTTAGAGAATTTCATTATTTAAAAAGGATCACAGTAGCATTGTAATTTGCGCTATGTACGTTTAGTGAAGGCTATCTTACACAAATACCAAGAGCTGATTGATTCTTCACTTTTCTTGGTAGATGTTGTAACGAACAAGCCGAGGTTTTTCAATCGTGATTGTATTATTAGATATAAGACATGATTAAACCCAAAATAGTTTAAAATAGATTAAATAATCTAAGTAATGACTGGTCGAGAAACATCACTGATTGCTTGAACTAATTTAGAAAAAAAACTTGGAGAGGGGAAGGATTAGGGCAAGGGGAGGAAAAGGGACGACCGCGGAGATTTTATCGTATTTTGAATGGGCCATTTGCACGATGACATCATTTACTACTACGACCAGAATCCTTCAGGGTTTTCCTTTCTTGTGCAAATTACGCCTTTTGTCATTTAAATCTCCCTGGGATTACCACATTTAAATATGAAAAGAAAAACGAAAGGGATTCTGGTAGTAAAATGACGCCATCGTGCAAATGGCCTATTATCATTTTTGACTGAAACAGAAAGCCCTGATTGGCCTGGGCCCAGTTGTTCGAAGGGCGATTAGCGCTAACCCGAAGTCAAATTTTACTCCGTGTTTTTTTTTTCTCTTTGTTGAAAAGCATTTTAATTCTTGGATAATTTTTTGTCTGTTATTTTAAGAGCGTGCAATCATCAAATTGTAGACAAACAGAATTAAACTGATATCGCGTTTTAAGCTTTCACATGATAATTGAATTCAAATTTCGGACTAACCCTGAGTTATCTTAACTTGGCTTTGAACAACCCGGCCCTGTTATACTCGAGGAAATTAACGATTAAGTATAAAGGCCGGGAGATTCAGGCTACTCCATAGTTGATTACAGCTAAATTATGAGTTGAAGCCTAACAAAAAGGTTAAATTATACTAGGAAAACAATCGGAGAAGTAACTTCGCGAACATACGCCTATATCGATCATACCCTCTAGTGACATCCAAGGCAATATCCGTTGGACTTTGCAAATCCTTATTAATGAGGATGCGTCTGTACAAGCCGTTCAACGTTGCAACCTCAATAGTATCTTCTGCTTTGTCTGTCCAATATATATTCTGACCAAACGGGTCAACAGCAAGTCCATAAGGGCTCTCTATGCGAGAGGACACAACAATTTCCTGAGAGGATCCGTTCAAAAAGGATCTGGAGATTGTGTTGAGTGACACATCCGTCCAGTAGACTTTTTCGTCCTGAAAATTATAGTCTAGAGCTACAGGTGTTAAGGGAGGTGTTTTCAGTGGAATTCTATACGTTGTATTGGAATTAAAATGTAGTTGCATTTGTCTGATGTTCTGTCCCTCAACAAAAAGAAGAAAACTTGAGAATTCTGAAAAAAAGAAAACCAACAACAAACTGTTTGTTACAAAGTAGAACAAAACAATTGTGGAAAAAGACACAAAGGAGATTTATTATTCCATTTGGGTCAGTCATTGATCTTTTTATTACCTGTCAAACACTTCTTCCCATCTGGTTGCAGAGGCAAGCCATCAGGACAAGCACACTGATATCCGTCAGGTGTCAGAAGGCATAGATGACTGCAGCCACCGTTGTTCACTTTGCATAACTGGTTACCTGACATATGATAGGAAAGCTAGTTTCAGTTTAAATACATATTTGAAGCTCGCCGTCATGATCATGATCTATATTCATAACACCACCAATATTCAAAGTCCATAAAACCAATGATTCGTATTCATGAAGGTGTTAAGTGCGTGATGTCAATAGAAATTAAATTGAAAAAAAAGGAAACAAACAAGCGAAAACGAAGCTATTTAAAAAATGTTAGTGTTTTTCTTTTCTTCACAAACACAAACGGGATTGTGACGTACTTTTGCCAATATCCCGATCTGAAATCAAAGTTAGAAAAGCTAATGCCATATAAACAGTCGATGCCATGATTCAGACGCAGTGAGCGATTAAAAGTTCCCAATAATTAACGAAGCGACATGTCTAAGACAAACCGTAAACAAAGATACAAGGAGTAAATTCGGTAATGATATCAGTAAAAATTAAAGCCACTCTTGAAGCAATTATCTGATATCCCGGGAGGGGGGAGGGTATTTGGGTTAATTTTGGCTGGATATGTGTCGCGGGCCTCTCAGAGCCCCTACCCCATTATAGTCTATTCTGTGGCCAATTACAGACCCCATCACTTTTGAGCAAATATGTAATTTTCGCGATCCCAACTCAGTCACTTTCTATTTATGTATCTCCCTCGTATTGAATGAAGAACACTTTACATTTCACCTACAGTGCAAACATTCTGGTACGTTTGCTAACCGTAAATATGGAGAACTGCCTTCCCCCAAAGATCAGAAAATGTGCGACCTCATTGTACTAACTCTATTGATAATGCGACCCCAACCCCTTCGAGCGGCACATCCCCATTAGCCTCTTATGAGGAAGTGACCTCCCGGGATTGATATATTGTGATTGGCATAGTTACACCATAATTTTTTTAGGTAAATATGACAGTACGATTCAGTCTCTCCCACAAATCTTTTAAACGGCGTCCGTCATGTCACGCATTTCGATACGGCACATTGGATAAAATATGAGTCTTGATTTTTATCATGACACGTGATAAGGGGCAATCGCTGAGCGTCTGTTTAAAATTTTACGTAGTTTTACGGGATTCGTGCCATTTTCCTTGCCGTGCTGACGAGTTTTATGAGAATAAATGGCTACCCACGGCTTCAACCTAGCGCTGTTGCAGAGATATTTGTCTACGCGTATAATTGACCTTGCTGCTTTTTTCGCATATTTGGTATATTTTTGGCTCATTAGGCATTTTGAAAGCGATCATTTCGTTGGAGATCCTGTGTTGTACTGTTGTAACCACGGGGTTGTAACGCAAGTTCTTGAGAATGGAAAGAGTTATTAATAGTTACCTGCCGAGTCTGGTTGTCGCGAGGAGTGCAATAATGCCAATCCAAAAACTCGGTCAGATGTTAAAATACCAAACCCTCCAAGATAAACCGCAGTTGTCCAGTTAAGTCTCTCAATAGAGTCAGTATTCCAGTCGCTCCAATACAAGACATCGTCATAGACAGTGAAGTCGAAGGGATGCATATTTCGAGAGGGATGTACCGGACTTGATATTGCTCGTCTGTTGTTGCCATCCAAATCAGCAGAATCAATGGCATCAATCCATGCGTCAATCCAGTAGATACGGTCTTCCAAATAATCCAAAATTATGGCATTTGGCCAGTTTTGAACCGAGCTGGTTAAGTCAATAAGGAGTGTTCGATTCGTGCCGGCAAGAGTCGCTCTCTCAATTTTGGGTGTCGATCCCCAGTCTGTCCAAAACATCAACCTGAAAGCGAGTAACTTGACCGTTTTGTTCCCCTTTTTCAAAGCTATTTCATGTCAAGTGTACTCCAGTGTGAGAGACATGGGAATGTTTTTCATAGTATAGGGTAAAAAAAAGTCGAAGATTAGAATTAAACCCCTACAGGAAACTAAACGGGAGTTAATGCCTCAGGCTTTATTAGACCTCTAGATCTCTCTTTTTAATAGATATTTCGATACGAAAAGTCCCGGTAATATAGATAAAACTATTACTTTTTCCTTTTTGAACACCCTGCGAGAGATCATGTCTACCCCCAAGCGAGACGACGGGCATCCATTTTGTATGGAAGTTGCCCCAAGAGGCTGCTTTCTTAGTGAAATTTTATATTGCTTACTCGCAAAGTGCAATCGCTGAAAAGGTTGTAAGTGCACGATTCTCATCATTTCGTGCATACTCAGGCTTTGTTTGCTCTCCAATTGTTCCTCTGTTACGTAATGTCTAAGCAACGCCTATAATTATCTAAAATATCGTAGTTGCTTCGGCTTGTTCATAAACGAAGGAGTTAAAATATTCACTACATTATGCAACGCCATGTGGTTTCCCTGCGAAATGACCTTTGAGGAGCGAGCGGAGAAATTCCATACTGATGATAGTCACTACCCAGATCAGGGTAAAGCTTCTGATTCGTCGTGCCGCTAGGAACATTAGTTTTAACCAATCAGAAAAACTACTTAGATCTAGGTAGGGACACGTCATCATTATGGAATTTCTGTAGTCGTTCCTCTGACGTCGTTTTGCGGGGTAACTGTCGTTGACGTCGCGAAATGTGGTCTGCTTTCGATGGGCTCAAGGTGAACCGTGAATAGGTATTAAATATCGATCCACATTGCAACTAGATTTGTGTGTCACATGATTAAATTAAATTGCTTACCCTTTCTTTGGATACAACGCTATTCCTCGTGGATACTCTACTTCCTCTGTAAACAGCAACTTCCTTCGAGAACCATCCAACGAGGCTACTTCCACTCTGTGTTTACTGTAATCTGCCCAGTAGATCAAATTGCTTTCCCATTCCACAGCAAGACCATCAACGACACCGAGGTCGTCTGTGATGATATTTTCTGTTTTTCCAGTTTCAAGGTCCATCCGTGTGATGATATGTCGGTTAATGTCACTCCAGTAAATGGTTTTCTCCTTAACGTGTACATCGAGAGCGACTGCTCGACTAAGGTTTGACACTAGATGAACTATTCTGGAGGTACTCAGCTCGAGGGCGTTAATTTCAGACGTCGCACTGTAAATGATGCAAGGATCCGAGCAATTTGGTACTCCTGGGTAGAAAAGGAAATATAAAATGTCACTGGAAAGGCTTCCTTAACTTTAGCCGACGTAATAAGCAACCTGTTGACATCAACCTGTATATTCTCCGCTTACAGGCAGCCATCACAGCTCCTGAAGGGCAATCGAGAGGTTATCCCTATTCTTAACCAAGTAGACCTCCTTTGTGTGAAACGTTGTGAGTAATAATATGTTGATTCTTTGCGTTTCTTTCCGAGTTACTCCTAACTGTAATTAGTATGCGCGGGAAACGTTCAATTCTATTCTCCTAACCAGTGATGAAGGTACAACTCAGACAACTCTCGGATACTAAAATGAGCAAGACCATTTTAATGTCCATCGAGAACATTCTGTTTCTGACCGTTCACGAGCTATCGTAAATATTATTCACGCACGCGTGGATTGGTCGACGCAATCAAGAATAAGCTCGAGCTTGTGTTTTGATAAAGCATCTTTTAAATACCAAAACATACGTTTTGTGATGTTTTAGTTTTATGGGTAAATAGTATTTGCAAACGGACAGATTATAAAAACTGAAATTTTCTGGCACAGCGTGCATTTGTGAGTTCAGTTCGCCCAGTACCCAGTATAATGACCAATTGAGTATTTAATTAAAAAGGTTTTTAACCCTATCAAATTACATTTTAGATTCTTTTAGCTGCCTGCGACAGTCTTACGTTCTGTAAAATACCCTTGCCGTTGAAAAATAAGTTGAATTTTTATATGCGTTAAAAGTTAAGCGAAGAGTTTCCGACGAAGATGAGCTTTAATTAATGTGGTGTAAGAGCTCTCTCACTCCTGGGGTGGCTGAAAATTTAAAGAAGACCAAATATTATGACAAAGTCATTGTGAAATATGCAAGGAACGCATCAAGCTATCAGTTTTGAACAATTGGAACCCCCTATACGGCAATATTACTGTCTTGAATCACAGTTTATTAAGAGCAATGATTGAGCAATAATTATATAAAGCCTGGTCAAATGTATTTCAATGTATTTATAAATATATTTCAAAGTATTTCAGTGTATTTTCAGTGTATTTAAATGTGTCAGATGTATTTACAGCATAATTTAGCCAATTCTCACTGTATCGTAAAAGCTGAAGAAAACGTAGTATACCGTATACTCTAAGTCAATTGTTTTCGTTGAAATATACCGTCAAATACTCAATATTGAAAATTCACTGTATTTTTTGTATGCTCCCAAACCCCAACCCTGCCAGATGAACTGTAACTGCATAACCAGTTCCCTCTACTACCGTTATGTATTAAAACTAGTTATAGCTATCACTAAGTGCCAACAAGTAAGGATTTTACCCATACGCGGGCGCTGTACAATTTGTTTAGAAATGTCATGAATCAATTGTGTCTAGGCCATTTACCGCTGAGGCAAATGCAAAGCACAACTTAAAGCGCCAGCTCCAAACAACACATATGGCAGCTGTTGGCTGGGAACCACACGGCAGTTCTCCCACGACTTGCGCGGGGTTGGTGTATATGTGCCTCTTGCTTTAAGTTTGTCTTTTGATAATAGTAAACTAAACTGTTCTACTGCATAAAGAATTTGAAATTCCGACTTTTACATAAAAAATTTTCGAGATATTGAAGTGCGTGTTTTTGTCCGTAGTTGCGCACATGTCATTTTGGGTAAAATTTGGTGGTCTTATGGGCAAACTTAAAATCCTCGAAAAATCATATTTAAGTCCGCGAATATTTAACGTACAGACTTGTATTTGGTCTTTTATAAAGCTAAAAATATTTATGGTGCGCCGATGAAGCTTTCCGAATTATTTTGCTTCAAAGACACAAAAAAGTTCGCGGCGTTATCTTTTTTTCTTAGCGGCAGCTATACGCGTATGATGCAAATAAATCCACCCGACGATTGGTTGAAGACAGGATGGACACGGGACTCACAAGCACGCACACGGCTTGTCGATTCTCTGTTCTGTATCACGCGTTCCCTCCAAAACCATGCATCCTTTGTTCTTTTGTTCTTTTTTTTGGTTACCTTCGTGCGCAACTAGCATGCGTCAAGACTTTCGACCATCCCTAGGCGCACAATTTTCTCTTACGACCTCCCTGATGTGTCGTACGATTGTTGTGGGTCTAATTTACACGACACGATCCACCGTGAAGTCATGACGCACACTAGTCGCGCACGATAGTCGTAAACAAAAATCGCACGACTCTTTTAGGCTGCCGCCTCGCAGCCTCGCGTCTTCGCGAGGCTGCTTGTTCGCAATAGAGACCTTAAGGTGACTCGACCCAGTTTTTTTGGGGGGTACCATCCTACTTTGAAGCTCTCTGGTATCCCCACCTTTACTTTTATCGTTAGTCTAACACATAGAATGGATAACATATAGATCAATCTACAATATAACATAAAATTTTTGGCGATCGGAGTAAATGTCACGTGGTTATAATGCCACGCCCCGTTGAGGTCTGAGTCGAAAATCTAGTCACCTTAGGATCGAGGTTTTTCAGCATTTCCCGCGAACCTCAAACGTCAAGAAGTCACGTGGCTGGTGCCTTGCCGTCAGGTTTGCGGTTTGAGGTTTATGTTTGTACGGCTAGATCACGCTCCAGAGGTGAGTGATTTACCGCAAGGTTTTTTGCACTTTAAAACACCACAATCCACGTTTGAGAACAAAGGCTCCTTTATAGAACTGTTTCGCTAATTACTTTGAATCACTTTGAAGACTATTTCTCAGCTAAAATAGAAGTGAACGAATGAATAAAAACAAATATGGCAGCCCAGAAGGTACCACCCGCGAATCTTAATTCCTAAATATGGGAAGACGGATAACGTGAAACTGCTAGCCGCAAATCGCGGTTTGCCGTTTGCGGTAAGATGGCCAAACCTCGATCGTAAGGTCTCTAATAATTCTGATGCACAGTTTAGTAACCTACTTAAAAGAACAAAGAAACACTGTTCACAAAATACAAGTACGATAACATTGTCCCCTGAAGGCCTGATTTACAGAGTGCGGTACTGAATGAATGATTGTAACAGTCCAGACGGTCAAAAGCCTGAAGAAAAGCAACTCAGTCGTAAAATGGCTGACGGATAGAAGCGCCATGGCTTGCTCAAATAAGAATTTGAAAATGTGACAATAAAAGCAATGGATTGTCATAATTTAAGCTCTTGATAAATCAATATTGCAAGCAAGCTAATAAGGTTCCAAATTATAAATCGGCGCAATCACTGAGCGGTTTCCACTGCTGTGATGGCTAGAAAAGTTATCGGATCGGATCCGACGAATGGTACAGTCAAACAGAAAAGAGAGGCTTTATGGAATTGTATTCGCCAAAGATTACTGAATAAAGTTCAGCGATCTCTAAAGTGAAAAAAGTTAAAGCTCATGACAAATTTGTCTCTTGAGAGATTAAGAATTAGCGCTGCTAATTCACATTAGATAGAAGCGCCATGGCTTGCTCATAGTGGACATGCATGTAGTAAATAGTCAATAGATTTATGCTCAGTCATTTAAAAACATGTCTCTGCACGTCTAACTGGGATCACAGCAGGCCAATTCAGTTGAGTTGATCCGAGATGACCAGGCTGGAAACCGAGGTTGAATAAGTTCTTGATAAATCAATACTGCAAGCAAGCTAATAAGGTTCCAAAATATAAATCGGCGAGATCACTGAGCGGTTTCCACTGCTGTGATGGCTAAAAAAGTCTCTTTCATTTCGATAGAAATTAAGAGCATATTGAAGTAAGGTCGGATCCCACAAATGGGACAATCAAACAGAAAAGAGAGGCCTTACGGAATTGTATTTGCCACACATTACTGAATAAAGTCCAGCGATCTCTAAAGTGAAAAAAGTTAACGCTCATGACAAATTTGCCTCTTGAAAGATTAAGAATTAACGCTGCTAATTCACATTAGATAGAAGCGCCATGGCTTGCTCATAGTGAACACGTAGTGAATAGTCAATAAATTTATGCTCAGTCATTTAAAAACATGTCTCTGCACGTCTAATTGGAATCATAACAGGCCAATTCAGTTGAGTCTATCCAACCATGGTTAAACACTGAGCCTACTGATCCGAGATGACCGGCTGGAAACCGAGGTTGAATAAGTTCTTGATAATCAATACTGCAAGCAAGCTAATAAGGGGGGTTCCAAATTATAAATCGGCGCGATCACTGAGCGGTTTCCACTGCTGTGATGGCTAAAAAAGTCTCTTTCAATTCGATGGAAATCAGGAGCATATTGAAGTAAGATCAGATCCGACAAATGGGACAGTCAAACAGAAAAGAGAGGCTTTATGGAATTGTATTTGCCAAAGATTGCTGAAAAAAGTTCAACGTTCTCTAAAGTGAAAAAGATTAAAGCTCATGACAAATTTGTCTCTTTAAAGATTAAGAATTACCGTTGCCAATTCACATTAGATAGAAGCGCCAAGGCTTGCTCATAGTGAACACGTAGTGAATAGTCAATAGATTTATGCTCAGTCATTTAAAAACATGTCTCTGCACGTCTAATTGGAATCATAGCAGGCCAATACAGTTGAACCTATCCAATATTAAACACTGAGCTTACTGATCCGAGATGACCGGCTAGAAACCGAGGTTGAATAAGTTCTTGATAAATTAAATCAATACTGCAAGCAAGCTGATAAGGTTCCAAATTATAAATCGGCGCGATCACTGAGCGGTTTCCACTGCTGTGATGGCTAAAAAAGTCTCTTTCAATTCGATGGAAATTAAGAGCATATTGAAGTAAGATCGGATCCGGCAAATGGGACAATCAAACAGAAAAGAGAGGCTTTATGAAAAAAGTTCAGCGATCACTAAAGTGAAAAAAGTTAAGGTTCATGGCAAATTTGTCTCTTTAAGATTAAGAATTTTAATAACGCTGCTAATAAACATTGCTGAAGTAAACACTTGAGTTTTCGAAAAGAGTTTTTCACATTCTATTCTATCACGTCGTGCTTTTTTAAAATTATTTATTTGTTTTGCCATATCTTGAAATTTTATAAGAAATAAAACACCAACAGCGGTGATAGACATTTTGAGCTTTCGCATTTTTGTAAACTTGAAGTTTCGTATGCTACTCAATAAGTACTTGAGTACTTTTACATCCAGCTTGTGAATATTTATGACGACCGTCAGTTAAGGGTATGAAATTGGTAAAACACTGCGTATCATTATGAATAGTTTTAATAAAGTTGAGGTTTTTGATCCTTTATTAAACATACCTTCCGCGCACACGAACAAGAGACATAACAAAATGGTCTCACATAAACTATGTTTTATCATCTCCATAGTCTTGGTCACTGCCCCAGGGCAGATGAAATGTACAAATTAGTTCTGGTGTATAGCAGATATCTAAATAGAAAAGAGGTAGAGAGAAAGAAAGAATGGTTAAATTCCATTGCTGTACTCTATTAGTTTATTGGTAAGCAATAACGGTGATAACTTCATAACAGCTCTAATCAGTGATTTCGTGACAAATTTAGCCACTTATTACCTACTATTTGCTATCTATTTTATCTGTCTATCTATCTATCTATCTATTTATCCTTATTTAACATATTGTACCACAGTTTGGTCCTCCACTTATGTAACAAACCTTAATAGAATTTTTCTTCTACAAAAGCGAGCAGTACGAATTATTACAAATGCAGATTTTCGCGCGCACTCTGAACCATTATTTTTCCGTTTAAAGATTTTGGACATATACAACATTAATTCATTCTATACTGCACAATTTATGTTTTCATATTATCATCAATTACTGCCACCGCTTTTTTCGAACCTTTTTGTTACTAGTAGCAATATTCATAATTATAATACTAGAAGTTCCTCGCATTTCCGTTCTCATGCCTGCCGAACTAACACCAAACAATTTTCTATTTTGTTCCAAGGCCCAAAAATTTGGAATTCTTTACCAAACTCAGTCACTTCGATTTTTACATTGCAATCGTTTAAAACGAAAGTTTTTGATTTTCTACTATATCGTTAATGCGTCTTGTACTGTCCGTTGTTGTGTGTTGTTATAGTTCTATTGCTTAATATTATTGTAACGAGGGGGCCTCCTCGTACAAGCCTTGTGGTTTTCTGAGGTCCCCTCGCCACATCTTTGTATAATGTAATGCTTGTGTAATCTTTATTGTGGGAAAATAATAAATAAATAAATAAAATCTGTATGAGAATGTTGTACGAACAATACAAATAGCCTCATCGACGACCACTTCTTTACAGCTTTAACGATGTTTCTTTTTTATTACGAGGCAAAATATGCCTGTTCAATGAAAAAAGTGCGTCGTGTTCGATGAGCACGGGATACCCAGCAATCAGGGTGCTAGTGAAAATAAATGTACATAATGGTCGGTGAGGGTAATTTCTGTGTTTTTTCCTCAGTGCGATACGGTAAATATAGAGCGGAACGTACAAAAAGGAGCACTGCGAAGAGAACTTTGAGTGGCCTGAAAAATAGCTCTATTCTCCCAAGAAAATTTTAGTCTTATTGTCCTTTGTTTACGAAACAACATCCAAATTGAAAAGCCCCGCTTATCGCTCGAATGACTCTTTTAAACGGCTTTGCGCGCATAGGTTGATACATGAAAAATTCTCATTGCACTGATCCTTCTCGTATCCTTGTAAGAACTGAGAGAACGAAAATTCTGTCTGATTCAAATAAAGGGTGTATTTTAGCAACGCAGGGCCATTTGAACGCTGTACAAACTTGACTTAATTTGCTACCGAAAGGGGTCAAGCAGAGTGGACTCTTGACATTTGCATTTAAGAAAAACAATTAAATTGTCTTCTAAGTAACCTATGAGCTTTTCTGTGAGCAAAGAGAGAAACCTTATTGATTCAATTTAACAGTTTTTGCAAAATTTCATCGGCCTTTCAATAGTGCTAGCATCTCAAAGAGAAATTGTGTTCCGTGTTTTCAGTTTGACTAAGGATTTGAGTACATTCAAATAAAACAATCAGGACAAATACTATCTCTTTGATATTGCATTGTTTAAAAAAGGTGCATTGTTGCAAATACTAAATTCCATCGGCGTCTTTTATAGGTGTATTAAGCAACCGGAGAAAACTGACTCCCAATCGTTATAATTACTCATAGTTTCGAGTTAAATATTGAAAAATAATTAACAATCACAGTTCCTGTGGTGTAACACTATTGGAACTACCAAAACTAATGCATTGCGTATAGTTTATTTTGGAATTTCTTAATTACCAGCCTAGACAGAACGAAGTGATGCCTTTTAGAAAAAATAATCCCTTACGTCCAAGCAAGTGCTTAAGCCTGAGGCTGGTCAGTATTGTGATGTATTAACTTAAAAGAACCAGCAGGTACAATACAGTTAAGGATGTTAAAGGAACATCGAAATAATTAGTCGGTGCGTATGCAGCAGAAGCTTGCAGAAGTCAGTGCAAGTTTGTATTATTATGCAAAATTGAACGTGCCGTCTTCATTAATAGAGAAGCAGAAAAATCTCACCTGTACTCCGCCTTTGTAGGTTAAAGAGCCAACTAGTAAAGGTAGGTAAAGCAGATACTGCACAGTTTGTATTTGTTTCTTCAGACTTGATCTGACACTCCTACAAGGGATAAAAGTGCGTAAGACCTTTTCCTCAAGCAAAAGTTTTTGATTGGCGTTTTAAATAGCCAATGAAATTCATCGTTTGCCAGAGAAAGAGGGACCGACGCAATTTGTCACTTAAAATATTCTTCAGGTCGCGTTAGGACCGTTAGAGAGCCACTAAGTTTAGCAAATATATAAAAAGCCTTTATAAGGTTTTGATGTCGGTTGTATTGGAGCGATTCGCTAGCTGGCACCGGGACGTTTACGAACTGTAAGTGTAAAACATTGAAACCACCGTCAAAAGGAAATTTCAAGATTCATTCAACTTGAACACCAGTAGGGGTAACGTGGAGCCAAGACAGAATAATACGACGATTATTCTTTCTTGGTCTCTCTTGTGGAGACTAGTGTCAGAAGAGGGACTTAAATCAAAACAAGAACTGAATAACTGACATGATAGCCTATGTAAAGGTAATTTATCAATAGCCTGCGTGGTAGGCGTTCGAAAAGGAAGGGGAAGGGAATTAGGGCGCGAGACCACGCGCGAGGGAGGAGGGAGGAGGGGAACGCCTGCAAGGAAGCCATTGTTTTTGCCATCCCGCCTACTAATTAAAAAAATAACAAAAATAACGCAACTGTGAATAACTAGCTGTCAAATAAGTCTGGCCGCGATGCACGTATTCTAGTCGTATTTCTCGCACTGTTTTTCTTTTGTTTTCCTAAAGCAATCTAAAGTAAAGGTACTATAAAAAAAGTCCAAATGCGGTCGTCCTTCAAAGTTGCAACAACGCGTGCCGAGTTACATAAAATCTCCAGCATAAGTCTATTCAAGTTGTTGCTGAAGGATTCGGGTTGGAAAATTATTTCATAAGAAATGTAGCGGCTCTTTGCAACTTTCAATGCAATGTTTGTCTAAGAAAAATTAAAACACTTTGCCGTCACGCACTCTTTGAATTTCTATCAGGACGAATTGGATCCAGTGGAGCACACAAAAGAACGCTGGTGGCGGGGAAAGAAGAGCTGAACTTCGAAGATCTGCAAGAACGCAACAATTCATTATTAAAGTAAGTTCCTGGCGGTTTTATAACCTGCAAGAAGAAGTCCGCGACCAAAAATCGCCAAAAGTTATATTCGTCTTCAATTATCTTGCCCTTGATAACGCGGGTCAAACAGCAGATAACAAGCACACAGGCAGCATGATTTTTCCTTTCTTTCTTCTGGCGAGTAAAACCGACAAGCCGTTGGGAGATAATGCTTTTCAGAACCAGCCAGTAAAACTCATCTGCTGACAGGCCTTTTCCTTCATACGCTTCTTTGACTGTTTTTTTTTTCTATTCTCCTTTGAAGCCGAAATTGATGCCTTCTAACGATGAATTCCCGTAGAGAAATCTCAACACGCTTCACTAACGACACATGTTTAGTTGTGAATGGCAACACTCAATTTACTGAATGACATGTAGATGACCAATTAGAACACGCTATTCAGATCTTATCAAATTTTGACCAATCAGGATTTTAACATTCGCCTGGTAGATGTTAAAAACGCGAAAAAACAATGGTTTCCTGGCAGGCGCTTCCCTCCCTCCTTCCTCGCGCGCCCCTCGCGTTTCTCTCGCGCCTAAAACTCCCTTTCCCAAAACTGCCTTTCCCTTCCCTTTTAAACGCCTGCCACGCAGGCTAATTTATCAACTGAGGATGTCACCACTTTCGCTCTAGACCTAACTGCAGCGATCAGCTTCTCAATAATACCAAAACAATTTGCGATCAGTTAGTAGACTAGTGCACAATATCGCCAATGTGGTGCGCCGTTTGTTTCAAAATTATTTTTGTCAGTTGTACCATTTCATTGTCTTTTTCGTTAAATTTTCCTTCTTTTATTTGGTATCATTTGCTGTTTCTTTTTATTAAGTCTCCTCCTGTTTTTCGGCATTCATAGAGATACTGTGGTATAAACGTATTCTCTGTCAGTTGTAGCATCACTCTGTCGGTTGTAAGCTGTACGGGCTACAAATTGTCCGTTATAAACCTTCGTTCTGTCGGCTGTACGCATTCCTCTGTCGCTGTCAGTTGTAAATATTTACACTGTCGGTTGTACGCACTACTCTATCAGTTGTAAAATTTACTCTGTCAGTTGTATACAAAACTCTGTCGGTTGTACGCACGACTCTGTCCGTTGCAAATATTTACTCAGTCGGTTGTACGCACTACACTGTCAGTTATAAATATTTACTCTGTCGGTTGTAAACATTTACTTTGTCGGTTGTACGTAGTACTCTTTCGGTTGTGTACATTACTCTGTCGGTTATGTACATTACTTTGTCGGTTGTACACACTGCTCTGTTGGTCGTACACTACTCTGTCGGTTGTTAACATTTACTCTGTGGGTTTACGTACTACTCTGTCGGTTGCAACATTTACTCTGTCATTTGTACGCACTACTCTGTTGGTTGTTTATATTGTTATGTGTAAATTTCCAGGCTAGGGGAAATTTACTGGCTGAATTAGCAATAGTTTATCGGAGTGTGATCATCTAACTGCTTGACGTAGACATCAACACTGGGTGCTCTTTCATAATTTCGGATAGCTATTTATTCCACGGAAAACCAGTTGATAGGATAAGGGTGATACAAACAGAAGCATTTTTTTTTCAAGTATGGGATTTTACATACGCCAACATCCCTTCATAGTAAAGATATTTTTCAGAAGGTCATAAATACCCATTTTATTTCTTGCGGGTGTTTTATTGAATAAAAAGTAAAATAAAATAAAACAAACAAAAGGAAAACACTCAATGTGGTAGGTGGTAGGGTTCTCATACACTGCCGTTTGTTGTCTGTGTAAATTTCCTGGCTAGAGGAAATTTACTCGCTAAAAGCAATAGCTTATCGGAGTGTGATCGGAGCATGATCATCTAACTGTCCTAACTGCTTGTAGTCTAGATAAACACTGGGTGCTCTTTCATAGAGTAGTACATACCACTGACAGAGTTAACGTTAATGTTTAACAACAGACAGAGTAGTGCGTACAACCGACATAGTAAATATTGACAACCAACAGAGTAGTGCGTACAACCGACAAAGTAATGTACATAACCGACAGAACATTGTACACAACCGACAGAGTAGAGCCTACAACCGACAGAGTAAATATTTACAACCGACAGAGTAGTGCGTACAACCGACAGAGTAGTGCGTACAACCGATAGAGTAGTGCGTACAACCGACAGAGTAGTGCGTACAACCGACAGAGTAGTGCGTACAACTGACAGAGTAATGTACACAACCGACACAGTAGTGCGCACAACCTACAAAGTAATGGTACATAACCGACAGAACAATGTACACAACCGACAGAGTAGTGCGTACAACCGACAGAGTAAATATTTACAACCGACAGAGTAGTGCGTACAGCCGACAGAGTAGTGCGGACAACTGACAGAGTAGTACGTACAACTGACAGAGTAATGTACACAACCGACAGAGTAGTGCACACAACCGACAAGGTAATGTACATAACCGACAGAACAATGTACACAACCAACAGAGTAGTGCGTACAACCGACAGAGTAGTGCGTACAACCGACAAGGTAGTAAGTACAACTGACAGAGTTAATGTTACAATCGTCAGAGTAGTACGTACAATAGCCTCCACGAAGACGAAATTAAACTCTGGTTAACTCCGAATCAGAGTTTAGTTATCGTCTGCACGCAGGCTATACGTACAACCGACAGTGAAAATGTTTACAACTGAAAGGTACAACTGACAGAGTATTATGTTACAACCGACAGATTAGTGCGTACAACCGACAGAGTAAATGTTTGCAGCCGACAGAGTAGAGCACAACTGACAGAGTAAATTCTACAACCGATAGAGTAGTGCGTACAGCCGATAGTGTAAATATTTCAACCGACAGAATGAAGATTTATAACGGACTATTTGTAGCCCCTACAAATTACAACCGACTAAGTGATGGGTACAACTGACAGAGAAAATGTTTATACCACAGTATCTCTATGAATGCCGAAAACCAAGAGGAGACTTATTAAAAAGAAACAGCATATGATACCAAATAAAAGAAGGAAAATTTAACGAAAAAGACAATGAAATGGTACAACTGACGAAAAAAACTTTTAGACAAAGGGCGCGCCATACGCCAAGCCATTCGACTCTGTGTGCGTTTATCTTTGTCAGAAAAATTCAGGAAACGAACATGACATGTAAAAATCTTAAGGAACGAAGTAACTCCCTGAACGAAGACGGGATATCTTCTGCAGAAGGTATGTACAATTTCACCGGGTTTCTTTTGAAGATCAGCCCCATGTCTTTCAGTTCCTTAGAGTTCACCATGGAAACTCCCAACTTCGCTAAGCCTTCTTTGATTGATCTATCTTTATCCTCTCTAACAGACCGCACAATCGATTCCAGTAGTCCTGAGCGAGCGCAACACGTTTGACATTTTGATCAGCGCGCAAAAAAAAGTAAGAAAATTAGTGAACGCTTCTAGGATATATAACACGATTAGCGTTGAGATACCCCTATGTCCTCTCTGGTTCTTCAGGCAGAATTCCTGATATTTTCAATATTATGCCTTAGCGCTTCCAGGATATGACACGTTTAGCATTTTGATACCCATAGAAAAACGTTGATCCTCGAAGTGCGGTCATCTATCGTAAGCAACCACTTTCCATGAGGGATCACCTACCCAAAACAACAGAATATTCCCAGTCAAATCACTGCAGTTAGCACCTGTCGTAAAGGACCAACTCTCGTAAGCGAGTAAGAGCGCTTTTTAGGATGACTTTTTTCAGAGTTTTCCACTGTTTTTATCCTCATGTAAGCGACAGGTTTGATCCGTATGTGATTGCTGTTATCTATTATAAGTGTATGCAAAGAGCGAACACAGAACCTCCACAGTGCTATTGACCGTGAGGGATGACATCCTTCGGGCTTTGCAACGAGGAGAAGTTACTATAGCTTTGTGAGCTGACTATTCTAAGTCATTCGACACTGTCGCCTACGAAACTGTGCTGAGAAAGAAACCCACTCATT